TTATCACGAAGTACGAGTTGTTATACAGCGTTTAGTTAAGTTGAAAAAAAAAGATTAAGTAAATACGATAATTTATATTTTAAATTATGGGGATACTTATTCATAAAAACACAATAACTACTATACTACTATATATTATTTGAGGTATTCACTAGATTATCTAATCTAATTTATAAAATTCTCGTGTCACAATGTTCGATCCCATACTCCTCCGAAATGGCTTGACCGATTCTTATGATATGTTTTATGCATATTCCGTAAGTCTGAGAGTCGGCTACTATCTATCTTTCAAACCCCTAAATGGTAAGAGTGGTCCACAAAATTTCATTTTTATTTTTTAGATAACATTTTTTGTTTTTATTTTTTTATGATACAGCATACAAAAATACAAACAAACCTTAATTTTCATCACTCTACGATCAAGCCCTATGTTTTATTTGTTAATTAAAATCTTATGACCTGAACTTAGAGGTTTATATAGAGGAAAATACACAGAAATAAAAAGTTGTCATTCCAGAAAATCAAACAGACACTGGGGTAGCATAGCAAAATGTTGGTATGTACTAAAAAGGTAGGCTAAGTAAAATCACATTAAGGAGAAACGAAGTTTGCGGGGCCAGTATTCTATATAAAAGTCATACTTAGTAGTAGAAGCTGGATCATATATTTTAGCTTTTGTATAAATTAAAGGTTTCAATAGAATAATATTATTCCATCATAATATGACTACCATTCTCACTAACCTGAGATATAAATAGGTACCTAGTGGTTCACTTTAATAGTTAATATCTTCAATTATCATTGTATCTTGCTTGATCGTCAGACATGGTATTTTTATATTTCTTTAAAATAAATACATAAAATCTGCAACTGTAGCAACTCCATTGGCAGGGTTGCCATGTAAGGTTCAGGGAGATAAGTAATCAAACAATTGGATGATCGAATAATACTGTCTCTATATTTGAGTAAATGTTCCTTAGATACTAGATACACATCAATAGAGTATAAATTATGTAGAGGTGACACCACAGGCTGATCCACGTCTATATTTTTTTTCTTTGCCTTTAACAATCTTACGACTTTACTACATATTTGTCTAATTCTATGATAATTGTTCAGTCTTTTCTGTAACTCAATGTTGAATTTACAATAGAATAGTAGTGGCACAGTTATTCTTCCTAATTTTGTAAATATAAACATTATAGAAAACTTATGAAGTTGTAACTTGTTTAACACCACTTATATTCTTGATATTTTACTGTAGGACAAAATTGACTAACACACAATCTAAACATAAATGACTATATATATATATATATTAATATATATATATATATATATTTATTTTAATAAATCATTATACTATTTATTTTAGGTCATGGCAAATAGAGTAACAACAATTTATTATCTTTTTTTAAGGATTATCTGCTGACTATGTAAAGTGTATTATTATTTTAATAAATTCTCTTACTGTATGAATACAAAGTTAAATTTAAACATAGTATAATAGGTAAATTAGTTTAACAGTTTAAGCATAGGTAATAAAACTTAAAAATTAATAATAATTAATTTGATTCAAATTTATATTAGGACTAGAGATATTGTTAAACAAAAACAGAACCCGAAAGAAGAGTAGTTGAGATCTGTAAATTATAAATATACATAAGAATACAGCTTACTTAGCTCTGGTAAAACATTTTATTTACTAAATACATTTTGTTTAAATAATTTAAAAAACCAACTATGACGACCAGATGCTTCAACTTTTTTAGAAATTATTTTATTTTTCTTAATATAATACCTAGACTCTTATTTATATTAATTTTTAAGTATAAATTAAAACCTCTCGAACAACATTATTTTTTTCATTCTTTGACCTCTAAAAATTACACTGACCATTTCTTATGGCATGGTTGTCCCTTCATTGGTACATGAAAGATTCTTATCAGTCTAAGAAAATAAACTTGAACCCTGTAACAAGTTAATTTCTCTCAAGCTAAACTTATAAATTCAAGTCCAATTAAGTAAAATATTGAGCTATTTTTGTACAAAACAATAACATACTATAAATATTTCAAAAATTCTCTTTTATTTCTTTGCCTTGAGGATGAGTAACTTTTCAACACAACACAGGAAAACGAGCAAATCAATAAATCAATGTAGTTTTCATTATTACATTTGGTGTAGTAAGGGATTAGTTTTTATAATGTCCTGCATGTTTGAAGTGTACACCAATAATAAAATCATATACTTAACATATAAATAATGTAACATACCCGGCGACAGATGTAAAGAATGCAGGGGAGTGATCAATGAACAGAAACACACATTTCACTGAATATTATCAACGGAATTCACTATTACACATACTACAACACTTTTAAATACTTAGTACTAACCGATATATTCTACTACTTTTTAAGAACGGCCTATAAGAATTTTTTGGCGATCTTTATTATTGTTATAAGTTTTTAATTAGTTATGTTACGTCAACTATCACTTCTAAGTTCCAACTTCCAATCCAACCATAACTTTTTTTTTAGATATATATGACAGCTGTCATTTTACCGTGATTATTGACTTGAATGACAACCCGTTTCAATCTGAAAGACAAATTAAACAATCGTAGATTTTACTTGAAACTGGCATAAAGTTGAAGCTGTTGCCATAATATTAAAAAAAAAAACAATCGTAGAGTTTTTGTTGAAACTGGCATAAAGTATTGCCATTAAAAAAAAACAATCGTAGAAGAACAAGTACTAGCATTAAAACCGTGCTGAAATACAAAACGAAAAAATATGTAGATTCCTAATTTTCCAACGCTATCCAATTCCCAAAAAAAGGGGAGCTACAGCAATGTTTATCATGTTTGGTATTCGGCAAGCCAAGTTTTTCTATTGTTTTTCGGAGTACTGCAGGAATTAATTTTTGAAGGACTGAACTCTTAAGTTTTTTACTAAGGATAGATAAAAATGAAATAATGCATTCATTGTCCATTGTAAATCATTAATATTATGTGTTACAGCGAGAAACATACATTTCATAGTGTAAAACTGTAAAGAGAAAAAATTAAAGTACTTTTCTTTAACCAATAAAATAACGTGAGAAATTGTAATTTTAGATAATAATTTATTTATTTAGTGTAGTAAAGTATATTAATATTAAATTTGTGTAATGTGTTAAATATTACATTATTAATAACTGTATTTTTAATTACATGATAGTCCGTTTGGTGCCACCAGATTCGCAGCTTTAGTGAGAATTTAGTTCTTGCCTGTTTGTAAACATTTTGAAACGATAATGCTATGGCGATTATCTGGCTGGTCTTAAGGTGCGCTTTCACGGGCAACTAAAATTGCTCAATTCCAGTCAATACTCGTCAATTATGACGTCACGACTACATTAAGCAATTTACGGCAACGGCAACAAGCATCAATACTGCGCAATACAATATCGAGCGATATGGCGCAACTTCATCAACTAGGCAAACTGTCATACACGAGCATTTCAGTTTTCGCTCGCTATGGACGACATTGTTCTTGCTGCGGCCGCTTGTAGTGCTTTTTTATTATTAATCAAAAACAAAAACGAAAGAAAAGGAATAGGGTATCTGGTGTGGCAGAGGACAAAATTTTCATTATTAAAGAATTAGATATATATTATTCAAAAACTTTACTAGAATGTAGAACAGACTTTGAATTACTTTTGAATAAAGTTAGCCCATTAATTAAGAAACAGACGACCAACATAGAGAACCAATTTCTGCATCAACAAAACTTGCTTTAACCCTTCGATTTCTGCAACTGGAGATTCATAGCCAGAAGTTTTAATGCTGTTTAGATTTCTGTTAGTTGTATTGCACTACCTTTGTACCTACTGTATGGCAGAGCTATTGCAGAAGTTCTTCGAGAATATATAAAAGGTAAGTTATTTTAATTTAAAAGTGAGGATATTTAATTTAAAAATAATTGTATTAATCAACCTTTTATTTATTTAAATTCACAGTTAAGTAGATTTTTAATTCAAATAAATCAATCAGTAGTAATGACTCCACGGCAGTAGTATTTCAAAATGCAGTCAAAACAAAAAAACAAAAATATAATTTACGAGGAAACAGTTCAGTTTCATTTACAATGTTTAATTTTGAATGCTATTAATTAGGCACTGAAATTATTACGGACATTTCCTCGCTTTGCAAAATTCCAAATGAATCAATTAAAAATACGACATAAAATAATCAAGCTGTTGGTTTTTACTAGACGGTAAAAAAAAGGAACACCGTTGTGTGAACCAAAACAGAATGGGTTGTAATTTATAAATAATTATAAAATATATTATTTAATTATTTATAAATTACAACTTAACTTAAATTTTATTTATTTATTATTTTAAATTTATTTATAACACAAGAGGCTGACTAGCGTGGACTCTTGGTGCCACCAGACTCTCGCTCTCCCCGCAAGCAAGACAGCAAGCCGCAAAACAAACAAGTGCGAATGAGATATATACAAAATTGCTAGGAATTTCCAAGTCCATTGGAAATTCGTCAATTCGTGTATCTGCGACATTAGCGATATGAAATATCTGGAGCAATTTGAAGCAATATCGCCGAAATAATTTATTGAAATTTATTGAATTTATTGAAATTGCTCCATTAATTGCTCCAGATCGGTCCATTCGTGTTGCCGAGCAATTATTGCCCTCGTGTAAGCGCACCATTAGACGCGTACGATTTCTCGCACCAAAACGTGCGAGAAACTCTCTCCATCTAAATGAGCTTTTAGTCTATATCCCCGTATATATATATATATATATATGGGAGTCATAGTGTGTAGTCCAAGAAGTACAGGCAAAAAACAGGTCTATAATATTATATTGTTTCATAAATTGAGCATATTAAAATAAATGATAATGCAATACAGAATGAATGGAATTTATAATAAGGCATTTATTACTTTTCAACTAAATCTATCCAATCTATCCATCTATCCAAACAAAATTTATCCAAGCTGGGATTTTGGTGCTGTAATTACACGTTTCCGAGCAGTTTTTTTTGTAGACATTCTCATTTGCTGTAATTGATTGTAAACTTCACCCCATATTTCATTTTGGTCTTCGATTGGTACGGTTTTTCTAAAACAAAAAAATACACACAGAACCCTTTATTTCCAACAGATGTTTCCAAATAACATAAGTACATAAATATAAAGCTAGCAGTGTTGGCCTAGTGGCTTCAGCATGAGACTCTCATACCTGAGGTCGTAGGTTCAATCCCCGGCTGTGCACCAATGGACTTTCTTTCTATGTGCGCATTTGCTCGAACGGTGAAGGAAAACATAGTGAGGAAACCGACATGTCTTAGACCCAAAAAAGTCGAAAAGGTGTCAGACACTGGAGGCTGATCACCTATTTGCCTAATAGATTTAAAAATGATCATGGAACAGATTCAGAAATCTGAGGCCAAGACCTAAAGAGGAGCACCACTAACTTTTTTTTACATAAATATAATATATCATAAATATTGATTCAATGCAAAGAGCATGTAAGTATGTTCCACTACTTGTAGAGTAAATTATCACTTTGTATGATACTAACTGTAACACAATGATGTTTACCTGTACTGTTTCATAAGGTCATATTTTTCCCACGGAGTCTTCCTTAATTCTCTTCTTACTCTATCTTTTTCTTTTAAGTGTTCTTCAATATTGGATACACCTTTCAGTTCTTGCCTTTCCCATCTTTCCAGCCATGGTCTCGGTTTTAATTTTACCTAAAATATATCTTGTATTGTAAAAAAAATGTTTCCTTAACTCAAAAGTAACTCAAGAGTTAGTGAATATTTCATTATATGTAATACTTCTTATTTAATTTGCATCAATTAATTTTATAATTCACATAAAATAATTCATTCACATGAGACAGTACAACTTGAAATTACATACCTGAACTGGATTAACTGGTACCGTGGTTCCTTCTGGTAAAATTTCAGGATCCATATCAACAGGAAATGTGCTGTATTCAGGGAGAGCATCTCTAAGATAATACAACTTGTCATCCAGTCTCTTCTCAAGACGTAATACTTGAATTGTCTGTATTGTAGGGTCATACAATTCATAACGTACCTACAAAATCATTTGAGAATTGAGGAAATGACATTGTATATGGCATTTATATTACTTGAGATTGAGAGTGCAAGATGGCAAATGTAGCAGAGGATATCAACCAACAATATAGGTAAGCAACGATCGCCTTTTATCAACGCAAAAGATGCTAGGCGTTAAATGGGGTTTATCGCCTAGGATAACTGTATGGCATTACACTGCCGTAATCAGGCCAATGCTAGCATATGGACCCCTGGTTTGGTGGCCGAGAACAGAACTCCAAACGGCAATCATGAAACTTGGACGTTTCCAGAGGCTTGCTTTGTCCGCTGCTAGCGGTTGCATAAAAACTACGCCAACTGCAGCAATGGAGGTAGCCCTGCAAGTTTTACCCCTGGACCTAAACATACAACAGGAGGCAGCACTACGGTACTGGATCTATGGGGTAAAAAATCACTAGAACACACACAGCGATTCTTAACAAGGCGATAGAGTACCAACCTTTAATAACAGCGCCATAATAGGATCGTTAATCAACACATACTCAACAGGAAATACCACGTACAAATGAGAGAAGAGGAACGTGATCAATCGACCCTGAATGAGCTACGCAATTATACCAATGGCTCAAAAACAGGACGTGGCTCCGGCGCTAATTCTCTCTTGATCTCAACATCAACATATACCTATCTCTAGGCACATACAGCTCTATTTTTCAATGTGAAAGTGTCGCTCTAACAATAAGCGAAGAGCCGTGCAACGGTTAAGAATTAATAACTTTCTCAACTAATCAGAAAAAATTCAGAACTAATCTCAAAACAATTACAGGGACAATTACAGGCCATTGTCTCCTTAATAAACATATTTTTGTCCTAGGCACAACAGACAGCCCCATTCGCAGAGGTTATTTCAGCACAGAGGAATCAGTCACCCACATAGTCCTGGAATGTGACGCTGTGGCTAAACAACATGCAGAAATCCTCGGAATAGTGAGGTTGTTCTGTGTAGCCTGTGAAGTGCCCAGGAGGCTTCTGTGTCTTTTGGGAGGAGTTAGGCTGGCTTCATTAGCCAGGACTTTACGCTCAACAGACCTATATAATTACTATTACTCAAGGAAGTTCAGTAATACTAATTGCTATCTTATGTTAGGAGAAGTCCAATGTTTAGATTGTCCATTTGAACAATCTAATCAGAATGACATGCTTAAAGTATTATTCTATATATTCTTTTAATATTATAGCGTCTGACATGTTTTTTATTAATATCAGAATTAAAAGCAACTTTTATATTACATTATTTTATACTTATATACTTGATTTATTTTAATAGCAGGCTATTAAAATAAATCAATTTTAATTTAAAATAAAAAATGTAATTTAATTACCTCAACACCTTGATGATCTACAACATTTCTCAAGGTGAACTCTGCCCTTAAACCACAACCTTTACGTTCAATGCATATTCCTACAAATCTGTTTGTTTTCCCTTGAGCATGTGGATCTGATATGGTTACTGCTAATATAGAACCTGGAATTGTATAAAGTGATTGAAATTTTTAAATTATACAAGAGATAAATTTATAAAACATCTGATTTTTATAATGGCACTAATAGCCTTTAAAAAATTTAGACAACAATAAGATAGTAGGAGGCTGTTTCCTACAACTTATATAACTGTATTTCCCATTAGAGAGTGGCTTAGGTTTTTACAACTAAGATGAATATTTTTATGGTAGTTTTAATTTTGCTAAACTTTAGTATAGATACTAATTAATATATTAAAACTGAAGAGTTATTGTCTTTTATTGGTTGAATGCACTACTAAGGGACTACTGGGTTGGAAAGAAAAAATATTTTCATTTGGAACCTTCCAACATATTTAACAAGGAAGTCTAAGCTAAATAATACCACACAACAACAAATAGGACACAACAAGAAAAGGGGATTTACCTATAGGTGAAAACTTAACGCAGGTGAAACTGCATAGAAGACTAATTTAACCATATCTTTTTAAGTTTGACTGAGTATAGCAAGTTATACATCACAAGATGTCTTCAGACACAAATTTTTTATACACATAACAATAGTATACATTATTCGGTTAAAATATATCAAAGCCTTTTTCTTAAGCTGAATTTCCAATAAATATGTTAGTCTTGTTTAGTTTTTAATATAATATTGCCTATATTTCTTGCTAGTTTACCTAGGTGAAAGATTTATTATTTATTATCCTTTACTAACAAACATACAAAAATTTAATCTGTTTACTCTATATAATATTTATTCAAATATTTCTTATAATCGGACAGAATAATTATATCATTATTTTACAGCCGATATTAGCCAGCAAATACTCTTAATTCAGGATATGGTTATAATTACTTACCAACATAGAATTCTGGTATATCAATTTGCTTCCTTCTTTCAAGCATATCTGCTCTTTCAAGTTTTTCTCTTAAACTATTACGCCAATTCGGATTAGGATCAGGTAGAAATTCTGGATAAATATGCCTGTATTCAAGCATTGGGTTCTGCGACCGTGGTCGTCGTCCTATGCGAGTCATTTTATCTTCATCTGCATTTGTTTTTTCAACTTTTTCAGGTAGGGACGACAGACACGACCGTATATCTGTAAAAAAATAATTTTATTACAAAAAAAAAGTAATTGGATTAATTTCTCGCATGAAATTTTCGAAATTCTAACCTTTCCGTAATATCCATTTTGCTGCTTTAAATAAATCAAATGATTTACTGAAAACAAGAGACATTTTTGCAGTTACTTCATTCACCTAATTTTTTTTCAACATTATTTAAAAAATAGTAATTTTAAATTGATGAAATTATTACTTATTAGTTACAAATTACAATGTACAATAATATAAAATAATAATAAAATTGCGACTCAAGTCTATGAAATTATGGATCATAGAGTACATTATATATTAATTATTATTATGGATTTATCTTATTATCTGTACACCCAATGTATCTATATTAGATTGTTTTATTCTATACTCGTGAAATAAGACAAAACCTTTGAAGAATATAAGGTTTTAATAAGCTAAATTAACAGTAAAATATTTTAGTTACATTTCATACATTGACAAAAGTGTCTAAACAGATAGACAATGTCATCAGTTTATAATAGTATCATGTAAGAAGTTTACATCATTCTGCCGCACTATTTTAAAATATAATCTTTTAATAATTCTGGTATTTTACGGACGCGGCCAGATCTACGAAGTGTTGGCTCCGGCGGTGATGATAATGGTAACTCGGTGCCAGATCTACGAAGTGTTGGCTCCGGCGTTGGTGATGATGGTAGATCAGTCTCTAGCTCTCTGCTATTATCAAGTACCACATGTCCCATCTCATTAGATAAAGGAATTTCCAAGTTTTGATCTTCTGTTTCCGTACGTGGTTCTGTGGCGTTATGATAGTCATTGTTTATTCGCAGATCTACCCCTTCTGAACCCAATGGTGCTAAATGACGATTTGACACCGTTGTTTCTCGGCCATCTGGGAACCGAATGTATGAATAGTCAGGATTGCTGTGTATCAATTCAACCTCTTCTACTAATGGCTGATATTTACTTGTACGATTAAATTTCTTCATCAAGACTTGTCCAGAATTTGTAAGCCACGATGGAACAGAAGTGCCGTTAGTAGATCGTCTTGGGTGTCTAAACATTATTTCATGTGGAGTGCAATTTATGGCTGTACAAAGTAAAGATCGAATCGAATGTAAGGCTTGTGGTAATACTTGCTCCCAATTTTCTACCGAAAGATTCTTCGTCTTCAGCGCCAAAAGAATCGTTCTCCAAAGAGTAGAATTCAATTTTTCTATTTGCCCGTTACCTTGAGGGTTATAAGCTGTAGTTCTACTTGTGGCAATACCTCTAAATGTAAAAAATCCTGTACTTCGGCAGAGAGAAATGCTGTTCCGCGATCTGAATGAACGTAAGAAGGCATGCCGAATATCATAAATAAGTTGTTGAGGTATTTAATTACTGTTTTCGAGCTCACATCTGAGCATGGGAAAGCAAACGGGAAACGTGAAAATTCGTCAATCACGGTAAGTATGAATTTATTATTATTGTTTGTTGGAACTGGTCCTTTAAAATCTAAGCTAAGAGCTCTTGTTAACGACAACGGACAACGGCCCGATTTTTATAACAGGCGACGGGCCGACGCGCAGTGTTCAAGTAAGTTGAGTGAATGTTTGTTAACGCGACGGGCTCATACCCGTTGCAACGTGACTCAACGGATGCGCGCACGTTGCCCCTCGGCGCGACGGCGGACTGTCCGATGCAGTGAACTACCGACTACGGCATTTCATAGAAGTGTGTTGACGACGACGGATGTGCGCACGTTATTACATTATATTTCTATCTACCTACCCTCTGCTGCTCATTGTGAATATGGAGTTTACCATTGATATGGATTTATTAATTAGCCTTGTTCAGAATAGGCCTATGTTATGGGACAAAACTATAGAAAATTACAAAAATAAACAAGCAAATTTTGCGGCATGGAAAGAAATCTTCGTAATGCTAAATGAAGATTTTGAGACATTATCTGATAAATAATAATCAACGTACGTGCACTTCTCCCTTCAAATTTAATAGAACTGATATCGACAACCACGGACGCGTTCACGTTATATTTAGCGTATCGTGTACAAAGGTAGCCGTTTTGCGTCGGCCCGTTACCCGTTGACAAAAACGTTCGTTAACAAGAGCTCTAAGGCGTTCAAAAGCAGCCGTCGCTTTAACAAGTTTCCTCTGGTCATCAAAAGTATTTCGGAAGAATCTAGGTTTTAAGCCGGTTGCAGACCGAAAACTAAGCTATGCCAAGGCTAAACAAAGCTATGCCAAGCAAGCTAGGCTAAGCTAAGCTAGAAATAAATAGCGTGCACACCAACAGCTAACCCAAAGCTCAGTCAGTGCTGCATAGTATGTGCAAAGGGTGTGCGGTGTAGCGGGAGGGGCTTAACTTAGCTCGTGTAGCTGCGCATCGGCATACACAACTAACTTAGCTTCGCATATTTTAGTTAGCTCACATAGCTTAGTTCGCATAGTTTGCGGTCTGCACAGATGTATGGAAAATTGCGTCAGCTATGCGAGCTAAGCTAAACTAACGTAGCTTAGTCTGCAACGCGTATTAAGCCGGTTGCAGACCGAAAACTAAGCTATGCCAAGGCTAAACTAAGCTATGCCAAGCAAGCTAGACTAAGCTAAGCTAGAAATAAATAGCGTGCACACCAACAGCTAACCCAAAGCTCAGTCAGTGTTGCATAGTATGTGCAAAGGGTGTGCGGGGTAGCGGGAGGGGCTTAACTTAGCTCGTGTAGCTGCGAATCGGCATACACAACTAACTTAGCTTCGCATATTTTAGTTAGCTCACATAGCTTAGTTCGCATAGTTTGCGGTCTGCACAGACGTATGGAAAATTGCGTCAGCTATGCGAGCTAAGCTAAACTAACGTAGCTTAGCTCTTGGTCTGCAACGCGTATTACTTCAGAGCAGGTTTGACAAGATTTTGTCATTGTTCTGACTTCTTCAATGGAATAGGGAAGGTTTTTAGAGCGAACCCAGTGAAACATTCTCGTTACCCCTGGATGACAAAGAGCCTCATACAGCAAGAAAAGTTTTGCAGTACGTGTTTCTACAGTGGCACAAACTCGGGCACTATGCATCAGCAGCATAGTTCTCTTTCCCCGGTCTGTATATAATATCAAATCTGAAAACAGCAAGTTCCAGTCGCCATCTTTGAATATTTTCATTCTTTATCTTACTTGAATGTTTCATATTAAACATAAAAGAAACCGAGCGTTGGTCAGTTACCAACTTAAAGTGTCTACCGATAAGGAAATGTCTCCATTTCTTCAATGATTCAACAATGGCGTACGCTTCTTTTTCAATGGCGGAATGGTTTTGTTCGCTTGAATTCAAAGTTCTTGAGAAAAACGCCACTGGTCTAGAATTTTGCGTAAGTACTGCTGCAATGGAATGATCGGAAGCGTCAGTTTCGACTGTAAAAGGTATATTTTCATCAATTGCATGTCTAGAAGACTTTGCGATATCATTTTTCAGGCCTTGGAAACATTTAATTTGCTCGCTTGTGAGCGGAAAAGTAGTCGTATTAGCAAATGAGTGGATCCGTTCAGAAAAGTTTGGAATCCACTTAGAATAATGTGCGAACATGCCGAGTGTCCTTCTTAAGGTCGGTAAATCGCTTGGTGCAGGTAAATTAATCAGTGGCTTGAGTCGCTCACTGTCAGGTTTAATTATGTGGTTTTGAATATTATAGCCTAGAATATTAATTGACTCTTGAGAAAATTTGCATTTTAGCATACTCAGTGTTAAACCGTATTTCTTTGCGGCATTCATAAAACTTTCTAAGTTATGATCGTGTTCTTGAAGAGTACGGCCACAAATAGTTATATCATCAAGATACGCATATGTGTTTTGAAGCTTTTCTTTCCTTATAATCCAATCGATTGTTCGTTGGAAACTCGAAACACCATTTGTTACTCCAAAAGGGATACGCCTGAACTGGTACAAATTTCAGAGCGCTTCAAAAGCGGTAAATTTTCTTTCTTCGCGTAGTATAGGTACTTGATGGTACGCGCTTTTCAAGTCTATTAGGCTGAAAAATATATTCTTTGGCACTTTTGAAACTAAGTCCTCAATGTTTGGTAAAGGGTACGCGTCGAGTTCTGTGTAACGATTAATTGTCTGGGAGTAATCAATCACAAGACGTTTTCTATGAGTTTCGGTTTTTGTTATTAGTACTTGGGCCCTCCACGGTGATTTACTTTCTTCAATCACGCCTTCTTCTGTAAGGTTTCTGATTTCCTCTTTAATAAATTCACTATCCTCTTTGCTGTGCCTTCGAGACTTAATAGCAATAGGTTTGCAGTTGGGAGATACATTTGCAAAAAGCGGTACAGCTGGTACTGATGCTTCGGCTACGTTACATACTTGAAGTGGATGTTTTGGCCCACCGAAAGAGAACTCTAGCGATGAATGTTCTTCGAGGACGTCATGGCCGATAATTATGTCAGCACAAAGATTTTTCACGATAAGAAGATTCACATTATCATATTTATGATTTCCAATTTTCAGGCTTTGCAAAGTTTGACCTTCTACTTGTGAAGTATGATTAAGAGAGGCCATAGAAATAATCTGATTGCAGGATTTTCTTTTTAACCCGCATAGTCTTGCAAAACTGTCATTTATAAAACTGATGGAGCTGCCGGTGTCGAGAAGTGCCTCTGCTCTTATTCCTCGAATATACGCGGGTACAGTAGCTTTGTGTAATGAATAAGGTGACGCTGCTGTGATACAAGAAAGATTTTCAGTACCTACTACCATAAAATTTGTAGGTTTAGAAGAGCTTCTGCAAACAGTGGCAAAGTGCCCCTTCTTGTTGCAGAGCTGACAAGACTTTTCAAATGCAGGGCAGTTCTTACGAGGATGTATTTGTCCCCCACAAAAGAAACATTTTCGTCGTCGAGGATTATTAACAGAAGAGCAGGTCTCGTCGTGCACAGTTTGTGATTTGGGACAGACTAATTTAGGTTTTTCTTCAACGGCATTTAAATACACAGTATGAAAGCTTTGAGAGTTGATCTCTGCAGTTTCTAGAGAGAGTGCTTGGTTGTAAGCTTGGTCAAGTGTTAGATTTAAGTTTTCTAAAAGCCTTTGTCTGATTTTATGCGATGATATACCGGATATGAAAGCATCACGCACGCTATCGTTTTTGTTTGATTCTGCATCAACAGCCGCAAAGTCACAATCTTTAGAAAGTAGTTTCAAAGCTTGTAAATATAATATGTCGATACTTTCTTCTGATCGTTGTTTACTTGTTGCTAACATGTGTCTAGCAAAAATCAGATTTTTTGGTTTTACATACAGTTTTTGCAGTATTGTGATCGCTTCTTCGTAGTTTGTGGCTTCGCTTATATAAGTGTAGATATTTGGGGATATATGATTTATCAATAGCTGAAACTTTATGCTGTCCCATTTTTCTGGCGGAGGAACCGACTGTGCATCTGTTTCTGGAGCGGTCGGTTTCTGCACGGAAATGAAGCTTTCGAAAGTCTCATGCCAGTGTATCCAAGCTTTCGTACCAGAGCTATTTGACGGGTCGATATCAAATCTTTCAGGGCGAAGATATTTAACCATGTTGCTTTTTATTTAGCTTATTAAATTGAAATAAGACAAAACCTTTGAAGAATATAAGGTTTTAATAAGCTAAATTAACAGTAAAATATTTTAGTTACATTTCATACATTGACAAAAGTTAGTGTCTAAACAGATTGACAATGTCATCAGTTTATAATAGTATCATGTAAGAAGTTTACATCAAAGAAGTTTACATCAACTCGTATTTACATATCACTAGTCTGTGCGGAAAGAGAACCATTCGTAGAATTTGATGTCACACACTGGTAACACTGCCACGATTTTGTTACAGACTACAGTTTAGAGTTTAGACTGATTTCTGCTCTGTGGTTGTACTTACTTCTTTGGTTAACGATAAATTTTGAATTTGTGAATTGTGATTACCGGAATAATTTATTTTACGTAGTGATAAGTGAACTCAAATCTCAATAATATTTCATTTACACTATTTTAACACCAGTTTGTTAGGTTCAAAAGAAAGCCAAGTATTTCAATAACTATGAATAATTCGACACTTTTTAATAAATCAGAGTCAGGAGACTTATCAGATGGAAAAATAAATGAATGTTATGTTCTTCTCAAAAAACGATACGATACCCTATTTTACAATTTAAATGTTAAAAAGCAAGATTTGGCAGATATTAGAAGAAGTTATCAAACCGCACTCGGTGTAGAAAGTCAACTGAATGCTGATCTAGAATCTTACCAATTAGAAGAACAAAAACGTAAAAATGAACTCCTTTCTCGAGTTGCAATTCTTCAGGAAAAAATAGCGTCGTTGAAATCCGAATGTTCAGAAATAAATGAACAAAATAACGTTGAAATTAAGAAATTGTATCAAGAAAATTCTATTCTCAGGGAAGAAAAACCCGTAACATCTTATCAATTACCAGAATGTGATACCAAGGAAATTGATGAAATTCGTATAAAGTTGTCTTCTGCAACAACTGATTCAGTAGTAGCTAAAGCTACCCTTGAGGAGTCCAAATGCGAAATTTCTTCATGGCAATCAAAAATAGAAGAATTAGTATTAGAAATAAGTGAATTACGTGCAGGCACTGATATTTGTAGAGAGGAAAAATATGAAGCTAAGGAGAGAGAAGCTTTTGCCTTAGCTCAACTTGCAGCAGCCAAGGCATTGCTTCATCAAGTTCATTCTGTTGATCTAGAGCCTCATGGTTATTGAAACACTTCATTATTTTATTCTTTCTTAATTAAATTGTTGATTTTTAATTTTTTAATACTTTGTTACAGCCACAAAAGGAAATTCAGTATTTGCAGAAGTTGAAGACAAAAGACAGGATATGGCTAAAAATCTTATTCAAATGAAACAAACAAATGCAAGAGTAAGTGTTACATAGAATTAGTATGTTTTAGATGAAACACATTGTCACAAATACTATGCAGATTTACAGTAAATAATTAATAATTTTTTAAGCTTCGTCGCGATTTAGCTAATAAACAAGCAGAGGCTGAAGCTCTTATTCATGAGAAGCAAACAATTTGGATCCAACAAGCTGGTGCTACCTCAGAATATGATAGAGAACTTATTGGTAAATTATTATGGTTAAACACCCAATTAGGGAGGATATGTAATTTTATTCTTTTGTCATGTTACTAAAGTTGTAGTAAGTAGTGTGTATCTACCCTATAGTTAGATAAAAATACAGAATGAAAGGTTGAAACGTCTTGTATCATTCATTGATTCAATCAAATATTAATATTACAGAAAGCTATGAAGATCGAATTGCTAAGCTGGAAGCAAAATGTGAAAATCAGTGGAGTGAAATAAATCAAGGTTTATCTAAGCTGTGTGAATTTTCATATTGGCAACCTGGAATTATTGCTCATTTAAAGTAAGTTTAGTGGTCTTTGATATTCTTAACATCTTTCTCTAGCACCACATTTCAAAAGCTTAAATACTTTGTCTTTGGCCATTCCAATTCTCCTTTTATCTCGGGAACAGTGCTGCCATCATTGCAGCTTTACAATCCCTAGTACACATATAGTTCGACAATATTGATGACTGGGATGTGCAAGTGACATCTTAGAGTTTTCTGGCTATATAGTATTATCATTTTGGTTTTTGCTCTGTTCAGTTCAAGGCCAATGTTTCCAGTTTCTAGCTTGAGTCTTTGGAAGACTCGAGAAGAGAAGATAGGAGACACTATGGAACCTTGTCTTATGCCTTTTTTTGTTTGGAACATTGAGCATTCTGTGCCTATCATGATGAATGATTGGTTCTCAGTATACAAATTTTGGATTGTTAATTGAAAATTATGGAAAATATTTATAACAAGATGTTATTTTACAATTTAAATTTCAGAACAGAACGGGAACGACTTCGCGCTGAGGTATTGGCGAAAGGGGCTGCACAGTTGGCCAGTGCCGCGCAAATTCGTGAACTGCGCAGAGTGGTGACCCTACAGACCATAGATACAAATAAACAATCGTCTCAACTGGATTGGACAGACAAAATTATAAATTCCACAGATCGGAAATACTTCAAAAGTGATATGAAAAAAATTAAATGAAAATAATAAAATAAAAATAAATAATGGGTCAAAGATTTTAAAAAGAAAATTGAGTGAGACCTATGACATAAAGCTGGCAATATGTATAGTCATTTGATGCCCTGAAAACCTTGGATCCATTACTTAAAGCTTGTAATCTTCATCTTTATCAAAACAACAAACCTGAAAAATTATACCAGGCTAAGATACGGCTACAAGTATATTTTATTGGAATATAAAAAGCTGTCATGACTAAGTTATATTTATATCGAAAGAATATTTTTTCATTTAACAGCCATAAAGTAATGAAAAGTGTTATGTAGACTATATACCTACATAGAATTGTATTGCTATGTAATCTTAAAGGCATATTTTATTCACCGCTGGCGAGAGCGCATGAGTCTTGACTTCAGAGACCAGTAAACACTAACTTCGACAATCTTGTACTCTTATATTGCCTTGCTATTCTTACGAGAGAGGATCTAAGTGTCAAGGAAGACATCAATTACATTTATGTTAAAACTTGTGTACAAGTTTTATAACACTCTTCCCTTATTTTTTTAAGAGTATGTCCATAATAAAAAATATATAGGAATGAGTAGTGATAAAAATATATAGAAATATACTAAGCGGGTAGACTGAATGATTATTCTAAAACATTATTATGGTTTATTACGTAAAAGATATTATACTTATACCTATTAAATATTTATTGCATCATCCCTATAACTGTAAAGCCGTACATTAACAATTAAGGTCAAAGCACACATATCAACTCTGAAAGGGATCACCACCGCATCACCTCGAGCCGTTAGCATTGTTTGTATGAAACTCCTTACTGGAACGCACACTAATCGGAATCGTAACGTAATCGCCTCGCCTCGAAACAGGCTCCGAACCGCGATGCGGTGCCTGGTCAACTTGCAGTCACCGCGCTTAGGCTACGTCCGCACAGGCAGGAGGTTTGCTTAGCGCCTAGCGAGTCACCAAGCGAGTAGCTTAGTAAAACGAACGTTCTAGAATCTTCGCGAACGGCCGCATTGCGCGCTTGAAAAGACTGTTATGCTTTTTTGTAGATGAGTATCCAAATGAGTTAATTTTCCTTTAACTTTACCGAGAAGGAGATCAAATGTTTATCTCGGCATACGCAAATATTCGTAAATCTTTTCGTCATAATTACGCAATTGTTTATACAGAACATTAAACCCCCCATGACTTGACCGTAACTTATTTATGTCTTGGACCCAACATGATGAAGGTCGTGAAGTTGTATATTTGAAAGAATAATTTTCTGTAAGTAGCAGTTTCAGAACTATTTTTGAAGGTGACATGTCGCTAACGTGCCGACAAACAAATGACCAACGCACCAAGCGACCCACTACGCAAGCCACCTTTAGTCCGGCCACCGTGTACCTAGCAAGTAGCCAGACGGCAAGACTCTAGGCGCTAAGCAAACCTCCTGCCTGTGCGGACGTAGCCTTAAAACATAATAATATATAAGCATTCTACGAGTAGAGTAACTAGACTTCGCATGCCACATTTATTTATAAAGCGAATTTCCTCCAAGAGCTGTTCTTGAATTTTCTCTTCGTAGAATAGATAGGTATTTAATTTAAGGACAGTATGCACGGTTTTTAATTAATATAATTTTCATAAACCCCCATCCACACTGCACGAGGGGTCGTAAACACGAAAGTAGCGCTCGGGTGGCTCGTTGACGCTCTAGGCTCTACTTTGAGTCGGTTTTTAAGACACGAGGGGCCGAGCGAGGCGAGAGCATCAACCACACACTCTTGTGCTCGCTCTTTTTTGTTGTTAACAACTGCACTGTAAGGACGAGTGCATTTTATCATGACGGAGTGAACTAACGAGTTGTATATGGCTTATATAGAATTTTATGAAATGAAAATAATCATTTGGAATCCAAACGTGGGATCGGTACTCATGGATTTTAATGTTAAAAGAAGAAGGAGAATTAAGGCATTATAATATTGGCAGGCAAGTAGCTAACGCAGTCACTCCAATCACGTCCATCATGTAGTATAAGTAAGTAGATGTACGAACAACTAAATAAATCAATACTGTGCGTGGCAACCACTCGTGCAGCCTCCAATCGCCATGATTCGTGCCGAGGACGTTGCGAGCGTCTGGAACCGGCTTTAGAATTTGTTGTGCTGTTACAAGTAGCGGCACGAAACTCCAGCGCTGACCGTTATTGCGCAGAAGTAAAAAATAAGGTACCCGAGGGGGGCTAGCGAAATGAAGAGCGTCGATTGGCTCTCCAGTCGCATTCCGTCCCCCGCACCGATACGATACATGCGCAGCAATCCCCTCCACGTATCGGCCAGCGCTAGACTTACGTGCCGCTGCCTATACAGTCAAGTAAACATAATATAGAAAATTCATTACCTACATTCATGATTCCACTATACGGTTGCAGGACTAGAAAGACATCCGTTTATCCGTGTTATTATTGATTGTCACACATGATTTCAGCACCCTTCGGTGCCTCTAAAATTTCTATTTTTAAATTAGTATTTCTTTCCTAGTGACTAGGATCCAGACTATGAGACTAGGACCTAGTCTATGCAGTGTGCATGGTTACTACCATCATAGAGTTGAAAACTAAAAGACTACCAAAATATAGTCTACTTCAATATATACTTCTAATATCTAATCTGTGCTTTAAAATTTTCTGCGTATTGATTTGTTTTGACTTTTGATTGTGAATAAAAGTACTCATACTCCATTTAGTAATTAATACCATTTACACTACAATTAATTTATAAAGATTAAAGGTATTGTTATCTTGTAGGATGTCATCAATAATTCAACGAGACGACAACATTCCACTAGCTGACGATGACCCTCAAGTAATTATTAGCGATGAAGTTGATAATAATCGTTTGGACCACGGGAGGTCTATGGACTCTTTACCGAGCTCTTACACAGGATCTTCAAGTCCAGGATTGAATGGTCCCCCAAGCTTTGAACCTGATTCAGGAATTGATGAACAAGAAGAAAAGGCTCGGCTCATCTCCCAAGTTTTGGAGTTACAAAATACTTTAGATGGTAAAGAAATACCATAAAGAGGATTATTGTTGTGCGTCTTAAATCCTAATATTGAATTATTGCAAAACTAACATTTGCTATCTTCTTTAACTTGTTTCAGATTTGTCACAAAGAGTGGACTCTGTCAAAGAAGAGAATTTGAAACTGCGTTCGGAAAATCAAGTGCTAGGTCAATATATTGAAAACCTCATGTCAGCATCTTCTGTCTTTCAATCAACAACACCTGCAAAACAGTAAAATATAAATTATCTCTCAGTAAAAATAATTTTTACCAAAATTTTATAACTTTTAACTGAATGTTTAGGTATACTTATGTAATCTATCAAATATTTCACTCTAGAGGTATAATTATAAATGGTCTATTGCTTTAGATTGTTTTTGGGCACAAATAGCTTTATAATATATTCCTCAGAGGTTAGATGCTGCTTATGGATAATTATGATTACCAAGCATAACCATTTAAAGTAATTGCAATGTTTAAGTGTAAATGTGCATTATAAATTACTTAGCCTATTGATGATGTTTATAATGATTGTATTTTATTTTTAAGTCTGATTTCTTCATGAAATTGAGCAATATTGGTAATTGGGTAATAATAAAATATTCTGTTGCATACATTCCAAATTGTATTTATCAGCTAGTACATACCCAATTTGATAACAAAGGCTTTATGATATCTATCATAGATTTATGAAATATGTAACTATATAATTAATATTGTAAGCTTTTAAATATAGTTATTGAAAAGTGTTCACAATACTTTATTATCATAGTTATTAACCACTATAAATAAATTATTTATTCTGCCAACTGGTAAGTAATTTTCTGCTTGAAGTTTCTGTATCTCATTTGTTTATTTATATAACTCATATAAATAAAGATCTTTAAAAAGTACAGGGGCCTTAGTCAAGATGCCTTAACAGTAGTGTATGTAGAAAGTCGAAAACTTAATTTGTATGGAAATGACAGTTCGTGTCGAAAAGTTTTCATACAAATTTAGTTTTTGACGTTCTACATACACTACTGTTAAGGCATCTTGACTAAGGCCCCAGCATTGTCCGAAGTCAAAATCACTAACTTCCAGTCTGCGTGAAGCCATTTAAAAAAAAATTTCCGGTATCGGTTCGGTTTCACAGTTCACACTTTCAGTAATCAGTTTTTAACCGACACTTCGCGTGGACGTACGCTGTGCAATTATTTGTTTTCCATTTCTCTAGTTCAATTATTTAATTTCTGACCATGCCAAAAAAATTGAAAGTCGTTGTGAAATCTCTTTATTCTCATGAAATACGCAAAGATGTTAGTTTGGAAAACCTAAAATCATTAAAACTTGAAGATGCGTGGCCTTTTATCAGGGAGGAAATTGAAACGGAGATCGGTAGCAGTCAGCTCGTCTGTATACCACATATTACAGAGGCCGATCTTTACAATGTGACATCTCTATTTGTCCCCAATGAAAAGCCTACAAATGGTAAAATGTTCACTCCTCTTGGAGAGCTTAAAATGAACATAAACACGGCCAAATCAGACCCGCATTATGTCAGCTGGTTAAATGAGAGTGATTTCCAAGATACTTCTTTCAAATTCCCTCATGAGAGTGTCAAGGTAGGGTCATATTGTTTTTATATAAGTTACACATTTCACAACCTTTTCCAGAATTTGACCTTTGTTTGTCCCTTGTGTATTGACCCAAAATCCAAGTACTTAGCCTAATTTGGCCTAAAGTAATGAGAATTGGATACCAAATTAATTGAAAGTACATAATCTAAATGGACCTGTAAATTCATTTTTAAAAACCGATAATTCTTACAGATTACCTTACAAGATGAGTCAATTAAGAATAAAGTTAGAGTTATTATGGTGGGCTTCACTAGAACAATTATTCCAAACGATAAGGACCTTGTCAGCAACATTTACTTGGATGTTGATAAACATAAAGGTTTTTATAATTGTCAATATTTTTGTTATCACATAATTGGATTAGTCACAACTATTAACAATTTATAAACTGCAAATTCTTTGTGTCCATTATATACACTAATAATAAGTGATAAAAATTGCTTAAACTTATTTTTAATTTACCTAAAAACTTATATTTTTAGAATTACAAGGCAAAAAATCTGTGTATATGATTACAAATGTGCTCATGGCAAAAACCATTGAGTTCAGAGTGACTCGAGGTACATCTTCCAGAATTTTTCACCTTGGGAATGCATCACCATTGGTTTTCGGCTTAGATGAGTTCATGATTGGTGATGATGGAAAACTAATTAGTAAAGTAAGTATTTAGGGTAAGATTTAATAGTTGTGCAAACTGACTGCTGTATGTCACAAAATCCAATGTTTTTGAAATATGGGCTTTGAACTTTGACCCTGAATCTAAAATGTTAACACATTTGTTGTAATCTCAGTTCACTACTGTAACAATCAAGTCACAAAAGAATATGCAAAAATACTAATATAGTGACAAAAAAAATCATTTTTGTTAAACTTAAATGAAGGAAAGAAATCTTTCCAATTTGTACGACATATATTGATGTTGTTTTCTGTAAGGGTGTCTGCAACATGTTCTTAAAATTATAAATAGTTTTAAAATAAAAGAAACTTAACTTTACAAAATAAAATATTGCATATAGTGACATGACTAACAAGGTTGTTACGAGAATTGTATAATCTTTATGAAACTACATAACAAACATGAATGAATAATCTCTCTTACCGGGATCGGCAAGTGTGACCTAGTGTTTATGTGTCAATAGTGATAATTTTATTTCCTGTTAGTAATTTGTAACACATAACAGGATTATCTAATATTTTTTAAAGAATCTATTATCATTTATGATAAAGTTATTAAATGATGAAATTTAATCATTTGAATCAATAACAATACATCTTAAAAATACCAGCATAAAAAATATGTTTCACTGATCACAAAATAAATATTTCTTGTCACTGTCAATCTAGCAAGAACATGCTAAATTGCCCTAGAATACTCATTGATGAGATATAATTAGGTTGAGTTATTAAATATTGCTAGTATAATATTTACATATAACTTATTTTAATAATAACATTTTCTTAAAATAACTGGAGCCATTTGCTTATTTAACTATACATATCTAAGATAGTTTTCACATTACATACTTTAAGGTGCTCTGCCATAATTCTGATATGTGAATTATATTCTTATCAGTGGCCAAGATAAGATAGCTCTTATGATTATACTTTTATAACCTATATGTCTGCAACCTGAAATTATTATTATTATTAGGTCCTTACACATAAAACTGTATTGCATATATTATGTACATACATTTGTATGGCAGGAACAAAAAGTTGATTTTTTAAATAGAATATATTTAATTAATCAATGTATGTACTTTGCATTGCACTTTTCCCATCTATAGGGTAGTGCATTGATCCCTATACTAAAAAATCCATTCGGATGGGAATCAATAATATCTTTGAAGGCGGTCTCAACTGCCCTCATTTTTTTTATTCTGTTATAAATCCTTCGAGCCGTTTCTACAGCACTGGTGCCAAAGTGGAACTCGTACTCGTAAATAACGCGATATTTTATGTTTTCCAACAAATACACGCGTAAATAGCTTTAAAATTTTTAATTTAGAATTCCTAACCAAAGAGGTGATATTTGAGGTCAAAGTGGCCAGTCATATTGGCAAAACGTCAATTTCATACGTAAGGATGTCAAAACGTCAATTTCATACGTAAGGAATATGTTATGGTAGGGGAGCCCAAGAGGGGATTTCGGGATTTACTAAAGCGCGGCAGATTAATATATAGGGGGATACCTTGTACCCGGTAAAGTACCTCCACAAAATATGAGGCCCATATATAAGGCCGCCCGTGAAGGAGACAGGATCAGATTAGTAAAAAAAAATTTACCATCAGAAATTCCCGAGCGCGTCAGATTAAGGTAGGGTGAGTTAATTACATCCTAAAAAGTGTATATTCCACTAATCTGACAATTTAAAAGTGACGTAAAAAAAGGGGAGGGCAACAAAGTTGTAAAAAAAAAACGTCATCTCGACATTCTCGAGCGTAGCTAATTTTTTTTTTATTTTAAAGGAAATAATTCAAGAATAATGAAAAATATATAATCTGACGATTTCCGCAAGCCGAAATAACAAAAATTGGTCGATAAAGTTAAATGCGTGCAGCTGCGTGATGCCTACATTTCCTTAAACCGATCGGAATCTACTAAACGGCGTTCTAAATATTTCCCTCAAAATTACATTTCCTGTGAATTTGAACCGATTCGGACCGATAGATTTTGAGAAATTTTGAAAAATCTTAAAAAATAAGAAATATTTTTTTTAAAGTGGTTTCTTTATCGATCAACTTTAAAAACTAATCCGCCTTTGAGCTTGAAAAACCACGTCGATCGCCACCAAGCTGGTCAAAAGCGGTTGATTCGTTCGAGAGATATCGTGAACGAAAGAAACCCGAAAAAGTGTTTTTTCGGGATTACTCCGAAATTTGTGGTTCGATCAATTAAAATTGATCATATGATGATGATAAAACTGCGTCGAATGCCGCCAACCGCGTGAAAATTGCTTGATCCATTCAAAAGTTATTGCGGTTTGAAAATTCCAAAAATAGTGTTCTATGAAACTTCTATCAGACTTTCGAGCTGGGAGAGCTCAAATGCATAGGAAATATTATTTCTTTGAACTCAGCGAGCTCAAAATATCAATTTTAAGCGCCCAGGAATGGAATTAGCGGGAAGTTGCAGGGATGGCCCTTTACCCCTTGGCCACAGTCACCTGCGGCGCGGTTTGCGGCGCGGTCTGCGGCGCGCAAAGCGGCGAGCGGCAAAAACAAATTGAGCAAATTGTATGAAGTATGCCACAGCTATCGGCGACGCGCATTGCGGTGCGACGGGGGTGGCTGGGGGCGGCGCGGTGGCTACCCGCGCGGTGGCGGCGGCGGGGGTCTGCGCGGCGTGCGAGTGAAACAAATGCACTCGGGGAGTATCGACTATCGAGGCGGCCACAGCTCAGAGCGGCGCTCGCAGGGAGTGGTGGACGCATTTAGCATCGCGCGACCAAAACAAATAATTTTGTTTTTATCGCCATTGAGCTCATATAAAATAATGGAATACAGAACAATTTATTAGTGAAATACTGAGTAGACCAGCAATATGGAGTCAAAACATCCACATCACAAATATAGGCATATTATAAAAAAATTGTGGGACGAAATTAAACTAATATAACTAACTAATATACTCTTAATACGTCCACCACTGATGCCGCGGTGCAACTGGTCGAGCTGTGGCATACCACCGCAAACCGCGCCTCTCGCAGCCCCTCTCGCCGCGCGTCCAACCGCAGAAACTTGGCCAAGCTCTTAGGTGAACCGTTTTTCTAAAAAAAATTTGTCAGATCAGGCGAATCCCTCTAGATAATCGTCAGATTATGAGACAGTACGTTTAGAACATAAAGATGAACCACATATATCTTAATCTGACGCGCTTGAGTATTTCAAAATTGCGATTTTTTTTTGCAAATTATGAAAATGGCCGTGGGTTTGCGTCCCATCGAAATCGTCAGATTAGTGAATGAGAGCTTTTTTTTGGTGCACTTAACACTCCCTTAGAAAATCTGACGCGCTCGATAATTTTTATTTTTTTTTCATTTTCAACCCTTAAATACAACCACCCGCATCATGCAAACGATCAGATTAACATACGTACATTATTAAAAATACGTAGGGCATTGATGCTATCAATATCTGACGCGCTCGAGGATGTCCATGCAACAGTTTTTTTTTACATATTTAATAATCTACAGCCGCTTCCCCCACCGATGAAAAGGTATTTATCATATAACATTTTTTTCTTCTTATTATCTAAGCTTTGCATCCCAATAGGTCTCTACGACGCTCGAGTAAATCCCCATTTAGCATCGTGGGCTCCCCTACCATTACAGTATTTGATTTTATACAATTAAGAACTGGCTGATAAATACAGTTTTTTTATACATTCTACGAGCCCCGATGCAAAATAGTTCGTCTAGTATGGAAAGTAGTGCAAAGCGTAAAATATAGAAAGTAAATATTGGTAAAATATTTAAGAACGTTAAATAAAAAGTAAACCACATTTGAGCAACATTTTAAAGTTTATTTTAACATAACTAAAATTCTTTCATGACTTTACATAACATAAAAAAATATTCTAAAAAAACATAACGCAAAAGTACTCACCCAAAAAAGTTCGTCTACCACGTAGTTGTGTCGCCTTTGCTCTCAATGGCAGCTTTAATGCGAAGAGCGTGACTTCCAGACAGCCAAGAGTTTAGCCTTAAAGTCGCTCTTCGATCTTGATGTATTTTGACGGAGAACTTTTTTCATTTTCCACCATAGGGTTTCGATCGGCGACAAGTCCGGGCTGTTAGATGGCCATACGACTGTAGGAATGCTTTTCGCCAGTAGCCACGTCTTTGTTGTCCTTGCAGTATGGCAGGAAGCACCATCCTGTTGAAAAATTAAGGAATCTTGATGCTTAAGTGACGGAAAAGAGGGCAGTAAATTCTCTTCCAAAAGGCTTTGATACCTTGCAGCATTGATAGAACCTTCCATAAACTGCATACCACCAACACCTTTTGCAGCATGCAGCCCCATATCATAAGAGACACCGGAAACTTCACTTTGCGTTTGAGACAATCAGTATGAAATGCCTCATTTTTGTTCCGAATCACTTTTTTCCTTTCATCGCCGACTGTCACTTCAAATTTGGGTTCGTCACTCCAAATGATGCTTCGCCACTGATCGGAAGTCCATTTTAAATGATTACGAGTAAACTTCAACCTTTTTTTCTTTTGTACAGCAGTCAACAGTGTTTTCTTAGCGGTGTAAAATCCGTAACCCATTCTTTTTAGGACTCTTTTGCAAGTATCAACTGAGACGTCTTTGTGAATCATGTCCTGCCATTGCACCGTGAGTTCTCCAGCTCGAGCACGACAACTATTTTTGATAATTTTCTTCAGGATTCTGTTTTCTACTGCACTTGTGATGCGTGGTCGACCAGTTTTCTTCAAACAAGAAGTCGTTCTATTCTTTTTATACTGCTGAATGATAGATTTGACTGTGACCTGGGAAGTATCAAGTCTTTAGATATTTGGTAACTTGATTTTCCAGCATCGACCCCACAAACTATTCGCTTTCGAAGCTCTTAACACTTTTTCACGGGTTTGTTAAAACTAATGAAAAAAACTGAATTTTTTAGAATTTATACCGTCTCACTTGACAAATGATACAGAATTACTTTTACAAATTTAAATTATACGACATAATTGTACAAAGAAGGAATAATCTTATTTCAATTAACAATCGATTAACAATTAGACAAACTATTTTGCTTATAACTTCTTCGAATTTAAAAGAGGATATGTATAAATTTAAAAAGCTAAACTAGTTTATTGGTTTTTAATTAAAAAATGGCATAAGTAAAACGACATGTGATAGTAGAACAGCATTATATTTTATATAGATATACAAAAATAATGTTAAAGTTAGAAAAAATCTCACAGAGAAAATTTCACACTAGACGAACTATTTTGCATCAGGGCTCGTATATTCATATCTATGATCTTGAATTAAAATATGTATTTGTGCCAGACACTATTTAATTGAGAAAAAGCTATTACATTTGTAGTTGTAGTCAAACAATTATATATAGTATTTTAAGCCAAGAAGTTAAATTAGTTTTGGCAATTATTTCATTTATTAAAAGATGTATGAACACTAAGATTTGGTTTATGGCAATTTTCCCATGGCTAATTAAAGAATGTCCGTCACATTATGATGACCTGTAAAATATTACTTTGTTAATTATTGGCATGCTTCTCATTAGTGATAGAGTGATTTTTATTATATGTAATCAACAATCGAAGAGGATTATCGTTGTTTCTTCTTGATAGTTGCAACAATAGAGGTTAATAGCAAGGGAATTAAAAGACAATTTACTTAAAGGTCAACTATAAATCATTACGGTATTATTTCCGTTACGACGTTCCTCACTTGCCATATGCTTTTTATACATATTATGAAGGAAAAAACAATGTTATATTGTTTCCAAAGGCGTAGATATCAAGGCGTTTATTTCAACATACATATTTCGATTGTTAAAGTTAAGAAAGGTCTTAACTCAGAATTCCACATCATATACGTATACCTAGTCTAGCCATAAGTTCTGTTACAAATGAAAATTCTTTTTTTAAATTACGTAATGTAATATTAACATTATTTAACAGCGCTGAGGCATACGCGACCGTACGCGCTACCAAGCTCCCAGCCTTAAAGTATCAGTCAATTCGATATGGCACGCTTTGATATACAGATCTTTAATCTGTTTGGCCACGAATCTATGGATTTACGCACTGTTCAAGAGAAATTTCACCACCTTTTGCTCCAAATATTTTTTAAGAGACTCAATGTCGCCGTGTCGTTTAGAGCAGGCCATGTCCTCTTAAACTAACCATAATTTGAAGGTTTAAAGGGTTGTGGTCTGGGCTAGATGAGGGCCAGTCTTCAGCTCTTATAAAGTCTGAAACGTTGGTTTCAAGCCAGGCTTGGGTAGTTCGTGCCTTGTGACCAGGTGCAAAATCCTGCTGGAAAGTCCACGGTATATTATTAAAAAGTGTTTTTCTGAGAGGTTTCACAGCATGATCCAGGACTTGTTACACTTTGGCTAAAGTTTTCATTCCTTTTTCACAAATATGTAGTTGTGTGACTCCTTGATAAGACACGCCCCGCCAAACCATCACTGACGCAGGATGATGACCACGTTGTACCTTTCCGACCACTTGAGCAGCTTCTTTAGTCTGTCAGCATACACTTTATCATTCTGCTTATTGTAGTGTTGTGCGTTTTGATCGATCCACTGTGTTTAATTGTAAAGATTGATTTAGGGCATGTCTTGTATACCGACGATAAGCACCGAGCTTCAGGTCTTGTTGATAATACGCGACAGAGTCCTAGCGGGAATCTTCTATTCTTGCGATAAGATTTTGTGCTTCCTAATGGGGATTCGACGAATTCTGGCTTTAACAGCCTTTGTAGGTCTTAACAGCACGCGGCCGCCCCGATATTTTCTGGTCTTCGACAGACGAAGTGTTGTTGTATCTGTTGATAGTACGTTATACGAAGATACGGCTGATACCAAGCTTTTGAAGTGTCTGGAATATGACCGACGGCTCCAAACCCACTTTGTGCAAGGCAATAACTGCATCCTAATTTATTTAACACCCCGTTCCATATTGTAATTTGATAATGAACACGAAAAATATATGAAATGGCGCAAAATCGAAAACGTATATTTTTAAAATAATATACGTTTTCCAAATTCAAAATAATTAAAAATTTGAAAAAAAGAAAAGTAGCAGTATTTATGGCCAGACTAGTTATATACATATATAATGACAGCTAGTAAAATTGGATAGAAATTGTAATAAAAATATGTATGTTCTGCCAATTTGTACGTATGTAGTTCGTAATCTAAAAACTTAGGCTTTGGTTATTTGAAAATTTTATTATATCAAGGAAAAAAAGCTACGACATACTTATTAAAAAATATAAATGGCCTGTCGCCTGTTAGACATTCTATAGGAACATATTAGGTCCTTACATATGAAATTGGCGTATTTCGTACTGGCCACTTTAATCACGATGTTCTCCTCTTTGATAAGGAATTCCAAATTCAAATTTGTACAGCTATTTACTCATGTATTTGTGCTTCGATGACCGTCATTCACTTGTTTTTTTCTGTTTGCGTCACTCATTTTACAAAATGGAAAACTTAAAGTATAGCATTATTTACGAGTACGAGTTCCGCCGTGGCACTAGTGCTGCGGAAACGACTCGAAGGGTGAATGATGTGTATGGCGGTCATGTTGCAAAAGAAAACACAGTTCGTTTTTGGTTCCAACGTTTTCGTTCTGGAAATTTCGACCGGCAGAACAAGCCCCATAGAGACCCAAGTTGATAATGAAGTATTGAAGGCTATTGTGGAAGCGGATCCATCGCAAACCACGTCCTAGTTAGCTGCAGGCTGCGGTGTTAGTGATAAAACTGTTTTAATTCACTTGAAGCAAATTGGGAAGATTAAAAAGCTTAAAAGATGGGGTACCTCAGGAATTGACTGAAGCAAACCGGCAAACGCGCGTCGACTGCTGCGTTACATTACTGAACCGGCACAATAATGAAGGTATTTTAAACCGAATCATTACCTGTGATGAAAAATGGATTCTTTACGATAATCGAAAGCGCTCAGCGCAATGGTTGGATCCTGGCCAGCCAGCCAAATCCTGCCCCAAGCGAAAATTAACCCCAAAAAAGTTACTTGTAAGCGTTTGGTGGACTAGTGCCGGTATTGTTCATTGCAGTTTTCTCAAATCTGGCCAGACTATTACGGCTGATGTCTATTGTCAGCAATTGCAAACCATGATGGAAAAGCTAGCGGCTAAACAACCTAGGCTGGTCAATCACTCCACGCTACTTCACGACAACGCTAGACCACACACTGCACAACAGAGGGCTACCAAATTAGAAGAGCTTCAATTGGAATGTCTAAGACATCCTCCGTACTCCCCGGAACTTGCTCCAATAGATTACCATTTTTTTCGAAATTTGGACAACTTCTTGCAAGGGAAAAAATTTAACTCTGATGGGGCAGTCCAAATCGCCTTCACAGATTTTATTGATTCCCGTCCGACTGGTTTTTTTAGTAAAGGGATCAATGAACTACCTATGAGATGGCAAAAGTGCATAGAAAACAATGGTTCATACTTTGATTAATTAAATATATTATATTTAAAAATATTCGACTTTTTGTTCCTCCCATACAAAACGCCAATTTCATATGTAAGGACCTAATATTACTAGATGAGATGAAGAGTAAAGAAAAAAGGGGTACCTTTATTTTATAAGAACAAATACACATTTCAAATAAATATTCTGTCGAAATACACAGTATTCACGGCTCAAACAAAGGTGCATTATAGAACTGAAATTCATGTGAACGGAGGCGCGTCTACTAGTATACGTATATTAAACGGATACATCCTAACAAAATTATATTTGGTACTACGTTTTTCACATACCATATTAATCCAAAGATTATTTACTTCCACATTTGTATACTAAGAACGTAAAAAATACCGAGTGACATATTAATATATGTTGCAAACTAGTTGTCACGTAGAGGAAACCTACATTTCTAGTCAAGGTCACATATTTTGTTTGTTATGAATTATATTGTTCGCAAAATAACTTAACTAATAAAATTATAATCACTTATATACGAGACATTTTAGATTGCTTAATTGAAAACTCGTTCACAGTATTTAAATGATGTTATATAATTTTATAAGTTAAGGTTAATAGTTGCGTTGAATACCTGCAATTTTATGTGTGTTTTTTTTTTAAATCTACGGAATTATTTAATGTCTAATCTATAAAATCTTTAACTACAAAAAGTTTCAGATTTTAGCAAGGTCTCTTAAGTGAGGTGTGCGTTTTTATTACTCACGTAAACGGATTACACTGCTAACTCATGTCAGAATATCAATATCAAATTAAATGTATAGAGAAACGTGACAATTTTAATGAAATAATAAAAGAAAAATATAAAAACTTTTAGGTTCCACCGAGATTTGAACTCGGATCGCTGGATTCAAAGTCCAGAGTGCTAACCATTACACCATGGAACCGATACTAGCTCTTTCGAATTTCACTATTTGTTTCTCAATTTTACTACTGTCCGTGTATACGTTTTGATTAATTTATTTTTTTCAGCAACCAGTGACAATTAAGTCCAAATTTCTTCACTGGCAAAGACTCCATCCTTCAGATCAGCTGTATATTGCCGAGAAAGACGCAGAAAGTGAAGAGTAAAAACAGTAACTTCTAGAATTACTAGCCTATGTAGGCTTGCATTTTAAAATACTTTACGTATTTCGCTTTTAAAGCAATGTTTTGAAGTAGGTGGCAGTTCTCTTGCTAAAGCAATGAGGTAGATTAATTATTCAGTATTTATATTTTGTACTTAGTATGTACTCATACATACCCTAATTAAAATACTTATATTATTCATATTAGTATAGGTAGATTGCGTGTTACTTAAATTTTATATTGAAACCCTAAATGTAATACTCTATAAGATGTGACTTTGTTTATCAAATATTTACTTATTATTTCTTCATTTGACATCACAATTCATAACAAATTGAACTGAAACATTAATGTAGTAATTAGGAAATTGTGTTATTAACTGCACAGCACTAATGTAATATTTATAGAACAGCAATAAAAGTTTTTTTGGGTATCTGATTAATGAGCCCTTACACTACAGTATTACATATTATGCAATTATTTAAAAATGAATGAATTTTGATTATTATAATTAAATTTTTTGTATCTTATTTATATAATTTAGGATTATTCACAATGTAAATGTAAGCTAATATTAATTGGTAAAAGTGAAAAAATAAATCCGTTTTTAAACATTCCTTAATGCTGGCATTATTTGCAATCATTTCTAACCACTGATCAGTTTGTGATACTTAAGTACTTAACATTTTTGTGTAATAGGTATATAATTAAACAGTATTTAAATAAATTGTGTGTTTAAATAAATGATTTGTTTCTTTTATTGCTTTTTTTGAATATATTTTTATTTAAATGGTGATTCGGTCTATGATGCATTAATTTAAAACTTTCTCTAGCATAGGTAACTGGTAACTCTGATGAGGCTGTTAAACCCGTTTCTAAAGGATTAGCTTAAACAGATTTGTTTATCATTTGGAATAAGTACCAAATATATTGTGTTCCTATAGAAAAAAAAAGATTGGCATTAATATGTAGTAATTTATTATCTAAAGTATAAAACCTAATTATCTAGTATTTCTTAATTGTTTTTCTAATAAGGGCCATTCTCTGTTTATGTGCTTCTGTTACTGGTGCCCTCTTGTAGGGTCTCAGCTCATCATTGCCAAAGCCGGGTATCCACATATTCCATTGTCTCTCTGAAAATAATAGACATTTTATGTAGTTATGAAATCACTTTTTCACATAAACTATAGAGCCATGAAAAATCCAATTCTGGATTCCACTGGATTCTTTTCACTGGTGTAAAGATCAGCTTACAATAGATAGAGCTCATTTTAAAGGGCAATTAACATTAAAAAAACTACACAATTATTATGAGGATTTATATGCATTAGGATTATTTTGCATACATTAGACAGTACCACCGTAATAAAAACATAAAAATATATTTTTAGAGCCATTTATAATTTAAGTTAAATATCGTTGTTGTCATCGTTGTTAAATATTATGTTCAAATCAAACCCAGAATTGCAGTCAACTTGCTTTAAATTAACTAAAAAACAATAATAAATTCATGTCTATTACAAAATAAAAGCTTCTTAAGTCACCTAAATGTAACTGAACATCTTTTAGCTCCACTGTTGGTGCATGTCTATGTTTAGCAAGTGAACATGCAGCATTTAGTGTAGTGTCAATAAAGTCATCAGCTAACTGCAGCAACATCTCCTCCACCTCTTCATCTAGTTGAACAGTGGGGTCCACTTCTCTTACTAATTCTTGTAATCTGGGTCTGCTTAAGAGCTAAAATTAAATATCATTTGTCAGATCTAAATTAATGCTTGAGTTTTATATTAAAAGATTTATTGTGAATTGCAATATATTATGCTAATCAACAGAACTTGATTTGATTTTACACTCTAATGCTTGATTGAATATTACTTATTGACTAATTAGTTAGGTAATAAGTTTATTCTGCACTATATACTTGCACTGCACTAAAATGCAACTTGACGATAAGAAGATGTACAGCCTTTTTACCTGTGTTGTTTGATCACCAGATCCTTGATTGGTTTTTGCAGATACTTGTGCTTGGCCCATTGGACTATGCTGCGATGGAGAGCCCTGCATTGACGATGTTTGTAATTGTGGACTTTGAAGTGGATTATTCACATATTGTATAGTTCCTGGAGTCATACCCCCAATTGTAGGCATATTTCCCCCTTGCGACATTTACACCTAGTTTACACAATTTAATTAATACTAAGAGATCAAAGAATTCACTAAAGGCACAGAGTTATTAATTGTTATTTAAAACTCAATTTCTTAATTGTTTTGTTTGTAAAACAAATACCACACAATTTATTAAACCACAATTAGTACTTTATTTATATGAAAAAACAGCTGCACTCTGTAGACGTGATAGTTGAGACGTCATTGTCAAAACATCAACGGTTAATCGAACTTTAACACAGATTAACAGAGAATAGAAAAAAAATAATTTGCGATAGGCATCACCACTATTTTTATTGACTAACACTAATTTTGGTCACGTTTTGTCTCAAGTCCCATCCCTGTAGAGTGTAGAAGGATAATGAGTATTGTTGCTGTTGCAATAATAGCATTTGTGGAAGTGGTTAAAAGTGGTGAGATCTAAAAAAAGTCCTAAAACTTACATAGACAATACATATTTTTATAGATTCAGTAATCATTTCGTATAGAGAAGTGTTGGCCTCGTGGCTTCAGCGTGCGACTCTCGTCCCTGAGGTCGTAGGTTCCATTCCCGGCTGTGCCAAAAAGTCGAGGGCGTGCGTCAGGCTCAGAAGGCTGATCACCTACTTGCCTAGTAGATTAACAAATGATCATGAAACAGATACAGAAATCCGAGTCCCAGACCTAAAAATGTTGTAGTGCCATTGATTTGTTTTTTATCATTTCGTATGCCCCGTGCGAGACGTCATATGTCAATACCTCTGCCCGTTAAACTATTTACAAGGTGTGTTTGTTGAGATATTGCATCGTTACATGCGTAAGTAGGCCTGTGGTAGCCATTAATTGCAAAGTGTAGATTTACGAAACAGGTCAACGATGTTAGCTTCAAATACCTGGGAATCGAATCGAACACTTAAATTTTCTAGATATAAAATGATAGACAAAACAAATTATTATCATATTGTATTTTATGATTAAATAAAATTTATACAGTTTCAATCGTTATGATTCTGCATCAGAATCCATCGATACGTCGGACAGGTCGTCTTCTCCTCTAAACTTGTCTGGAGGTATACTAGCTAATCTATAATCGTCACAGAACTCTTTCAAAGCGGCGTGTATATCCCAATCATGTTGTTTTAGACGCCTGTAAAAATTTACAAACATTTAAATGCAATTTTTACGAGTAAAATGGGTTCTGATAGGTGACAAGCGCAGTTTTGTACCTTCGAAACCGAATATATTTGAAAATGAAAATCATTGATTGACAAATATATAGATTATAAATGCATAGCCATGATAGAGCCTAAGAACATTGTTGAATATTGTATCGACAAATTGTTAAACGTATCAATGTTATTGCACATCAACACTCTCAACGAGGTGACACGAGGAGAAGCGAGCGCGAGAGTATGGACGGTACACTCCTCCTCTCCGCTTTTTGTCAAAGAAAAAGCTTAAATGAAATTATATTTGTACCGGCGTGACATGTTACTTTATTTGAGATATAAACGCAAAGCATTATAATATTGGTAGGCACATAAAGTAGCTATCATTTTAATCATGTCCATCTTGTCAAGCGAGTGGATGGCTACCACTCGTGCCACCTCGACTCGGCAATATTAGTGCCAAGACGCCTCGCGAGAGTTTGGAGCCGGCTTTAGATACTATCATATTATGTGTTCATTCGAAGTTATTACTTAATTTTTTAATTGTATAATTAAAATAAGATCATATTAGCGGACAAATTATTAAAAATTGAGTCTATGGGATAATCGCATTTAATAAAACTGATAACGTGAGCCCTGTGACCTGGGCCTCTGGCTTAGTAACCGAAATTGTATTGGCGGTAAAGTGCGTTGTTTGGGAAAATTGCAATTCTTGTGTTTACCTCTCGACCTCATCTCTCTTTAATTGCGTGTAGTGGGTGAACACTCGACACACCACTTCGCGCTCCTCTGGTTCCGGGTCGATGAGAGTCAGCTGATTTTCGTTTCTTACCGGTGTCTGCAGAACATTTAATTGCCTTTTTAATTATATATTTTTACATCTGGTGGTAATGTTCCGAATGAATTTTTGTAGTATATATATATATACATAAACAAAAAAGCTATGGCCTTAAAGCTTGTGTGATTTCAAATTGAATCTGAGTAGTGTCTGAACTGAAGTTGCAATAAATATAAGATAAATCAAACACATATGGTGTATTTTACAAAGTTATGTATGCCAACATAAAAGTAGTAGGAACATTATTGTAATTTAAATGTTTTCTTCCTTCACCTTGAAACTGTTGTCGGCCATCTCCTTAGTTGCAAATGTATAAGTAAAGATTTCTCTATGAATAAAATGTGTTGCTGTGGTACCCTCTGTATGAATGTTAATCATAAATGTTCTTCGGAAAAACATAATTCTTTCATAATCATCAAGCTTCTCCTTGTATACCCCTTCTATTACCAGATTCAGATTTTTTCTCTAGAACAAAATGTTATATAAATTAGCTTATGATTTCGTCTATGGCCTAGATTCCAAATTCTTGCAGAAATACAGATCGTGTTGCGTGTCCGTTGGACTGGATGATATTGTTAATTAATCTATGAAAATCACAAATATATACCTACCATATCACTCACGTTAACTACCAAGATTAGGTGACACCGCAAATAAAATACCAAGAATCTTCATTTAAGTTAGAGCATGTTTTTATTGACTTACATATCTATATATATTGTATAAATGAAACCCGTTTTCCGTTGTCACGACATAACATGAAAACGGCATGACCGATTTGTCTGATTCTTTTTTTATAATATTCCTTGATGTACGAGGATGGTTCTTACGGAGAAAAATTAAAAAAAATTGAGTGAAAAAGTCTAAAAACAACACTTTTCTACATTCCCATACAAAATATTGGTATCATAAAGTTCAAGTGTTAGTGGAGGGGTTCCGGGAAGGTAAATTTTTATTTTTTGACATAATGTATTCGTTGTATTATCAACTTCCTTTTTTTTATCTTACTAGCTAGACCGGTGTCCCGAATAGCAGAAAAAGTATTTAAAAAAATAAAGAATCGACTGTTAGGCGGTACGATGTCCGCCAGGCCAGCTAATTAACTCTAATTAGATAAGCAATTCTTATAAAGGCAGGTTGATAAGTATGGACTTACACTATGACCGAGTACATCGACGGTAAACGTACTCCGATCGTGGACTGTGGGGGGTAACGAAATGAGCATTGACACAATATTTTCCCGCCCTTCAATATATGTTCCTTTACTGTGGACTATATCTGATCCTGAAAAAAAAAGAGAAATAGTTAATCGGCGCGCTCAGTTAACATGGTTACACTTTTAAGCCGCAAATAATAATATTACCTGGAAAATGGCAATTAATTGTAAATAGAGCAGCTTCGTCGTAGAAATTAGCAAGATTTGACCGCAAATTAGAGTCATAGTGTGAAAAGTAGAGACAAACGAATTTTTCGACCACCATATTTGTTTTCAGTTTTATAGTTCTGATGAATGTTTTGAAGAATGGCATCATTATTCCATGATTGTTAATTTTAATGCCATCCTGAAATCATTCATTTGTAAGCTATGGAAACTTATAATCCAAATTCTTTTGATAATTCATAAATGGTTTTTCCGTGATATGAACCTTTGATTGTTAAAATTTTTTCACTTGCCAACCTTTTACTGTCATCTAGATTCTTCTGGTTTATTACCTAACACTATAAAATGGTCAAATATTACATAGATTAAAAAGTTGGAATAATCCTTCACTGACTGTAAATTTTTTTAAATAATAATTTCAATTAATTTTATGTGAAAGTTGACAATGTTACACATAATATCAAAATTTATGGAGCTAGGTATACCTAGTAAAGTATAAGTATATTTAATTTATAAAATATTTTCTTTTACAATAAATCATATTTTTTACCAATTCAGTTAACCTAGGGAATTTTATAGATATCTTCCTAATATAGCTTGATGCATCTAATTCCGTACACAGGGGGTTTCCTTCCACCCATAGTTTTTCAATTTTACTGCTTACTCTTTGTAGTTCTTCCAGCGAAGGTATCTACAAGAGAATACAAATAATATTGTAACCCTACTTTACGTTCTTTATTAGTTAGTAAATTAAAAATGCATGTAAAAATATATAGTCCAATGCATCTGAAGTCAGGCATAAAATTTAGAAGTACTACAACTTTGTTATTCATTATAAAATCAGTTTAAAATACATACTTATTATTTTTATAAAACAAAGGTTAAATGGAAATGGGCAGGAGGTTTCCTGATGTTAAGTGATATGACTCACTCAGCCAGAGTTGGTATGTTTAATTAAAAGGACCAAGTAAAGAAACAGGCAATAAGAAAACCACAATTAGACCTATGGGGTAAGAACTCAGTAATATTCATTGCCACCAGTGTTACCAGAAATTGTCACTGCACCAAATGGGTTGGTTAGTAATAAAAATAATAAAATAAATACAAAAACATAGTGATATATAATAAGTGACTAATCCAACCAACTTATACAAAGACCTAAAGGCAACCCTAACACTAACCCAAAAGCACACCTTGTAGGCACTAACAAAAACAACCTCTAACAAAAAAAAATTTTAAGCCTTGTATTTCATTTAAAATTTAATAAAGATAAATAGAACTTACTTGGTTATAACTTAAATCAACACCAACAAGGTCTCCTTTAATGAAAAAGTTAAGGATTTCTAGGGGCACCTGACTGAAAAAATACAAGGTACATTTGTTATTGTTTTAGAATAAAAAGCTATAAGTTAAGTTAGATAATTTATTGTAAATAGATACTGAAAAAGGTTTCTGACAAAATTGTGTTTTGGGTTAGTAGAAAATTAGTATTACAACTTAATTTTTTTTTGTTTTAGAGGAAAATATTCATGATAAAATTGAATATTGCTCATTAATCATGCATATTCTCATTCTTTCACATAACTATAATAACTTACCTTAAATTATTGTGACTCAAATTTAAATATTTTGTTTCCTTTCCTATTCTTAGCATTAGTATCTTGAATTGTGACAGCAATGAAAGTTTATAAAAATCAATTTTCTTATCCACAAACTCTAAAAAGAGAAAAAAAAAAGATATGGTATAATTAAATAAAATTTTAGTAAAATGATTGCTTTTTTACATTATTCATTAACAGATGATCAAAATTATATAATTATATTAATATTGAGTTTATATAAATGATTGTGCTTTTTAACCGCTGTTAGAGAATCTAATGGTTAAAAATATGGTACCTTAAAATTCATAAACATACTATAAGTCTCAAGCAGATCTATTTCTACTTATAACTTTCAAACAAATAAACATACAGTAATACATTGAAGATTATATACCTAGTAACCAAGTAGTTACTGAAAATTACCAGTACAAATCAGGAAATTACCTTTATCATTACAGAAGTTAGATAAATTAAGCTCAAAATTAATCCCAAATCTTGAATTAACAACATTTCTTACTATATCTTCTAGAGATACTTGGTAGTCAAACAATTCCATTGAAGATTTGTCATTTAAAAGTATATCTATACTACACATGTTTCTCACATATGGAAATAGGAAGTCCACCTTTATAATTTTTAATACAAAACTTAAACTGCTAGTGTAAAATGTTGTGATTCCATTCTGTGTTACAAAGTTAACAGGGATGAATGTAACAGAAAAGAAACCACTTAAAGCTTCATACAGATTCACCTCATCATCGGTCCAATTATGTAGCTGAAATTATATTTTCTTTTTTAAATACATATATACCTTCTATTTTTTTATAATCTAATGTGTTGTTTAACACTCACATATTACTTTGACACATAAAAGCCAAAATGATGTAAGATATAAAATAATAAATAAAAATATAATTACCATTATTTTATGAAAACTGTATTTACAAACATCATCATCTGTTGATAAACATGTTTCCAAATAATCAATTACGCTTGTTGAGATAGTAACTCTATTTAAAAGGAATTTTTTTAACTTTATTTCTGCCATATTTAATCTTTGATTATAAGATATTATTAATTCATAGAGTGCTTATACAAGCCATACAAATTACAAGCAGTAACATTTGTTACTAATATTTATTTGTTACATTTATAATAAATGCAATTCCCAGTATATATTATTTCTCTATAATGCAATTTGGAAATGCTAGGAGTTCTCAATTCTCAATTCTCATACGTCTTCATAGTCTACAAAATAGAATACAATTACAATGTCTACTGTCTAGTATCTACAGACAAGGGATGTGAAAAATAATCGATTTTTTACGCGATTTTTATACTTGCAAATCAATCATAGTCGATTTTTCCTCTGCCACCTCCCGACATTATGTCTGGTCTTTTATAACCCGGACCTCAAACTATTACGGATATTCGATATACTGTATACATCGATGTTTAGAATGCGATACATTGAATACAATTCTTTGAAGATGTATTAATATACTCGATGTATTGATGTTTTTTTGTAAAACATCGAAAGGATGATAAAACCAGTTAATTTTACAAAAACTCAAGTTTGAATGGAACACTATAATTTAAAAGTAAAATAAATTTACTCAGCAGCACAAGACAACATACAATTAAAAAGACAACAAAAATACTGCAATGAGCTACTGAAAAGGCATAACTCAGCATTCATCAAATTTCACCTAAAATCTATCAAAACGAGATTAAGTTAATTTCGATTTTGATTTTTCTTAAACGTTAATTTGTGTTTATAATTTCTATTGTATATTTTTCATTAAACAAAACCCTTGAAAATAAGATATTTAGGGTGATTATTTTGAAATTAATTCAAAAATTAGGAAAAAATCGATTAATAAAAAAATCGATTATTTTTTTAAGAAAAATCGATTATTTATTAATCGACTTTTCATGCTAAAAAAATAATTGATTTATAAAAAATCGATTTTTTATGCAGAATGTCACATCCCTACTACAGACTACACTTTATATTTCTAAAATCAATTCGGACCAACTAAGTAGGGAAAGAGTATAAGAATTGTTGTTTAATAAACAGGTGAGCTACTCTATTCCCTAACACGGGGTAATAATAAAGTAGGGAGTAGACAAGTCAATGACCAATCTCTTCTAACGACTTGACAAAACTTTAAATGTCGTGTTTGTCGTATATGAAATGGTCTTATAACGTAGTTGGACTATGGTATAGACCAGGCATCTGCATACAGATTACAGCGTGTGAGATAGCGAATGATTGACCAAACTTCATAATCATGTATATCTATATGCCACTAATATTTCCATGAGAAAAAATTTCCCTATTTTGTGGGGTAATTTTTATTACTTTTCTCACTCACTCCACACGCATATTAATTAGTTACGTAAAATTAAACCACACCCGAACACTATACAACCGCTGCGTAGTAACTGTTCTACCTAGTACCTAATACACAACAGACTTCCATTATAGGAAGTGTATGTAATATAAGACGACGTTTTTGTACACGCACAGCTGTGTGCGTGAAGTCTATGGCTACGGACTACACTGTGTACAGTGTACAGTCTATATTGGTTAGGTTAGATTTGAATATTAGGTATAAAAATGGTAGGAATCGCACGTGGTTGTAAAAACGTTTTATTTTTTTTCTTTTGAAAACAATTCATTTCAAAGTTTCTTGAGCATATCCGGGCGTTTTGAGTTGGATGCCAGTTTAATCTACCCGTACACTCAGTCCATTTATTATTTAAAAACGGTTCATTCGGAAAACTGAAAAAAGTGGAAAATTTATTCAAGTGCTGGTAGCCCGAACGAGTTATAATCCAACTATTTACAAAGGACACGAAGTGTGGCAACTACCTGACGTAGGTAATATGATTCGTAATTTAGTCGGTTAGCACGGAAAAATAAGTTTGGAATTATTGTCGTATTCACAGATTTAATTCATTGAAGATTGCTTATTGTTGACCAAAATACACATTCGAATGAATAATTCTTGAACAAAGTTACTGAGTCGTGACAAAATAAGCTACTTACCGATGAAAGGTTATGTTTGGTTATTTACTATAGCTTTTACAGCCAATTATGCAACAACACCATGACTGACACTTTAAATACACCTCTTATAAGGATAGTCTTTAAATATGGGTTTGACTTGGGTTTCACAGATTTATCAGTAAACGGTGAAAACTTGTTTACCACCAAGGGCTTGGTGGTAAAAAATATAACCCGATACGCAAATAGAGAAAGAAAAACCTATACTATGTTTCGCTCGCACTTAAGTATTTCACGTTAATGCCTTCTCTCTTTAGTTATTATTGTTATTTTAGAAGCTCATCTAGTTCTATACTCTATCCACGTCTTATAAGCTAAAATTGATTTACAACGTTCGTTCAATCAAGTTTTGGCCATATAGTGAAACGTAGTATAAGAATAAGCATATACCCGCGTAAAACGCGCATCTCGTATAAGAAAAAGTTCAAATGTAGGATTAATTACTGAGAAGACATTAATTATAAAGAAAAATATTAGTTCTCGTTTAGCCGAAAACATATTATCTCGAGTCTTGTAGTCTCAACTAAATAAAACATTATAAAAATAAGGTACACTAGGCTGTATGTTTTACGGCAAATTACAAAAATAATATCTTAATATGTTTGTAGGTACATATTATATTTTCCCAAATTCGTATTAGACCGATTATATAACTCATACCCACCTAAATCTTGTCCCCGTTTACACTCTCCATGAGGCGACACGAAGGGACGCGAGCACAATTAGTGTGTGGACGGTGTCAGTGCCGGATTAAGCCAGTGCGGGGCCTGTAGCAAATTCTGCCTAGGGCCCTTGGTTTGCTTTAGGTTTTCAAGTTAGGGGTATTAAATACAACAAAACTGTTTCAAATAAACTTTTCTGGATTTAATATAGACAAATTTAGAGATAACACTATCGATATCAACTTCTTTAAGAAAATCATGCTCTATATTGAACTATCAGCGCTTACGAAGATGAATTGAACAACAGCCTAGGTCTGTTGTCCAAATCATCTTCGTAAGCGCTGACTATACTTGAGAATTTTCCAAAATCTCTTCAATTGTAAGAGATTTTAGCTATCGAAATACTTCAGAAACACTAAATCTTATGATTTATAGGCAGCGGCACGTATGTCTAGCGCTGGCCCTCTTCTGGGCTCGCTGGAAACTCTTCATTCCGCTAGCCCCCCTCAGGTACCTTATTTTTTACTTCTGCGCAATAACGGTCAGCGCTAGAGTTTCGTGCCGCTACTTGTACTTTCATACAATTTCTGATTTACTTTCTGTAGATTCAGCAACAGCAACATCACTCTGAACATTAAAATACTCGATTCGCTTACGTATTTTTGATAGAACAGCTTCGTTATATACCGTAAAGATATTCAAGAAAATTGCATGTGTGAAAATTCAACGTTTCATGTGAAATGTATAATTTTTAATTATATAACTTTTTGTTTTGTCATTTTTAAATTACCCGCCTCTTTACTTGAAACTCTAAAACACCTTGCTCAGTTAATCTACCGTCACTAGCTTTTAATAATCTAGAAACAAAAAAAAAGGTCAGCTATATTCACTCATAAAATGAATATATATTTTATAATAAATCAACCAACCACAGTGGAAATTTGAATAGTTCGCCTGTTTCCTCAAAATACTTATAATCGATTAAAAAAGAACAATCTCGCCTACATAAACTCGCAAAATAAATGTATACCTATATACAAATAAAAATCTTCCCGCTTGAAGGGTAGAAATAAGATGCTAGTCTAAATATATCGAGTATAATTAAAATTTGAAAATTAACGTTAAAAAGTTAAATACGTTCTTATTTCTATGATTAAACTTGACGAAATCGAGTTTATTTTTATGTGGAAGTGAAGCATAGACTAAGCGCTTTGCGTGATATTTTACGCTCCTATCTAAATTAATACTTTTTTTATTACGGTCAGACAGGCGTTGGAGCGCGGGGCCCCTAAATCCGCGGGGCCCGTAGCATTTGCTACTCTTGCTTCGTGGCTAATCCGGCACTGGACGGTGTGCCTTTATCACCTCGTCGCATCTCCGCAAGACGGAGTGGAGTAACGAGTTGTGTATGGAATTACTTTTATAGAGTTTTATCAAAATATGGAACCAATCATTTGAAATCCAAAAGTGGGTTCAGTTAATCAAATAATTAAATGTGCATATACAGAAGTTTAAAAAAAACATCATTAACGGAGATTTTAGAGAACACTTAATAAAGAAACAGCTTAAATTAAATTACATGTATTTATACCGGCATGATATGATATTTTTTACTTATAATTGTGACGAAAGATATTATATTTCTTGCTAGGCACATAAAGGAGCTAACGCAGTCATTCCAATCAAGTTTTTCGCAATACATTTTGACGTGTGTTGTAAACCTTTGTATTTAATTGTATTACAAAGACATAGGGTCCTTGTGGCACAGTTTTTTTTAATATAAAGCGCTTCAATACGGAAAAAGTTGCCTATACTTGTATTGTTATAAATATATATATATATATATATATATTTACATTTATATTTACTTGTATTCGATGGAAGGTGGAAACTTTATTAATTGTTACATTTAAAAAAAACACTCAAAACCACCACAGGGGCAAACACAGATCATACGGGAACACAACTAATGAATGGTAACAACTAACAGAATGTCAGAGATGCATAGCTGTTGACAATTGACACTTCACGCGAATTAAATTAAGCCGATGGCGGATAGACGAAAGCTCATTTGTTGATTTTAAAATTTAATTGTATTCACTGTTTACGATCTTACCCATTTAAACTAAGTTTATTTAACATTAACACTAACTGTTGTTTCTATCATAATTGCGATATGAATACTGTAATACTTCGTGTATGCAAAATATTACTTTTCTTTGTAATTTTTATGGGTTTTATTGAACATGTTGTCATTGCTAGTAGCCCTAAAAAATTACAAATTGGTGTTAAAAAGCGACCTGCCGAATGTCCTACGAAAAGTAAGAAAGGAGATTTACTTCACATGCATTACACGGTTAGAAGTTTTTTGTTTATTTTTTTATTTCTCAAGCAAAATAATGCGTAAGTGTTTTGACTAATCCTCATTACTCTTGGCTTACTTTTGTTTTCAGGGTACCCTTGATGATGGAACAGAATTTGATAGTTCAATACCAAGAGGAAATCCTCTAACATTTACACTGGGGGCTGGACAAGTCATAAAAGGATGGGATCAGGGATTGATAGGCATGTGTGAGGGAGAACAACGCAAACTAGTAATTCCATCAGAGCTTGCCTATGGAGAGGCTGGTGCTCCACCTAAAATTCCAAAATCAGCAACACTTACATTCCATGTTGATTTAGTAAAAATTGAAAGAAAGGATGAGCTTTAATTTCTTTTTTTACATACTTATAAGTTACATCAATTATAATTTACAATCTTGTAAAAAGTCTTTCATTTAAATATTCAGATTGTGCTTCTATTGTATTTTTTATTATGATTTTAATTATAAGAAATAATTGATGATGAAAAATAAAAAAAATTAAATAATAACCTATTTTTACAGTGGATTGTTATACAGTAGATTTATTTTAAACTTGAAGTATAAAGCTAAAAGCCATTTTGATATCAAAAATATTTTTATTTTCAAAGTTAACAAACAAGGTAACATTGTAACAGTAGTGCATCATCATGCTGAAATTAAATATTTTCTCAAGAGCAGCAATATACATGTGTTTTTGAAAATTTAATGAAAATAAAGTGTTACTATTAATATAAATTATACATACTATGAAACGTTATTGACATAATATAAAAAATAAATAAATATCTTTAATTACAGACTATATTGCTCAAGTTATATATAACTAAAGGAAATAAGTTAAAATTAATAGTTTCCAATATTGCTTTTCCAAGACATTGTCTTTGCAAAAACTATGAAACTACAATTATAATTAGTATTTCAATTCCTGATTTATACCTTTTTCTATGTAATGAATTCTAGAACATCTTTATATTTTCCAAATATGTGATTACTTTCCTATCTGGGAAATACTAGTCTCTAATTCATGTTTAGAGAAATGTAGTCTTCCTAGTCAGGCATGTTGAGGATAGTTACTTAAAGCTAACAAAGCCTAAACAGTAGCTCTTCTCCAATGGTAATTATTATAATAATTAAGTATTATTACTTTTTTATTTCAATAATCAAAATAGTTAAAGTTAAACGTAACCTATTTCTGTACATGATATTTTTTATATAGTCCGAGTACATAGCAACGGTTGCATTGTGTTTGTTGATTTAAAAAGGGAGTCAGTTTCGAAACAATATTTTATTCTGTAAAAAACTGTATGTAAAATATATAATAATCAACTATTTCTATACATATTATATACTCGATTTAGTTCGGGAGCTGAAACGTCGCGACATCAAATTTAGCTTTAAATTTGAGTCGTCTGTGGCCTCTATTTCCTCTACTAATATAGTATAGTAAATCTGTTTAATATAATTTATACCTGGCTTTAGGGAAATGATTATAATTTACAGCGTTACAAATTTATTTTGGCATGTGGTCTGACTCGTTCTTGCTAATAAAATCCCTATTTCTAATGAAAAAGGTTTATTTTTATATCGCAATAGGTACCTTCAGCCTTGCCTGATGCCTCCACTGACAAAAAAACCTTGTATCACTAATCACTGTTGTTTGTTGTGACTTGTGAGTGTTGTATGACTTGGTGTCAGTGATGCCAACTTGGGGGTTTCCCCCCCAAATTTAGGGGAATCAAGATGTCAAGGGATTTTTTAAGTGATTAGATTTATTTAGGAAGGGGTTTTTAGGGATGACTTATTCAAGATTTAAAATAAAACGCACGTTTCCATACAAATTATATTAGTTCTCGAACCCTAACAAATTTAACCAAATATAAGCGCCTAGGCTCGTGGCTCTCTCTAGGTAAATCAACGGTTAGAAAAGAACAAAAAGCTCTTAAAATAATATATGAAAAGTAATTTTAGGACAAACTAAATTTAAAGGAATAAAAGTTAAGAAATATAATAATTAATACCTAGACCAAACATTTAGGTCATTAAGTAAAGTAACTAATATGTAAAATGCACCCACATGAAAGTATTTTTAGGCAACAGCCATTTAAACTATTTGAAAGTATTTTAAATTGATATTTTGAAATAACCTCTCAGACCGAGTGTACATAAAAAAATGTAGGGGTTTATAGTAGGGATCATCGATGTCATAATCGAAAGCCCAAAATCGATGATTTTTGCATTAATAATTGACAAAAAAATATAATACAATGATATGGTTCGAAATTTATTAAGAAACATAACAAACTATTACATATTCCGATATTTTTTATCAACTGACTGAATGAAAAGTAATTTTAGTAAAGATGAACCTTTTAATATATTTATTTGTTGATAAAGAGTAGTGAGAAGTGTGAGAGAAAAAGCGAGCGAGACTAAGAAAAACGAATGAAGGGAACGACCTGTGCGCAAAGAATGAATATGCGTTCAAAATGTTTATAAACCTGATTTGTAGATGCGTTCATAGAAGACATAATTTCTTTCGTAAGTTGCATTGGTTGTGTCACTTGTGCTGGAGGCCGTGAGGCAGCGGCACGTAAGTCTAGCGCTGGCCGATATGTGGAGTGGATTGCTGCGCATGTGTACTGTCGCGCGGGGGACGGAATGCGACTGGACACTGGAGAGCCAATCGACGCTACGCGCGCCCGCTAGCCCCCCTCAGGTACCTTATTTTTTACTTCTGCGCAATAACGGTCAGCGCTAGAGTTTCGTGCCGCTACTTGTAACATCGATGTTCGATTAATCGATCATGATCATTATCATGTTAACATCGATAATCATCGAGCATCCCTAGCCCGCCCCAACATCGATGATTTTTTGCATAAATAATTGAAAAAGAAATAAAATACAGTGAAATGGTTTGAAATTTATTAAGAAACAGAACAAATTATTACATATTCCGATAATTTTATTAACTGACTGAATGAAACGTAAGTAATTTTGATAAAGAAGATCGAACATCGATGATCATCGAGCATCCCTAGTTTATAGTTATTTAGAATTATCTAAAGTTGCTCGTAGCCCGTAGGGGGATCATGCTGTAAGGAGTTGGCATCACTGCTGAGTTTATATGTTACATATAATTAAGGGATTAAAACTCAGATGTTAAAAATATTAAGAATTCAAAATAGCTGTTTACAATAAAGTTGTTTAATTACTCTTTTAAATATGGTGAAAATAATATTCCTTCATCCGGATCTTGGAATAGGTGGGGCAGAACGTCTTGTATTAGATGCGGCTTTGGCTTTCAAAAGTAAAGGCCACGAAGTCTCATTTTTTACCAACCATCATGATCCCTCTCATTGTTTTGCCGAGACAAGGAATGGGACATTTCCTGTTACTGTCGTTGGAGATTGGATTCCGCGTTCTATTCTAGGAAGATTTAAGGCGGCTTTCGCTTATCTGCGTATGGTCTACGCTGCAATTTATCTTGCCTGGTACGTTATCCCTGTCGAAGAACCAACCCTTATATTCTGTGATCTCATATCATTATGTATTCCATTTTTAAAATTCGCGAGGGGCCCATTCAGAGTTGTCTTCTATTGTCATCACCCAGATAAGCTCTTAAGCACAGAGCGTGGTTTTCTTAAAGATCTATATAGAGCTCCCTTGAATTGGCTTGAGGAAGTTACAACTGCACAAGCAGATAAGGTTTTAGTTAACAGTAAATATACTGCAAGAGTATACAAAGATGCATTTCAAAAAATAAAGGATGTCCCTGACATTTGTTATCCATCTATCAATACAGAATTCTTTAAGAATACTACTCCTAAGAATCTCAAAGAAGTAGTTCCTGTTGGAACAGATAAATTTTTATTTCTATCCATAAACAGATATGAAAGGAAAAAGAATCTTCAATTAGCTTTGCGAGCCTTTGAACAACTAAGACATATGTTATGTGAAGAGGATTGGTATAGAGTGCATTTAATAATGGCTGGTGGTTTTGATCCAATAAACTTGGAGAATATGGAACATTTTATTGAACTGACTGATTTGGCAAGTGAACTGGATATTGATGATAAGGTAACATTACTGAAATCACCCAAGGACATTAATAAGGTATCACTGTTATACCATTGTAACACATTAATATACACACCATCCAATGAGCACTTTGGTATTGTGCCTCTAGAAGCAATGTATTACAGTAAGCCAGTTATTGCTGTGAATAGTGGGGGTCCTACAGAGACAGTTGTAAATGATGTAACTGGATTTCTATGTCCTCCAACCAGTGTTGACTTTGCTGAAGCAATGGCAAAATTAGTTCTTAACCCTGAACTAGGAGTAAGATTAGGAGAAGCAGGCAGAAAGAGGTTTGAAAGTAAATTCTCATTTGATGCATTTACTGAACAATTAGATGGTATTTTGACCAGAGAAAGACAGCTTATTTCTGAGGCTAGGGCTATTGAATATGACCATAAGCGTAAATAGCATGAAAGTGACACTCAAACAATATTTGACATTGTTTGAGTGTTAATCTTGATTGGTTGACTATTTCTTTAGTGCTTAATGAAAAGTGCTGTCAATCAGAAGTAAAAGATTTATTAGGAATAAAAATCCATACATTTTCATCTTTCAAAATATCAATGATTATTACCAAGTTAAAGAATTTATGATTTTGCTTTGTTATCAACTTATTGATAGATATAGAAGATTAATTATTAAATAATTTTAGACTTAATTATTTGTGGTGTGATAGTGATAGAATTGACTGATTAAAATGGTTGGATGTAATTTTATATAGAGATATTAAAACATTTTGTGATATGCAAAAACACTATAATGGTTTAAATTTCATTAACATGTAATATTAAAATAGATAGTTATTTTCAAAGTTAGTAGTGTATTAGTTCTTATGTATGTCTCATTGTAAAATTGTAAATACATTGTAATCTATCTTGTGATATTATTTGTACTACATGTTTTCAGTTCTCATCTTAAGTTTTACGCACAGCCAATCTTCAGTTCTAGGTTTTTTATTTATTTTCATTATAGATGCCCTTAAATAATTATAATAAGTATATATACTAAATGACATATTACTAACGAGTTTTATTACACATTTATTACGACGATATTAACGAAACACACACACTAACACACAAAATAATAATAAGAATCAAAAAAGACAGAAAAATAACAAAAAAAATATTTTTAAAGGAATAGAAGAATAACTGGCCCTGGCTCAGCATTATGCTGAGGAGCAGACGTGCTTTGCAGTGCTGGTCATTCTGCCAGAGACCACAACAGTTAGTTTGCGCCTCAGACGCAAAAAGAAAAATAATCTAATAATAATAATAATAGTAAAAATGAACAGTGTAAGTAAAGAAGTCTTAGAAGATTTGTGTGTAAAAGTATAAAGTAAATAAATAAAAATAAAAAATAAGAATAATTGTTAAGAAATAGATAAATATCTTTGGGCGGATTAAAAACAAGATGTCGTGGGATTTTTGTTGAGTAACTAGATGTACTTTATAACTGCGACTGCGAGATTTTTCAGCGGAGGAGGGATATTATTCCAATATTTCGTCGCACCATATTAGTACTTAAAAAATAAAAACATCTTACGTTTGTCTCTCTGTCTTCTCATACCTATCACAAATATATCCAGTTCTGGTGTAAAACTGAGGGAACGATAAGTAGCGAAATCATGAGACTGCTAGTGGAGGACAGTTCGTGAGCCTCACTCAGATAGCATGCAGATGTCACCGGGATTGAAATACCTTTCAGGCTCATAAAGTCCAAGCCATGCTGGAAGCAGGCTCATACAGTCTGGTTCAATTAATAAGGTTTCACTTTCCATCGTTTCATAGTTCATATTTTATCTTTGATTATATACATTATAATAAAAAAATAAAAAATTTATTCTAAGCAATATCACTTTTTTGCTAAAAACATATTTGCAATTTTACTGTGATTTATCTATTTAAATATGAAATAATAATTATTAGCTAAACTAGAATTGACAGACAAAAGTTGCCTATAATTATAAAAAGGAATATTTAATTAAAACAATTTCAAACAAGATTATAAATAATTTATTTTAAGTTTTACTCAATTATAACTTTTTCAGGTTCATAAACTTTTTCCACAGTTTCAGGGGGTAAGGGATCAATAATTTCAAATTGAAGGTCGTACTGTTGATCCAATCCCAAGTAGCTGTCACTCATAATATACAATGTATAAATAAGGCGACCTGAAAGCAATAAGGATGGTCAATGATAACAGCCTACAACTTCTAGGTCGCAGATTTCTCTGTTTCGTGATATTTTTTTAATAGGACGGTCTTTGGTGTCCTGCGCCTGACACACGCCATCGATTTTTAGATCTAGGGCATGCCGTTTTCTCACGATATTTTCCTTCACCGTACTAACGCACATGAAAAGTCAATTGGTGCAGTTGTGACACCTTGAGGTGCAGAGGGGCACGTTTAAGCCACTAGGCCATCACCGCTATTGTAAGAACTCTCTGTTCAAGAGCATTATAATTTAAACCCTCTGTAAAATTCATAATGTAAGGTCTGGCCTCAGACATAGAATTTTATACTTGTAATAAATAACTCGAATTCCAATATTTACACATATGGAATAATTTGTCCAGAGCGTAAACCTTAATATATTGATGCTATGACTTTTAAACAACCTACCTGTATAATTTGGCGTATAGAATGTGAGGAGGGAATTTCCTCTAGCCGAAACTCGCTTCAAGGCATGCAATTCTCCATATTCCAACGAACCAAGTGTGACAAACCAGCCTTCGTTTTTGGAACGGGGGAATCGGGGGCATATCACCGTATTCACATTGCCTCCTCTACGTTGCATCTCCAGTACTATAGTGTATTCCTAAATAAATAGAATAAGTTAAATGGAACAGTAGTATAAATATATTAAGTTCGATAGATATTTTGACGTTATTAAAGTAGAAACCTATATCCAGTTTACTTAAATTTTATTTTTAAATACTTAAAACAAATAAGGTTATCCGTTTTTATTTAAGGATATTATTTGAGTATGAAGCCTAAATAGGCATATAAGGTCACGTGCGACCTTATATGCCTATTTAGCGTGCGTGTAGTAAGAATATTTGATTTCAATATATTCCAATCTAGGGAACAGTCTAACATTCATAAAAATTAGTACAGTCGTTTTTCCTTTTCGGTTGAAAGGTATTTAAAGTCGGTAGATTACCCTGAATTAATAGTATAACTTTTCCAGTTACAAAGCTGCTAAGCATATCAAAATGAATTGATAAATACAATTTTTCCGTGTTTCTCTGATATTAAAATATGTTAAGGACATTTGGGTTCCTTATGAACAATATAGTTTACTTGGGTTATTTTGCTATGAAGGTAGGGGCAGAGATATTTCTGTGTCTGTTTCATTATGCTTTACAGGCAAGTAGACCCGAAGTAGTGGCCTACTATGCATAACAAACATCGGATATTTGAGTTTAAGACCCTGGTTTCTTCACGATGATATATCACACACATTCAAACAGAACGTTAAAGCATACGCTCTTGGAGTTTTAGAGAGATACCAGAAATATACCTGATCAGCATGAATCGGCATCCACTGGTCCTTATGTTGTGGCGTATGAATCTTTTTATCATGTTCACAGTCGCTGTCAAACCATATTCCTCGTATACTTATTTTCACGTCCAATGTGGGTAGGTCACAAATAACCTAAGAAAATATAATAACCTTAGATTATTATATATAAGCTAAGACTTAAATTTTACACCAAAATGGTCAGTACGACACTATAATATTCAATTAACAGTAATTAAATATTACTCTAATTTTAATTTAATTACAATTTTTTTTAAATAACGAAATGTTAATATGTTCTTAAGAATCTCAACCGGGCTCACCGCATGTTTTTCATTTAACCATTCTGTTGGTCACGAACGGATGGTCAGAGTAATAATAACATAACACATTATTAACACCACAATAACAAAAAACAGGAGAAAAATAAGATTAAATAAATGAAGACAAAGGATGTAAATGGGCGGTCTTCCCGCTAAAAGCAGTTTATTCCAGACAGAGTACTGTGTGATGTGGCACATGCCCATGAGCATTCTTCTTTTGACTTAAGCGTAATAGTTTAAAATCAGTGAAGTGTAAGTAGTGAAATACAGTGAATTGAGCGATTAATTTCCTATCCTTGAAAGCAAATTACTGATAACCTTTATTAATATTACAAGATACCTAATACTGACCTTATAAATCTGATCAATTTGATTCTCCTCGAACTCGCGTCTCAAATACTTTGCTAGTAGTTCATAGTTCCGCATACAAGCGACTTTTAGACCATTTAATATTGTACACGGTTTATTTGTGTCTTTGGCCATACTAGAGAATATATAAAGATGCTGCGACTCTATGTGAGGTAAAGTGGTCAAGGGTGAGTCGGATGGCCAGCGGGCTTGGATTATGCACTGCATTAATATTTGGCAAGACAGACAGACATATAACCATCCGTTTTCAGCTGAGGTGTCAATCATGGCCTGAAATTAGGAAATTGTATATTATAGAAATTGTATATTATAGAAATTCCGTCATTAAATAAAAAAATTAAAATAAGATGCAACATAAACCAATTAATAGCTATTAAAATATTTTTATAATCACGAACATTTATTTTGAAATTCGTATATTCTTATTTCATTATATCACTTACGAATATATATTTACGTTAATTTCATATTTAACATTTTTTTTATTTATTGAGAAAGATTTACAGCTTATTACTAACTTACTTACTAAATACAATGTTCTTTTACACCATTAAATAAATCTTTACAAATAGTTCAGTACTAATAATATTAACTAGATTGCTAACACTAAAACGATTTTATTCAACTATACAAATATATATCAAAGAAAGTAATAAACTAAGTAAAAATTGGTTAAGTAATACTTAACAGTTTAATATAACTATTACACTTATAAAAACTTATTTATTACATACTTATTATAACATTAAGACACATTACCTGAATAATCCTGATAGTTTGGTCTAGAACAGATTTAGTATCTGTTAAGTAATCGGTGTTGGGTAATTGTATTCTGGTCAAGTGCGCTTGGAGCAGCAAAAAGGCTTTTACATGAGAGGAGTCTAGAGTGAGTGGGTCTACAGGCAGACGGCAGAGTTGGGATAATTCACTGGAAATACATATTTTTAAATTAATTCAAGTAACACTGACTGTTTGAAAAAATTGTTTAATAATTTTTGCTTGACTTATTAATGGGTATACTGAAAACAAATGATTGAAATGATGCATAGTGCGTATAACACATAGGTTCTGGATTCGATTCCTGATAGTAAAAGCGGTGGATGTGACAGTAATCAACGTCGAAAACTTCCGAGTTACAAGTCCTCGAACGATAAGGCCACAGTATATCACTTACCTAAAAAATCTATTCATGACATTCGTGTTTCGCCTTAGATTTTTTGCTCACCCTATAACTCTTGTAACTTACCCATTTAAAACATCCTCGTTATGTCTTACAGGTAGAGTAGCATATTCGTGACTGTCCGACAGAACACGTAATAATGCATCTAAATCGAGATTACTTTGCAGATTTTCAGTGAAATGCGCCATTGTCTTGTGTGACAGGTAGTAGTAGGATGCTATCCTACCCATCCATGTAGATTGGACTGTGCGCTGATCCTATAAACAGGAAATACGTATACAGAATCGATATTTTCACACAAACCTTAAAACTATAAGAACCAAGAAATTTGTTCAAAGTTAACTGTATTCTTAAATCACCAAAATTATATGATTCAATTTTGGAAATATGCTTGATAACTTAGAGCGTATGAGTTAAAGAAATTGTTTATATGATTCTCTCTCGTTGATAAATAATACTATTTGTATGATATTGTATGATATATACCACTTATATAGCTGAAATAATACTATATAATAACATGTAATAATCGAAAACAAAATCATAATCTAGTTATAATTACGCTTTTTGGCGTATTAAATAAATACTATCTATTTATAACCATTATTTGTCAAATATATTTATTCAGCTGTTACAAAGTCATAGACATATCACTAACAAAAACACACACACAAAATAACGATAATCAAAGAAAAAAATATAATTAGAGATATAATTTTTTTTTCACTTTTCCTATTCGTTTCGTTACAAGTGTGTAATGCGTGTGTGCTGTGATTGTAATTGGCCCTTGCTCAGCATTATGTTGAGGCGCAGAATGTTCCACACGTTTATTGAAATATCATCTATTATTTTTTGAGAGAGTACTTACTCTCATTACTTTCATTTCCACCCACGGGATAATCGAGCTTTACCAAAATAAAAATATAAAGGAAATAAATTGAATTAAATTTTAGCTTGAATCGAATTTGATTGACACAGAACATTAATTAGTTGATAGTATATCTGCTGTATTGTGGCTTCAATCGATTAGTGTCCCTCTCGGAGACAGCTAAACTTTAGTACACATACTTTTCTCTTTGGCATAAATAGTCAAATTTAGTATACCTCTTCAATTTCCACACAACCGGCGTTGGTTAATGCATCGAGCGATGTTTGTACCAAACTTGACAAATAGTAGTTGACATCTTGAGGCTCAATACTCTCTAAGTTGTAGTACGACGGGTTTTTAAGTAACCTCCGGAAGAAATACGTCCAGGTTAAATAATCTAATATATCCTGTTTTGTTTGCACTGTACCTGTAAGATATTTTTACATTTATCTATAGTCGATACAGAAGTATGGAAAACCAGAAAATGTGTTGTTGTTGGTCAGAAAAAGTCAGTAAATTGTTAAAAGATTAGTATATCAATGTTTTTATGTTACTCATGTTAACAGGGACAAAGGTAGATAGGACCCAATTCTGTGTCTCTTCTACGCCATGCCATAAGTTATACTGTTTTAATGCATCAGTGTACATGACTTGACAAAATCTATTAAATGTTTGCCGTACAAAATAAATCAAAATATTATTTATACATGTAGGTAACAAAATCTATTTACAACGTCTGAAAAAAAAACGTTTGCTTTTATATGTAAATTTACTGCCACTTATCAAGTCAAGGGCGTAGAACGGACGAGAAGAACTGGCAATAAATTCGCCTTCACTCCTTCAGAAAAAACAGGGTTTTTTTTATAAAATCTTTGTACCTGAAACCATTACATCATGGTTCTCAGAACAAGTAACAGTTAATTATTGTAATACATTTAAAAGACGAAACGCGAGTCAGACTTAGTCTCGTCAAAATTAGACAGTAAATAAAATCATTAATTTATTTTGCAATATTTTTTCAACATTTTGAAAATACCTGCAACAATTTCAGCATTCAAATGGTCAGCCAATACTTGAAGTAAGCTAGATTCGACGGGGAACGGTTCGTATAGAAACTTCTTGTAGAAATTCTTCTTTTGATCGTGCACCAATACTACAGCCACACCTTCATTGTCGTACTGAAAATTGAAACGGGGTTAAAAAAAAAATTACAATATATAAATCAAGTAAGAATTTGACATATCGTATATTATATGAGTTGTTTTAGTATCTACTTATTTTTAGTTTTAACCTTTAGATACGTAAGTGGATTAACAATACAAAGGTACACAATCATTACAAGGACAACGAAAATATTATTATTGCTTCCAATTAAATCCACGGTGAACTTGTCTCCATGAAAAGAGAGTACCTATTCTTAAAAGGCCGGCAACGCATTCACGATCCCTCTGGCATTGAGTGTGTCCATGGGCGGCAGTATAAATAAACACCTATAAAAAAAATATTAACTTACTTGCGGTCTTCCAGCTCTACCCATCATTTGCAGAACATCAGTAATGGGCATATCGACATATCTTTTTTGTTTCCCGTCGAAATACTCCGTGCCCTTTATCACTACTAAATGAGCTGGGAAGTTCACTCCCCAAGCGAGTGTCGCGGTACATATTAACACCTGTAGTCAAAATCAATGTACTTTCTTAATTTACAATCTTACAGTAGATGAGGTCATTTAATACATAATAATATTATATATTTGCTCATTTTCAAATATATCCAATAACTCTACAGTTTAAATAAGAGAAATGATGTAGTAAACTATAAAGAAAAAAACAAATGAAAAAGACTTTCGTAACTTCTTTGAAAAGCATTAAGGAACCAGGCGTTTTAATTTGCTTACATTATTTTTAGACGAATTTCTCACTAAAACTTAGATTGATTAGAGACACGCTTCACATTTATGCCTAAAAATCTTCGCCAGACATAATTTTATATTTGTCCAAATAACTGGCAAGTAGTATAACAGTAGCAATAAAAACATGTTTACGAACTATGTGTCGCTGATACTCCTATAGGCTTTTTATGATGTTGCTAAATAGTGTTTGAAATATCGTTATTACCTGTCTTTATTAATAAATCTAAATAACACACCTGAATCTTCTGGTTAATAAACAATTCCTCCACCGTAGTTCTATCCTTTTCATGTAGACCAGCATGATGTATTCCAATCCCAAAAGCCAGGGTGAGTTTAAGGTTCGATTCCCGTATATTTGACAGGATTAATTCCATCTCCATCTCTTGCATGTGAAGCCACTGTTTAGGATTCTCCTCAGCTGCCAAATATGCTATAAGGTCTAGTGCCGTTAATCTGAAATGTATTGATATGACTTAATGGTTTTAAAGATCTTTGTAACTTACTTTTAGATCATAAAACTGTTTCATAATAAAAAATTCAAAGTTATTACATATTAAATTAAAATAATTTATTTAAGGTTTTATAAAACTAAAGTGCGAAACAACGTTCTGTATATTCTCAATGGAGAGCACAATGTAGATTGCCTGCATGATGGAAATTTACGTCATAGAAGCGTTTAAATATACAAAGGGACCATTAGATACGATACGACGGAACAAAAAGAAACCGTAAAGAGTATAAATGAGAAAACTCCCAATTCACTCTTAACAGACAAGGAGACCTGATCGTATCTGCCGCAGTTTCTATTTAGGGTGTCAAAAGATGCTGCAAGCCGAAATGGTAGCAAATGAAACGGTGTTTGGTTAAATAAGGTCTCCAGGATTTGAAAAGCTGGAGATAAAAGGTTACAAAAACACATACACACCCCACTTATTCATAATTGTATAAAATAGTTACTGAATGTCTCGCTCTCTTTCACACTATAAATTAATAAACGAGACAAAACACACTTCAATTAATTATTATATAGTACGTTTCCGATTTAGGACCGGGAGGTGAAAAATCATGACCATACCTAGTCTGTCGCCTACTAGATACGAAGACAAGTGAAGGCGCGCACGGCGAATGCGTACGTATGGCTTGAAACGTAGGTTTATTCATTGTCATCATACGCGGACAGTAGTGACGTCCTGGGTGACCTGATATGTGTACCTGTGTCATAAAAATTGTAATAAGACACCAGAAATTACAGGTGTTCATTGCTTTTAAAATTGACGTTTAAGTTTCGCCTACATCTAAATTTCACCACAATGTCTGAATTTTAAACCTTACACAGCAAATGCTAAATGCTTCTAATTTTACATTTACTGCCAGATCTCAAATCAAGGGCGTAGAACGGAAGAGAAGAACTGGCAATAAACTCTGCGCCATTATTTTTAATCGCCAAGTTTTTTGTTTTACACAATGTGTGTAAGAAGCTGCAACCATTACACCATGTTCCACGTACGTACTAGTGCTAGAGTTACATTTTGCTGCTGCGATTATTCCTACCCATTCTCGTTGCGCATTATGATGGTGCGGCGAGGAGGTCGTGTATCTATGGCATTTGTAGTCTCTTGATTTTAAAATTTCTAAGATCTGTAGGCTATGCCATGGTGATGTCGATGGCGCGTTCCATTTGATTGTGATCGGTCATATTGAATACATAACATTTGCATAATCGTTACTCAAATATAGATGTTCACATACACATAATAATAACAAAGTAGGAAACAAAAAATATATTTTCTTATATTATATAAAATTCTCGTGTCACATGTTAGTTACCATACTCCTCCGAAACGGCTTGACCGATTTTTATCAAATTTTATATGCATATACAGTAGGTCTGAGAATCGGCTACTATATATTTTTCATACCCTTAAGTGATAAGGGTTTTCCACTCCGAACATTTTATTTTTTAGACAACATTTTTTGTTTTTATTTTTTTTTATGATACAGCATACAAAAATACATACAACCCTTAATTTTCACCCCTCTACGATCAACCCCTATTTTTTATTATAGTAGATAGTTATTTTTATTGAACTAAAAAATTTTTTCCTAGAAATATACAAAATATACATGGCAAAACAATGTTTGCCGGGTCAGCTAGTATATACAGGGTGGCCAAAAAGTCGTGGATCAAACGCAAATAGGGGATAGATGAGGTCATCAGCGGCAAAAAATTGTTCTACGGGAGGTCTCTAAGGTCAACCCCTGCAGAGTTATGATTTATTTTGGTTTTTATATGAAAATTGACTTTTTTTACTAATTCTTATTAAAATTCGAAAAAATCTACATCCTGTATCTTTTTCATAATATCCACTAGATTGGTACTGATGAGTTCTTGCGTTAGACATACTATTTATAGTTGTTTATTGAGTGTATTCAAGATAATATTAAGTGATACGATATAACATTTTTTCAAATCATAAATTTTTCTTTACTTTGGACCCCACTGTGAAAAAAAATTACTCCACCGAAAAGTGTCCCTGTACTACAAGTTTTGGCACATTTAATAGGGATTCTGAAAAGGTATTGCACGTGGTCATGAGTCGCTTTTATATCTTTCTAGGAAGAATTACAAACAACGATTGTGAAATAATAATTGTATTAAAACAATTATTTCTCAATGGTTGTTTGTAGGAAACAAAATATTTTACAATAAAATATGCTCAAAATTCCTGACTCTGACCATAATACTTAATCTGTACCGTCTAAACAAATTCCTAAGTAACCCTCCAGCCATCTGTCCAATTCTTTGAATCTAGTCCGATTCACACAGTACTGGTCACAGGTAGGTAAATAATCTATCATAAGTCCGAATCGTTGTTGTTTTTTCCTCCTAGAAAGATATTAGAGCGACTTATGGCCATGTGTAATACCTTTTCAGAATCCATATTAAATGCGCCAAAACTTGTAATATAGGGTCACTTTTCGGTAGAGTAATTTTTTTTCACAGTGGGGTCCGAAATAAACAAAAAGTTTTGATTTGAAAAAAAATTATATCGTATAACTTAATATTATCTTCAATACACTCAATAAACAACTATAAATAGTATGTCTAACGCAAGAACTCATCAGTACCAATCTAGTGGATATTATGAAAAAGATACAGGATGTAGATTTTTTCGAATTTTAATAAGAATTAGTAAAAAAAGTCAATTTTCATATAAAAACCAAAATAAATCATAACTCTGCAGGGGTTGACCTTAGAGACCTCCCGTAGAACAATTTTTTGCCGCTGATGACCTCATCTATCCCCTATTTGCGTTTGATCCACGACTTTTTGGCCACCCTGTATATATAAATATATGTATATTCAAATGGCGTTCATAAGAAAATCTATTTTAAGATTTTTTGACATAGTCTTACTATTGTGTATTCTTAGCAGTATAATATAACATCGAGAAATTGTCCCGAGTAAAAAATTACTACTGGAAAATGTTTTACCGATTAAATCAATATTGTACTTACTTCCAAAGGCACAGGTCGCACGGAGGGTCTAAAGTTGTAAAGTCCCATTTCGCCTATGTTCAACCAGTTTGCTAAATCTTTAGCGTTAGCTAGAGCTGTTGACAGGCCAATTATGCGCAGACGCCGTGATGTATGCGATTCAATGAAATTGGTTCTGAAAGAATATAATCAAGTTTGACAATTTGAAAAGATCGGACTACTGAATTCACATTTCTTTACGCAAGTTATTTAATTTAACCGATGATCCAGGGTTCAAATGCTAGAGAACTAGTTTTTTTTTAGTTGGGAAGGTTAACTACGCGCCTCCTTAGCTTAGTAGCAGCTTAATTTTGTTTCAGGTTTAGTAGGCACAGACAACAGACGCAGGAATGTGTTCTCATCGGTGAAAGGAGAGAATTATTCATAAAACTAGAATATATTTGAGTTACGTTGAATGATAGTAAAATGTTTTATTACAAATTGCAGACGTTAAGCAAGTTCTTATATGGTTTATGATCGCTTGAAGAGAGGTACTAAAACACAGTTAAAATAACAAAGACCAACCTTGACACAATAACCTCGAGTACCGGCCCCCTATCTTCACCCAATAGATGTATCTCATCTATAACTATCAAAGCAACGTCCTGTACGTAATTTCTCGTCTGCCACGAACGACTTATACCATCCCATTTTTCAGGCGTTGTTACTATCACTTGAGAATTTTTTATGGCTCGAATGTCGGGTGATACGTCACCTATTTAAAACAATTAATTATTAAATGGTTACTTCTATGCTTATATTTGTGAACATGGCCGAAATAAGAGAACGAAGCGTTTTTTAAATGGGCTGTAAAGTGAGGTTATCTCACGTTCATAAGCGACCATGCTTGTGGCAGTAAGTGAATATACCAATGTTGACTTCGACTATGGAGTTGTAGAATAACGAAAACTTTGGTTTTTCCTAGAAAAGAGTTAAACAGTAAATTCTGTATTTCATAGTAATCACGAACTGTAAAAAGCACAAAACGGGAGCGGCTGGAGGTTCTTGCTCGACCAGGCTAAAGGCTTGGGCTGTAGCGACTCGATGCATTTTCTATACCTAGTATTCAATTTAAAGAAATTGTCGTTTTGTTAAAACATAGAAACGGAATGTTGAAAAATACATATTTTTATTAATGATGTGCTTATTGGACAATAATATTTATTTAAAATTAATTAAGTTGTGATTGAATGTTGTATGAACAGATAATCTTATGTACACACTCACACTCGTGTGTGCAACAATATTTATCATTCATAAATGTGTTATTAAGTTTAAATAAAGAAATATGTTAAAAATTACCTGTCAACTCCACTACTTTCTTCCCGAGTCTCTCCTCGAGTCTCACTTTCCAATCCTTAATTCTTTCTTTGACGAGTGCTTTCAGTGGTGCGATATATACGACCTTAATTATAATGATTTCGTTAAAAAAATTGTCTTAATAAAATAATAAAGGTTGACATACCTCCATAATTTGTTACAGTTTTATTTGAATTCTCATTCACTTCCGTGTATTAATATTATAATTTATGAAACATTCTACTCAAGTCCGATATAAATCGTTAAATAAAAACAGAAGAATGTTACTATTATCTAAGATATTACTCCTTGTTATACATATAAGGGAGGGCAACCGAAGCAATCAGGAAGGATACCGGCTTAGTCTGTATTAAGTGATCGCTCTCAAGTAAGGCTAGTATGAAAAATCTATGAAGAATCTAAGACTATGAAGTAAAAACATTATCAATTTATTACAATTACAATGTTTTGGATACTCGACAAAAATCTTCATAAATAAAAATAAATAGCGTAAATTCATCTACCTATTATTTCTCACGTTTTTATGAAAACCGTGCCTGGAAATAGCCCATAGACAATGTGAGTAGATACGTTGCTAGTTAAAAAAAATCTTATAAATAAACTATACAGATAAAAAACCTTACCTTACAACCAGGATATTGATTAAAAACCCTAAACATAGCTATTTCAGCCACAATTGTCTTTCCTGAACCCGTCGGTGCGCCCAATAACACATTATTATCCGTGTGGTACAGGCAGTGAAATATTTGAGTTTGTATCGGATTGAAATGTGAAAAATTGTAAAGCATTTCGTATGACGGTTTATTGAGCGCTGTAACTGGTAACGGTTGCAGTTCCAATAGGTCTGGAAATATTTATTTGTTTGAGTTCCGAAATTGATAAGGACATAAGCCATTTGTTCAATAATAAAGTTATAGTATTTACTATTCCATAAAACCAGTAACAAAACAATAAACGAACTAAATAAATAAGGTGCAATTATTGAATTATATAGCTAAATATATCAACTTATAACATACATACTAAAGTTTTAAATGCAATAAATATTTTAAAATGATATTTTAATGTATAATACGTAGTTTAAATGTTCGTAGTTCCAAAACTCAGATTACAAGAAGTAGAAAAGAAGGATTATCCATGTAGATATCGCAATAAATTACATATCGATCCCAGGCATTTGATAATCGTTTAAAATTTCTATTACATTTGCGATTTAGAGAGATACAAAAAATCATTGATTTTATTTTAAGAAATACGAAACGATTGTACGCTCCGTTTGATTTTGATTGGTCAACAGAATATCTACTCCAATTCGCGTTGACACGTGCCATACCTACTATATTATTATATGTAACTAAAATGAATGAAAAGTTTTGTTTATATGTACCTGTATGTGGCGGGTGTGTTTCAGGTAAAATCAGATGTTGGAACGTAAGAGGTAGAACACTTTCTGATCCTAACCATCTGGAAATAAATAGAAAATAAATAAGCATAAAAATCATATACATAATTCACAAATATTTAAGCACATTAACGCTGAGGAAAAGTCTTTTTTACTTCCGTTTAATAAATATTATTAATCAAATCAAAGTTGATTTATTCGTATTGGTAACACTACACTTATGAAATACAATATATATATATATTTATTTAATTTACATTTACTACCAGTTCCCAGTTAGAGCGGTCGAGAAGAACTGGCAAGTCTCCGCCACTCGAAATTAAGGCAATGACCAACGCTAGGCTTCACTTGACATAATGACAAAAAACGTCATAATAATAAAGCAATTACTTAGTCATTTTTGACACGGCTGATCGGTACATTTGATTTTTTTTCATTTCGCAGCCGATATAACGGTAGTTTAAATTTATTTAGATTTTTGACAATTAAACTTATTTAATTACGCCAACAAATATTGAATGATTTTGCGTATGGTAAGCTATTTGTGATTTAACATGTATCATTCCTATACTAATTGTATCATTATCCCTACGAATTTCTAAAGTTTATGTCAAGGATGTATCGAGGTGCTCAAGGGTTGTATTTTTTATTATCTACAATATTTGCAGACACAATAAATACCTTTCGGAAGTAGCTCGTATGTAGTATTGCGGTGGTAATGGCTCAGATATCGGTATCGTTATAATCAACTCTTGCGGTTCATTTGTTATAACCTAAAAATAAATATAATTATTGCTATGCTTATTTTTTAATACAGCTTTATCTATTATTATCAGCGCGTTGTTTGGAAACATACGTATAGACGATGATTTATGAATTTTTCATCAGCACATTTAATAATGATTTAAAACTTTTATAGCAATATAAAATATTGTATATATAACTTGTAAAACACTATTTTAATTTAGACATTAAAACAAAGTAAATAATAAAACAATTTTGTACCGGATTTAAGTTATGTATTTACAATTATTTTTCATAATTTTAAATTTAACCGACGTTTCGCGTGCTTTACAGCGTGCGTGGTCACGGTGTCATCTATTTTCGCGGATTGTCAGAGGACACCGTGAGCCATTTCTGCCGAAACCCTCCATCTTTTAGTCGATACCAACTCCGGGGAAACAAATACAGATAATGCAACTTTTTCTACAGCTGTGACACTTTTTGACATTCAACACCTTTTGTCTTCAGTCACTGTGACCACGCACGCTGTAAACGCAAACGCGAAACGTCGGTTAAATTTAAAATTATGAAAAATAATTGTAAATACATAACTTAAATCCGGTAAAAGTTGTTTTATTATGTGTGAAAGTTATGTCAATAAAAGACAATGCAAAGTAAATAGTTGAATTAATTAATTATAACACTAACCTGTTTCTTAGTAATTAAAAAGTACTCGTGGTAGTACATAATGTCTGATTCCGGATCTTCCACCCATATCCAAAATGCTTCAGGTGCCTTGCCGTGGTATTTGTCGTTCCATCTATTTTAAGTTTTAAGAATAAAATTGTTAATTGAAATTAGGATAATTGGAATTTAAAAATAAGAATAAGACGGTTCGTATTTAATTTTATAACTTATATAATGTTAAAATTATTTTAATATATAAATATACATTACGGAAACTGTAATAAGGGAATAAAATTAAAAACTCTACTTTCCTAATAAAACAAAGTAGCTAGTGTACGTTGTATAGCTAAAAACAATTCCCAGACAATTTAAAGGAAGTTAAAAGACAGAACGATAAAGTAGAAATTATAAGGTTTTATAAAAATATTCCTAAGTTTATATTTACTTGAAATTTGGTGTTATTGTAAGTCGGATTCGTAAGACTGTTCTTGTAATGGGGTGTAGCGATGCCTCCATTTCTAATAGAGGAAATTCATCAGCGCATTTCTTTACGTGACGCGCCGCTTTAGGGTTTCTTACAAGGTCACCTATAAAAACAATTGTTATAATTTTTATTTTCAAATAAAATATAGATGATACAAATTGTTCAGACTCTAGACTGCCGTGGCACATTTACCCTCTTTATTCATCACACCTAACAGTTTTTGACCATGTTAATTATTGTAGCTTTCTGTGCCTGTCACACACTGTCGACGTTTCGGCTTTTCATCACCATATGAGCGAATGTTAAATGCGCCCATAGACAGTAGTTAGTCTATTGTGCACAGTGCCGGCTATCAAACTTCAAATATTAACAATATTAAAATAAATTAATTTCCTACAAATTGTGAGTAGAAAACATTTTCGTCGCAATTTCTTCTTAATTAATTGTGTAAAACACAAACTGCTTCCGTCTCCCTTCAACAATTATACCGAACATAAAGTAGAAAGAGACATACCCACTTCCTTCCAATCCATGTCCCTTATCTGATCCGGTTTCAACATAGGGTATTCTAAGTGTTTCATAATTTCTATGGGAAAACAGTTAAACTGTCTCATATCGCTATAGAAGTCCCATTGTTGGAGCTCCATCATTTTCGCCATTTTCAAGTACAAACTGGCCATGTATGCGTTGTTTTTGCGTAGTGTTATCTCAAAAAGTGCGCGGACTATACGTACTGCGTTCTAAAAGAAAATATTTTGTAACATTTCCGTATAAGTAATTCTATTAATAAACTTATTTAAACATCCCAAAGTAAAAAAAATAATATTAAATCTAAGCCATTTTTAATAAACTCATAGACCTTTTCTAGTGCATTCCATCTCGTTCATGAATGAGGTAGAATATGAAGAGATATAAGAAAAAATATACAAATATATTATAATGAAAGAACAAGAAAGACATTTTTTCGATCATAACCACATAAAAAAATACTTATGGTCTAAATTTATATTGCCTTATAAGCCAAAAAGGGAATTATTATTATCGTTGAGGATTCCATGACAATACCCCAAAACTGATATTATACGGCCCCGTGGGTGTGGCGCGCTGGCATAAGTGTGTTAAAACAAATATAATATTAAATACAATCACAAAGGCATTATGTAATTTTCTTAGACTTCTATGTGTTAGAAAAGCTTTCAACAGATGACAAGTCTTTTCATCTATTGGATATCATTAAAACCACTTTGGTTATTAATTAAAACATATAGGATTTTAAAACACTCAAAAAAATCTTAATTGTAACACAAAACACATATGTTTATATTATATTCATGGGATATACATAAATATATTGCATAGATACCTGACTAATATAGTTCAAATCAGACTGCAAAGAAGATTGATTAACGCGTCCTTTAGAGAGAAAAGTCTGTAATAGTATATTGATTTTCCAATGTATGTCCTCCGGCGCATCTTCTATCCTTAGCTCACAGTATCGATCCTTAAGTTCCCATAGCTCTGATAGCTCTTCTTTTCGCACCTGCGATATTAATAGTATATTTTTATTAATTACTCTATAGTTACACAGCACAGCACAGCTTCCTTGCACAGCTGAAACTTTTTTTTAAATATTTTGTTAATAATATAGCATATCTATATATGTTATTTAGGGATAATATAGCATTCTAATGGTGAGGCTGCTGAGCGATTGAGGTCTCAGTCTCGATCGTCCCGGTACCGCAGGTCTTGATTAAGCTCTATTGCGGACAAGCCCCTTGGGTTGAATTCCTTGGCGAACCCCGTGGGCCATCTTAAGGGCGTGTGGAGGGCAGAGGTGTTCTTTTAGTGGGTAGGGTCTCGCTACCCCTCTGAGTAGCCAGCTCCACAGTCCCCGCGTCAAGCACGCACATTTTTTAAATATAGATTATTTCATAAAAGTAAAAATTTTACAGATGCTACACAGGGCACCCCTGTGTGTCAGCGATTACTCTTTCATACTAGATCTACAATGACCAAAAAAATAAAATTATATAATAGATATATGAATAAAACATAAGTTAGTAAATCCTTAAATTACGACGACGATTAAACAACTATATGTTTATAGCACCTGTATATTTATTAAAAAAATTTAAATAACTCTCTACATAGTAACTTATCATTTAATAAAATCAAATACACCACTACACAGAATACTCGTCGAGCGAGTTTGCTTATCTTGCCAAAGCCGCGCACAAATTATTTAAAGATATCTATTAGGTATGAGGGTGTGCAATTGTTTAATCGGTTGCCGTCTAAGGTTCGTAACATTAGCGTGATTAATCAGTTCAAAAGGGCATTAAAGATACACATTAGAATGAGCCCATTAGACAAAAATTGGGCTAGCTGATGGCGACGTGTATCTCGTTCGTATATAATATTAAATTTCTCATGTAAATAAAAAATAATTTTTGTAATGAGAAATAAAGTTCTTTAAACATTAAACATTTTAAATAGATTACTAGCTACAACGTAAGTTTATAAATTGGTAAATATTTACTTTTAATTGTTGGAAATCTGAACATCTGGTCAGCATTTCCAGTACGTATCCCTGAGTCATAGACTTGCGAACCATAGAGTTGAAAACATCCATAGTCTCACAGGTTATGTAGTAGTGACTTGCTGTTCTGCCTAGATCTGTGGACATTGTTATTTTAGTTTTAATTTAATAAACATCTTTTTGATTTAAACTTAAAATGTTAAAAGCTGTTATCATAAATGGATTTAAAGACAGTGCTGCGTTTACCATTTCTTAGTCGAAAATCACAGTTACCATGGTAACTTACAGACTTTATGTTGTACACAGAATAAGGCTAAATATGTCTTGTTTAGTTAATGTTTGTAATAGGCACCGACTGTAGTAAACGTTTATTTACCATACTTTTCTATAAAAAAAAAATTCTGCGGGTATTTGCAATCAGCCCTAAGGCTATGAGCGAAAATGTGGAGTGACTTCCTATTGGAAGCATCTACTCATCTTCTGTCTAGAGCTACTGCCGGTCTTCTAGCTCTAGAATATGGTGACGTTTTAGTCGACTCACATACTGTTTAATGGTGAGTTGGCGAGCAAGTTCGTTCGGGTGAAGCTAAACCGCTTTAGCTGCCAGTCTCCGGATTTCCTCTTTGATAGTTCTCATTTTAAGGTGTTCGTGAACTTGGATGTTGGTTATGTACCATGGTACTTTTGCAACTGCTCTTAGGATCTTGTTCTGTGCGCTACCCCACAGTAGGAGGCCAAGGAAAAAACTAGGACTCGCACTTTACATAAATTAAAAACTATTAAATCTGTTTGTAAGAAAATAAATAAGTCTTTACCTGTAACATTTAAATCTCCAGTTCGTTCGTTATACCTTAACATTTGAGTCTTATCGAGTTGCATGGCGGCGCTTGTTATGAGCTGTCGACGTTTTGTCTCTAACATTGGTTCTTCTTGTACGTCGCTATATGTTAGACCGTAAACCTAAAAATATTTAATTTATTACATTGTTAATATTATGTCAGTGTAAGCCTCTAGTAATAATTGTATGGGCCCTGTCTGCGCTAAATCGGTGTCAGTCAAAGAAGGATTACAATTTTCGATTCTGACACAAGAACCAGAAATGGAAGGTGGTGTTCCGGCATGGTGCAAGGATACACAGTTGGAAGTAACAGGTATCGGGTGCGCACTGATATTGTAACGCACTGCATCTTCTTTTTTTCCTATTATTAAGGATCCAATGCCACTATTCTACTCCCAAGGACACACCACTGGATTTTGGATTCGCGATAGGCGAATCCAAAATAGCGCATATTATTTAACCCAGCGCATATTATTTAACCCAGGCAAGGGATCATCTTGGATACAGCTTCCAGATACCCAGACCCAAATAGGCCCATTGAAAATCAGTGTTTCTGGTGATAGCAACCTAAAGTTGGGCCTCGTTTATGGTTAAAGTGATTGGATTTTTTTGAATGTCGCTTAATTTGAACCAAATAAAAATATCATTTATTTTTTTCTTCAAATATAAAACATTTTTTTAATTAAGTTGTAGCCCGTGTTTGCGTAGAAGTGGGAGAACATAAATATCAACAAATGGCAAAATGTGGGAGACATAAAATCCATAGCTAAAAAAAACTAAACTAAATTTTTTATCTGTTCTGTGTTGAACATGTAATAAGTAAGAACAGTGGCAAAAAATACCTGTGGATTAATCCTCATACGAACGAACAGATAAGTGTAGCTGAGCCATTCCACTGCTTCATCAATATTCGTCACTGTTCCCAGAGCAACCTGAATATTACAAATATAATTATATATATTTTTTATAGTAACTAGATTAGTTGTGTTGTTAAAAGAAATGTTTTACAAATAATGAAATAAATCATTTAGAATATATTACAAACTCTACGAAATCGCGAAGCTGGTATAGCCAACATAATAAGAATTAACAAAATATGAATAGTTCGATCAGAGTTTGACTTTCTCGGAAAATAAAAAATAAATTTTTCCTCGCTAAAGTACTCATCTGTCCCTTTTCGTCATAGCCTGAATACTATTTGACAGAAAGAGACAAAAGAGTCTTTTCGTTTTTAATCTTACCTCAGCATTCAAATTATCAGCCAACAAATTAATAAAGTTACTCTCAATAGGAAATTGATTGGTCATAGATTTGAGGTAATGCGATAGTTTATCGTGAGTTGTAATAATAATGCCCGTTCCAGAAGTATCGAATTGCGGACGACCTGCACGACCGAATATTTGAAGGACATCTAAGATACTTAAATCCACAAATGTACCATGACTTTGGTCGTAGATCTCAGTACCCTGAAAGATAATGGTTTATAAGACAATATCATCAGAATAGCAAACCGGCAAGGGGCACACACAGTTATTGCGCCTGTTTCATTACAAATTAAAAAAAAAAAGGATGCGTGTATTTATGTAGGTACGTGCGTAAGAAGTTATACTTCTTTGGCATTATTAAAAATAGTTTTTGATTGCATGCAAATAATTAATTACAATTAAATAATCAAAGACTGGAAAAGGAGTCATTATAGTCAATAAAGTTCAGTTTACATTTGAATAATTAAATAATTATTATTATTCTCTTACATTAAGTGTAACATAAATTATATTATTATTCGAATATTATTTTTAAATTATGTCCAATGCCGTAGCATCTTCATGCTGATAATTTTGTGTCACGGTGCGTGCATCGTAAAATTTCACTCTCATAAATTTTTCATAACGCGCCTAAAGAAGTATAACTACAAAAGTGCTTATGGCCTAAATTTATTTTGCTTTATAACCCTCAGTTATTGTTGATGATTCCATGACAATACCCCAAAACTAATATTGTACGGCCCCATGGGTGTGGCGCGCTGGCATAAGTGTGTTAAGACAAATATAATATTTAATACAATCACAAAGGCATTATGTAATTTTCTTAGACTTCTATGTGTTAGAAAAGCTCTCAACAGATGACAAATCTATTCATCTATTCATCTATTCGATATCATTAAAACCACTTTGGTTATTAATTAAAACATATAGGATTTTAAAACACTCAATAAATCTTAATTATAACTATTATAATTTGTGTCACGGTGCGCGCGCATCGTAAAATTTCACTCTCATCAATTTTCATAACGCGCCTAAAGAAGTATAACTTCAAAAATTTCATGTTTGAGAATTAAATTACCTACCACATAATGATTCCACAATATCATAGCGCCGTAGTCGTTCAGAGGTACGACTTTAGTTTAAAATTATGAGAACTTGTACAGTATAGAGTTTGGCTTATTATGCAACCAGGGAAATATGATATTAATATTTTGGAAAATACATCATCATTATAAAGAATTAACAATTTGAGGCTTATTGCATGTATAATGAAAGCTAAACTTACCCTTATAACAACCGCGTGTGCTGGTAAATTAACTCCCCAAGCTAACGTCGATGTACAAACTAATACTTTTATGTAACCATCGGAAAAGTATTTCTCAACCATATTCCTGAAACATTTGCCATACATATCTAGAAACCGCTAAGAAAGATTATTCAAGTTTATTTTGCAGATGAAAGAATGAAGCTTATCAGTTAAAATCAGACGTAATTTCTAGAAATTTAAGTAATATTATGAATTGCACGCACGTACTACTTTTTTGGATTGCAAAAAGATACATGTTTATTATCGTTATATCAAATAACTAATATGTAATTAAATCTAAACTAAAAACATTTATATGTTTTTGGTTCTGGACTTTTGTATAATACGCTATCCAACTATTATAGCTATGAAGTGGATGTTATTCTATTGAACTACATATGAATACGGACCTATCACTTCTTAGCATTCCAGCATGATGGCAAGCGAACCCAAAAGCAAATAGCTCAGCTAGCTGCTTATTGGGACTGCTGCCGATAGATTTTTTAGCTTTAAGAAAACCTGAAAAAAATAATAATAAATAGTCTATTTTTTTAATTTTTGCCACGGATACGATCGGTCTATACAACATATAAATATATAGAAACAAGTAACAATGTCTAAATTTATAGTTTCAGTTTTTTGTCGATCACACAGTGATAAAGAAATAACAATGCCGGCAACGTCACCCATTATAGTGTGACATTAGTAACATAACGTTTAATTTCCAACATGGGCTCCTATTGTTTAAATAAGTTTAACAACATAAAGTAAAGCACAACGTACAGCCAGGATTCGCAAGATTGACTGCAAATAAGTCGTTTAATGACAGTAGACGCAGATAATTTGTAATGTTATATCTTACTTAAACTTATCTGAAAAATCTTTGAAAACTTACCACCAGAATCCTCTGGTTCAAAGTGCTTCAAATGACCCTTCTTTTGCGCTAGCTCCTTCAAAACCATTGCGGTCTGATGAGTCGCATTACGCGCGTGAACGAAGACCATCACCTGGTGACCCTTTTGAACCATGTCTACTGCTTTTTCGTAGCAAATTTCATTCATTTGCTGGATCTGTAAATTGAAGATAACATACACACATGTGCCAGGTTAAAACATATGGCGGAGTAGAGCGTCGATTTTGATAAAATATAACTGATTTGGGTTGGTAGGTACAGAGAATGCCTTAAAAATATATTTAAAAAAAAGGGTCCAGATTAATCTGCTCTATGCGTATTGCCAGGTTGCGGAACTTCAAACGATAATTCGTGGATAACGATTCTCGGTGACCTGTTATTTATTTTACTATAACTGTATAAAAATATATCTATTCTAAAAGTAATATTCCTATCTTACAGGTCCCGGCACGAATCAATGGTGCTGAGCGACTTGTGGAGGGGATAGCTGCGCATGTGTACAATCGTGTATACAGGGGCGACGTATGAGCGCGTGCAGCAGAGAACGACTGGAGAGCCAATCGCAGCTCCCGCCCGAAACGCGCGACCGCCCCGCGTCCCTCTGATACCATATTTGTACTCATGCGCAATAACGGTCATCACCATTGATTCGTGCCGGGACCTGTATCTATCATTATCTACAAAACCATTTGTAAGAGCTAAACAAGATGTGTAACTTACATTAAAAAGCTGTAGCTTTTATAGGTTGAAATGTATAGAAAGTTAAAGAAAAAACTTTTTACCGGATTAAAGTTATGTATTATTATAAATTTACAATTATTTAACATAATTTTAAATTTATCCGACGTTTCGCGTGCTTTACAGCGTGCGTGGTCACGGTGACAAAGTTTTTTCTTTAAATGTTTAAAGGTTATGTCAATCAAAGACAATACTATGTATAGAAATGCTCTGTAAAAGATACTAACACTTCGCACAACGCATTTTAAAATGAGAATAGTACCTGTCGTAAGTGTGAACCACCTCCACTACCAACATCTTTCACGCCAATAAATTGCTGTTCCAAGGGCACAGGACGGAAACGTGAATCGAAGTAAAACAGGCCAATGTTAGGGTTTACACGGAGGAACCTGTAATGAAAGAGACAATATTTAAACCATGCGAACTTCAATTTTATGATTAAAAAGAAAGGATTAAAAATAGTGCTTGCTTACAAAGTACTACGTTAAAACTTGTATATTATTTCTTTAAATTCAATCAAATTTCATAAGTATACTCTGATTTCTCATTCCGTAGAATTCTGACATTTCATAAGTGTTGCTACTAAAAAGGTCCCCACCGAAAAAGGGATGTATTTTTTATGTTCTATCTATAAAATGGTAAATCTAAATATTTACTTAGTCAAGTGACCTAATACAAAAATAACAAATATTTCAATATTACGAACAATATATCGAATTAACTTTAATTACTTCATTTTATTCTTTAGCTGGCATCACTGCTTACTAATTCCACGATTAGTAAATCTTTTAAAAGAAATAAAATGTTATCTTTACTTTTGCGTTTTTCACTGTTAGTGATGAAAAGGGACGTAATTATCACTCGCCATAAAACCAACCGCACTTAATAAAATGGATACATTCACTAACAAATAAAATGTATGAATAGACTCAGATGTACAGCCTCGTATTGAAATTGAATTGAAAAAATGTGCCTGGACAAAAGGTTTGTCATCTCTGACAAAAATGTCAAAAAATGATAGCTGTCAGAATTCTACGGAATTAAAAATCAGAGGTACCTATGTACCTAACATGTAATTTGTTATCAACAAAATTTTATTATTTCTTTAAAGAGTTTTTAGTAGTCGCTAAGAAAGGAAATATCCCATATCTCAACTTCTCTACCTTGGTGGTAATAGTGTCTTAATTAAATTAAAAAAATATTGAATAACAGTATTTAAAAGCCTTCGAGGCTCAACAAACATTATTTAAAGTTTAATTTTAAGACAATTTTCGTATTAAGAAAAATTACCTGGCAACATCCAAATAATTAGGTAAAGTAGCTGATAAGCCGACAATTCGTATCATATTCTGTGAAGACTCGACTTGTCGTAATGTACGTGCAACGATCGCTTCCACTATGGGACCCCGATCGCCGTGCAATAAGTGAACTTCATCTATGATCAACAGTTTGACAATGGATGCTAGTTCCGTATCCGCTGTAGAAAATATATGAAATGCATTATGAACCACACAATTTTCAAATAGTTACTTTTCATGGGCCCATGACCCAAACAAACAAACAATCGTGAAACTGACAAAGCCATAAACAAGCTTCAAATAAGAAAGATGTAGATACTTATTACTTATTGGTTGTCGCGTCTTACTTAATTTTTTATTGTCATTATTATATATGTATACTGTATCTAAAAGTTTTTCGGGTATGAGTAAAAGCTAAAGTTTAAATGCTTCTCGAAAAGAAGGTCTTACTGAATTTGCATACTTAAATAGACAATTCTAATCTCTCAGCCAAAAACAAAACGCATTAAAATTGATACATTATTATTTTTTAAATATATTTTTGAGTTTTCTGATGAAAACAAATAGGAAATGTCTTAAAATATAAAGATCTACTGAATTGTACAAATCACTCACTCGCTCCTTTACGTGTAACTACATCCCATTTCTCAGGTGTAGTGACAATCATTTGCGTCTGTTGCACTTCAGTTTTAGTTAATTTCATGTCACCCGTTAATTCCCTAACAGATATACCAAGACCTTGTAGTCTTCGGCCAAAACTCGCCGTCATTTCCGACGCTAAAGCTTTCATTGGTGCTATGTAGATGATCTAATAAAAGGAAAATAACGTGTATCAACGTGTTTTTATGGTTTGCCAATTTTTTGTATAGTTTCTGTAATTTTTTTATTAAATAAAATACCTAAAATAACTAGCAAATAATAATTAATTTATAAAAAAAACATAATTTTCATCGAAATATAATATGTATAGTTTAAATTATATCAGTTAGTATTGTCTTTTATTAACATAACTTTTACACATATAAAGTCACCGTGACCACGCACGCTGTAAAGCACGCGAAACGTCGAAAAGTTTTTTAATTATGTAAAATAATAAAACATAACTTCAATCCGGTAAAAAAGTGTTTTCTTTATATCACTTAATTATTCGATTAACATGTAAAAAGATCGAAGTTTGTTTATTTGTTTTTAGACATTGTCGTGACGGCATCTTGCCTAAATAACCATTGTGGTGGTTGAAATTATGAATGTTTAATTTGGAATTTATAAACCCATATATCTAAGAGAATTAAAAATAACAATCTGTATAGGATCTATAGCGACTAATAAATTTAGTCAAACACTCATTGGATAAACAAATATACGGAAGTAGCTATTAACATTCATACCTTAAATTTGTTCTTCATAATAACATTATTCTCGATATATTGTTTAATTTGATGTACCACAGTGAGTAAGGCAATATTAGTTTTTCCCGCGCCAGTTGGAGCGCATATTAACAAATTCTCATTCGTATTGTAAGCTGTATTAAATACAACCGACTGTATTCTGTTTAGTTCTTTTATATTCTCGAATGCCATTTGACCAACCTGTTAATAAAAAATAAATCTAAATGTAAACTTTGCAAATCCCAAACATATATATTTCGAGAGTGTCCATTAGTGCACAGCCGGGGATCGAACCTACAACCTCAGGGATGAGCACGTTGAGGCAAACACTACAGGTTGGTAGGTATTTGCAGCAAAGATGAGTGGGCGTGAATCAAACTCATCTTCTGAATAACAGTTGACTTTTTGAGGTGATAACTCTTCGTGATCTTTACTTGTATTTTATTTATTAATTTTTTTAAACCAAACAAAAAATCATCTTACTTCATCCAAAGCCGCTATAGGCACGCGCTTGTTGCCGATTTCCAATGGCCCTGATTCCATCTTGGGAATTATCACTTCTTCATACTCTTTGAGATCTTTTCGTACTGCATTCTCGGGGAGAATTAGTTTCATACCAGAGACAAATCCTGAAATACGAATTGGACTGAAAAATGTTTTTTTTTTGCGTTTTAAATTATAAAACTGTTCAGATATTTCGCGTGCCTCATAACTTGCTTGCTCACGAGGTAATAATGTTTCTAAGTGTAACTTAGAGGCTCGAGACTTAGAGCTAACAAAACGACAATTTCTATTTTCATGAGAACTTAAGTATTATGCCAATGGCACGTTGCCATCGGACATCAGTTTTAATTTTGTAATTTAGTCTTCTGGGCTTTAAAATTTAGGTAAATAATCTATTAAATAATTGAACACAACTTATTTAATTTGACAAATGGAAGTCATGCTCAAAAGTTTAGTTTTCTTACTCTTATCCTGAGCATGAATATTATTTGTTTATGGAAAAGTTACAATCAATGGTTCTATGGAAAACCCGAGCAGTGCTAGAACTAAGCGGAATACGACAGTTGATGAAATACTTTTGTGTCAGCTGTCAGACACTGACTTAATCTTTTCGAAGGTTACTAGTGCTTGAGAGAAAGTCACTTTTCGACAGTCGTGGCTCACGAACGCTTAAGAGTTTGTATGGGGATGACCTTAGCTCACGCTTTATCTCAAGCCCCGGGTTATTATTGGAAATATTCATAAATTTTGCTTGAATAAAAAAAAAAATACCAGCTGAATTTTTCGCATTAATCGAGGAGTCATATACATTAGGATATTGCACTTTCGTTTGGAAATACGATATCTTTTGAAGTACAGGATCCACGTTACTTTTCGACGAAGAAAACGGTACCACTGGTTTCGTTAATTCTGCGATCCTGTAAAATGGAAATAAAAATATATAAATAAATTATTTACTAATTACGTCTTTCAATCAATCAAGTAAATAAGTATTATTGCAATTACTATAACCACTCTCACGTACAGGCCGCGCGACTGTTTTCACGTCAACCGTACAGCTACTCGCGCGTCTTTGACCCGCGCGCATCGCGCCCGCTACATCGCAACAATAACCATTATATCTGTTGAAATATATTAACTACAACTATGAAAAAAATACTACATCATAGGTTGAAGTATATAGATTAAAACACATTTTGTAATAATTGGAAAATGTTAATAAATTAGTACTTAAAACGGGGTAAAACATTTGAGTCTGAGCAAAAATGCTTAAATTTTTTATAGATTTAGGCCTTACGCAAAAAATATAAACGATTTCGAAATAAGAATAATTTTACAAAAAACTAGACTAATTATCCTTTCAAAAGATGCCAAGATGTTTATATTTAATCAACATTGAGTAAGCTAATAAATCAAAACAAAACAACCACTTCTCGTAATTTTACCATAGCCTCTTGAGTCGCGCGCTATGACTTTTTTATGCCAAGATGGCCGCCTATCTAAGGTCTCCCACACACCATGTAGTTTTTTAACTAACTAAAAAATAGGGTATGTTCGATTTGTTTCAATCTTTCTTTTTAAATGAAAAACAGAATAACAGTGTTGTAAATTTAAATGAGACATTTTTGATAAGATTTCGAGTTGTAAATGATAATCCACCGTTTCTCCACTGTTTCCACGTCCCCCGCGGTCTCCACGACTGCCACGGCCATCATCATCATATCATAATCAGGAGATAAATAAACACATTACACCATGCGTAACAAAAAATTGCAAACATATTTTTTCGTTTGTACAAACCCTTATTTATGACGTTTGTTCTAACGTCCGTGGATACCGCACTGTCCATAACGATAAACCTGTGGAACACCTCAATATTATTTGGGAATCTTAAATCATCTTAATGTATTTCTATTTGGAAAAGGCATGAATATGCTTATGAAGGACTCTACATTCATTTTTAACTATTAATTCACTAAACAGACGTAAACAAATCATCAAAATCAGCCAACAACTTCTAAGAAGCCATTTTGCCCTTGACAAAATTATTTTAAAGTTGAAATTAAACTCAATTTAGCATTTAAAACTATATAATCTTATCATAACCGTAAAGTACAAATATTCAAGTTTATTTTGATGTATGATAATTAAAGAAATATAATATAAAACTAAAGTACTTACGACATAATTGCTGAAACTCCGAAACACTTGTTCCCAAAATTCACAAGAACGAGTCAATTGAGTTTGGAATTTTTTTTTACAGACAACTAATCATATTTCATTGCCATCTGTAGTTTATTGGGTGAACTGTTTCCTAAGCTATCATTCTACGTCGATAAAAACGTTTATTTCTAACCTCAGTTTCAACTAGATGTCATTTTCTTAAACTTGTCGTTTTGGATACTGTAGTATCCATGTACGGATGCCGCCATTATTTTTTTGGATACTGTAGTATCCACGTACGTGAGAGTGGATAAGTGATTACACCTACAATTTATATATTTACTTTATGATAACGACACTAGGTTTGGCAGACATATTATACCACAAATGTACTATTTATATGTATAAAGATTAACCTACACCCATAAAAATATTATTAATTGGAGTATAAATTTTAAGGCAAACGCTTATAGACAACGCCGGGGGGCTAGCGTACGGTTTGTACGATCGTTCCTTGAAGGCTCCTTAGTTTTATAGGTTCGGAAATACCTTTACTGGCAGCTGATTCCATAAATCGCCAGGCGTCAAGGTGAAAAGGCATTTTGCCTCAAAATCCGATAATAGAAAGGAGGTAGTCCGAAAGTATTAGTCCGAAAAAAAAAAAAACTTAGAAAACTCTCTATTAAATATGAGAAGACAAGACGCTGTAAGAACTAACATCTCTACGCAAAGTCAAAGCATCAAGCCGATCGATAGGGGCTGGGTCGTAGATGATTCTAGCCGGTCTGACTCAAATGCGATCTAATTAAAGGAGCTGGTATTGTGAAGGTATCTATTTTTGTCAAAAACTTCAAATCTGATGAATAAAATAAATTCAAATGTGTATGCAAGATGAATTTTACATTTAGTATATAGCCTCACTTATATTTATATGTTCATACGTTATTATAAAAAAATATATTCCAAATATTTTGTATGTGTTTAACCAAGATCAGAGAAGTTCCGAAAAGTATTTTTATTGGTAAAATTCATAGAAAAAGGACGCTTTAGCTTTACCTTTTAGCTCGAAGTTGAGCAACATTAATTTCCGGTTCATCTTCATCATCATCACCCTTTTTGGTTTTGGATTTCTTTTCTCCTTTCCGCACAAGCTTAGCCAACAGCTTCTCTTGCTCAGATCTAACCGATACTTGACAGAGATACTGTGGCATTTTATTTTCTGGTAACATTGCAGCCACTGAAATTTGTTACGTAAAATCATTTTTTAAGGTAGATACTTTTAAGTTTCTACGCGAACCAAACCGGACCAAGGACCGGGTTATAACCTATTTGCCCTACGGACACGGATGCGTTAATAAAGTACCATTTATATAAGTATAAATTAATTGTTAAGGGTAAATATATTTTTAAATCCGTTTAATTTGTAAGCTTAAAAGGGAGTATTAAGAAAATTCATAGCGCTAAATAACCTGAATCATGAGCGTACACCACATACACCCACACTTCCACACCATCACAACACAGCTGAATTAGGAATTACTTAGTTTCCTTTCTAAGTTTCCTAAACGTTCGTACCTTTTGTATATATTATGTAATATGTAGGTATGCCATCTTTGCTATATCTTAAGTATAATTGTCTTTTGTTATACATATATGATTTATGTTAGCTGTAGGAGTACCAAATAAACAAATACATACTTATATTATGCAAATGACCGTGGTAGTATTATTTAGTATATTTTTTAATATTGTGTAAATAAAGTAATTTAAATAAATGATTGATTAATACAAACTTTCAGCAACGCTAGGTTGTATAGGCGCTTTCAAGCTTTCCGTAATATCCTGACGATGTTCTAAAATCTCTTGTATGAATTCAAACTTATCGAAACCCAGTAACTCAAACAAATCATTCTGCATTTCGTCATTGGATCGTGGGGAGTTGAGTAATGTTATAATTGACTGTAATACATCTGCACTAGTCATGCCTCCTGAGCTTTCATATAGTTCTCTCACTTTTGTTTCTAGCCATACTTTTCCAAACTGAAAAACAAAGATATGTATGTACTGATTTCGTAAAAATAAAAAAAATATCGTGAGTTTATAAGACATCTTTGACATCAAAACCTACGACGTAAGTCAGATAGAGAAAATTAATTAATAAAGTGAAAAGATTAATGAAACCATATGAAAATATTTTTATGAACAAGACCTGTTTAAGGTTTTTGCGTGTAAATTATAATCAAAAATAATTAACTTAATATATATAGGATTCCACTATGACTTTGGGTAAGATTAAAAAGTCAAAACTTAGTGTAAAGTAAGACTTCCGTATGTTAAAATCCTAATTTGACATACATGAGTCATACTTAGTCTTTACTCTAAATCTTTGTCTTTTTTTTCTTTAGTCTTTATTTAAAGGAAAGGGCTGTATTTTTATAATATATCAGCTATTAGTCAATTAGTGATTTATGAAATATCTTGAACAATAAATCTTATCTATGTATCTCTGATTTAATCAAAATATTGTACAAGCCGCAGAAATCTTAATCAGATATGTATTTACCTTTGGTTCCTGCCGAGGTTTTACTTGTTCTAAATTACTTTTGTTATTCTCATTGCTGTATTTCATTGAGAAATCATTAACAAATGAGCTTTCTGTTGCAGGTTTCCTTGTCAGTTTTGCTAATTTTTTCTTCAAAGGTTTGTAAGGGATGTAGATACATTGAATATTTTCACCCCAGAGTTTTGTATATGGCTTAGTTTCCACCATTTCTTTTTTTATATACTCTTTAGTGTCTTCATTGAGGTAGGTAGAAATTTCTAATACCAACTACAAAAGCATAGAAAATCACCTATATTTCATTTTTTTAAGGCAAAAACAAAGATGTGACAAGTATGCTGATTAAAAATAAATAGTATAATTTATGTTTTAAAAGATATTTATATTGATAAATCCATCAAGACAGTCACAAAATTATCTAAGTTAGAAATTTAGTTATCTAAGTTAGAAAATTATTTAGTTAGAAAGTTAGAAATTTACGATACCTTACAAATTCTGTTAGCAGTTGCGGTTAGAACATTTCCAAAGGTCTGTCGGAGCTGTGATAAGTGCTTTAACATAACAATATCTTGGTCTAGAAACATTCGTAATGATAACACAGCCGCATCCTCTACTACATTATCGCTTTGGTCTCCAGTTAGCTGCTTACATTCTACTTTCAACTTTTGTAAAAGTGGTAATATTTCACTACATTGTAATTCATGGTTTTCAATATATGCATAGATATCAGTGAAGGATTTATATCTGCAAAAGTAAAAATTAATTAAGTATTAAAATAAAATATTCACTTTTGTTTTGTTTGGAATGTTTTATAAACACTTAGAACAAAGGGATTTCTTTTGAAATAAAAGTCAATACATTAATGTTATTGTAATAACATCTCTCATTTGGAACACACGTTTAGGAGATTAAGTGAGGTATTTGTGAGTGAGAGTGAGGAATTGTAAACATTGTTTGAAAGTTACTTAACTCTCTTACTTGTAAAGTTATTTTTACTTTACAAATTTTAAACTTGATGTCCACAAGGATTGTTATAAAAAAATGTGATGTTTATATGTTTGACATAAATTTAAAAACATTCATTATAAATGCTCTATCATTATCATTTACATTGATACTCAGAAACAAGACTTAGACTTATTACCACTTTTACGGATAAGTGTGACTTACATATGTCAAAAACATATAAGGTTTTATATGAAACTGTTGTCTTAGTTGGTGATTTAATTTTATTAATTCCAATAAATATTACTGATTCTTAATGATATATTATTATTAGTATAATATATTATTATTAAAAATATTAAATTTATTTTAAAATGTTTTCTGCATATACCTTGGAACATTAGTATTAAAGTTTATAACTAGTGGTGCATCTCCACTTGGCTTTAGGCACCGTGGTTTATCAAGCTGGGTGTGAGCTCTTAGAGCCCTTGTAATCCTAGGCAGCTCAATCATTTTTAAATGTATATACTGAAATATTAAAACGTAATTTTTTTTACTTTGACTATGTTATATTATGTGGTGCAATAAAATATGTAACCTTTAAATATACAGGACTTACTCTTTTATTATAGACATCATATTACTATTAAATTGATTGAAATATGTCTTCGAGTAGAAAATTTAGTGCGACGTCGAATTATTATACAATAATATTAAAAGAAAAAACAATAAAATACTCACCAAGTAATAATTAAACGAATAAGATGTTTACAGTTTACATGTTTTTCCTGAAAACGGAATATAATTTTTACTTGGAACTTGAATGTAACGAATTTTTATAATTAATAGAAAGTTAAAAAACTTCTTCACTTTACCTACGTAAACAATTGATAAAGTTAATATTTTATGATATTGGTATTTGCTATTTGGTAATTTGTACATCAAAATCAAATATATCTTAAACTTTAAAAATAAACAATGCCCGGTCACTAGTCAGCTGTCAGAAATACAGAGTACGGTACACAGACTAAAGCCTCTATTCATGAAAACTAAAACAGTCTAGTGGGACTTTTAAACTTAGGTACTATTTAATTTTTAAACCGGCTTCATATTGTATTTAAAACGCATCAATACCAAGACTTACATATTGTTAAATGTATTTATACGATATATAAGTCTTGTGCAAGGGGTGTACTTATCGAGAGCCTGAGACTCATTCACTTAGGTTAAAAAATCGTTTACTTACATAAAATACATGGGACGTTTCTACACGATAAATGATTTTATGTGATACTCTGACACATTTTTACATATGACTGTCTCACTTTTTATTATTATTAATATTATAGAATAACGTCTACTTGGATTGCCTCTAACATAATATTATATTCATTCAGTGCGTTTTCCAATTATAGAGCATTTTTCGACTCAGTGCCGCACAATGCCGCATAATGCTGAAGCTTAATTGGAACGTGAATTAGTTTTCAAATGCATCAGCAGAGTGCGCTAAGTCAGTGTTGACAAAAAAATGGTCTGAATAGAGTTAGCAACCTCATTAATGTATAAATAATGTGGTAAACAATAATAATTGGTTGAAAACTTTTTACGCTTAATTTAATAATCAAATTATTTCATTAAATTTTTTTTACTGAAATAAGAGAAAACCTTTAAAGAATATAAGGTTTTAACAAGCTAAATTAACAGTAAAATATTTAGTTTCATGTAAGAAGTTTACATCATTTACGTTTTGAGTAATATTTTTTAATGATTTCTAAAAAAATATATACTTTTTCAAAACCATTGCAATTTTTTCTAAAGTAGGTATAATTCTGTAAAGTAAATTTGTTTACAGATCCGAATTGTAAAATAAAATTGTATTCATATTTTAAATGTGGAATATAAAAAAAGTAACTATTTATACCTTCATCCATACTAATATTTATTTTTTTAGCAGTTTGAAATAACTTTAATTATTTTCAAAATCTACGACGAAACGAAAGCCTTACAAATTTTTCAACAATAAATAATATTTACTAACGAAAATTTCGATAAATGCCAACTTAAAGAAAAATACTGGTCAATTTTCTGTCACTGTGTTGGTATTGTTTGCGAGAGCATTCGTTTTGTGAGTGCTCAATTGTGCGAAGCGTTGCTGTAGTTGGAACACTCAACGTTGAGCATTATGCCGCAAAATGCGCTCTAGTGCTGTAATTGGAAAACGCACTCAATGGTTATTTTTATTATTTTGTAGTTTGTATAGGTTTCTAGTCTGTGGTTACTACTAGTCTTTGATTTTAAAAGCTTTCCGCCAAAATACAACTTATTTCGTGCCCTGAGAAATTAATTATTTATTTTCGTTAGGACTGATTAGGACCTAAGAGCGCTTCTTCTGTAGAAGTAATTAATTACGGTTAGTATGTCACAAGATATTCTACAACTGCCAGATTTTTAAATAACGTAAGTATTTATATTTTACGCTTATTAATATTGTGGCGGATAGACTAGCAACTATTAAGCATAATATTTTGTATTGAACATTTAAAACATAGTAAAATTTATATCAGTATTTGTAATATTTTATAATTTCTTATAACTAATTGCGGACTTTGCTTTTTTTTAAGATGGAAATACTTTCTCGTTAATAACTTTCTTTAGAAAGCTTGGTTAGTGCTTAGTAGGTAAATGTGGAATTTCGATTTTTTTTTTCAGAAATAAAACGAAATATGTCAAAAGGTATAGGGAATCTATGTAAGCCTCTATCTCTAAAAAATCCACTCGCAATTTTCCATTACAGTATTCAATAATTTGTTTCAAATAAAACGAGTTTAGTATTTAAATTCGCTTTTTATTGAAGCAATACTTTTACATAAAATAATGCTATAGATACATTAAGTTTACCTATATTTTCAATAAGTTAGTATTGATTATGTAAGTAATTTAACTATGAACTATTCAATGGTTTTAACTCGCACAACAGCTAGGCAGGTTTCAAATTAAATAATTTATTACGATAATACTAATAAATTGTAACATCAAGTGCTATATTATACTTAGACATTTTTTTTTAAATAAAAATGAGATACCTACTTATTTAAAAAAATGGGTATTAACAAATAATGGGATAATTTTTATAGTCTCATTTGTTACTAATATAATATTCTTCGTAAACATTTTTTTTAATAATAAATGATTTATTATAATCATTGAAAGTATCTGTTTTTGTATTAACATAACATTTTGTATTAAAAAACTATATTAATAATAAAATAATTAATAAATCACTCAATTAAAATATGTACACAATATCGTAGGTCTCAAATAAAATTCACTACGTTATCTATTAAATTATTACGCTTCAAACATTATTTTTCCTTATAATGAATATTTATGTTATCTATGATTAAAGGTACTTTAATATATTTATCTCATGAGACTCTGGTGTATTTCTTTTACCTTACAGTGAAAGAGTGTTTCATGTTATAAACGCGTCCGAATGTAACATAAGCAAAAATTATATTAAATATATACGTATAATATAATGTTCTCTGTGGGCTCATCACAGATAGTAAACATTATACTAGTATCGCAAGTTCGATTTCCAAATTATATTAACAACATTCAGAGCTAACTTTCATAGTTTACATTTAAGTTATTAAATATTATTCACTTCATCATGTTCTAAATTTGAAATTTTATAAAACAGTAAAGGACGCGTTAATAAGATGAATTTAGTTGTTTAACTTGATTCTATAATCTAAATCAAACATTTATTTATGATAATCATTAAAACACCAATTGGTTATACTTATCGGTTAATGTAGTTTTTCTAAAAATTTTCAAACCTCTGAAACATTACTCTAATATATTTTATTTACACGCTATAATTTTCTATTTAAATCCTACTTGGTGATGAATTTACGACATCAATATGAAATATTTTGTATTGTAACTATAGATCATCATTAGATATAATCTTTATGAATACAAAATAATCTTACGAAAAAAATAAAAATCCTTTATTTGAAACGGAAAATTAAGCACATACTTTTTTAAATCAAAAAATCTATGGTATATTTGCAAAAAAAAAAACATACGTGGTACAATTCTGATGAACAGAAAAGATTTCTATGCATAACGAAAGAAATATAATAAATATATGAATTGTTAAGTCTATATCAGATTTATGTACAACAGAATTAGCAATATCTAACTAGAAAGCAGTTAAAAATCTACATCAATTTCTTACATGTTTTAAACACACAGATTTTTTTAAATACACGAACTGGCCAGTAATAAACCCCTATAATAAGGTATATTGTGACACATCTATACAAATTGTGATATATTTAACAATAATTTTATTAGGTATAAAACTTCGTTTCAAATCTATGTAACTAAGTTTAAATGGTTACATTGTGAAACGGCTAATAGGTATACATTTTTAACAAGTTACAAAACCGCTTAAGGTGCTGTGCAGCTTCCCATAACACATTTTTTATATATTAAAAAACATATAGGTGTAAATAGCATGACAAACTTTAAGCGATTTATAGGACAAAACTTTGCGTTGAATAAGTGTCGAAAATTAAATTTTAGAAAATTAAATTCTACTTTGTAACACGGTCTCTAAAACAACATTAACAGGTCTCTAGGGATAACAGTTTTAAAAAATTTGGTCCAAGTACAAAAAGCAAAATTAATAAAAATATTTATATTGTTGAACACAATTAGAAAATATCTTGATATGGTATATTTTTGATAAGCCTTATTGTAAGGGCCAGCGGAAATTTTCGCTATTCAACAGTAAATGTTAATAAAGAAAGATCTTCTAAAAATATTCTATTAAAACATTACTTATGGCAAAATAGTGACAGAGTCGGTAAGATAAGTGATCTCAAAAATTTACAAATTCTAAGATATTTAGCCTCAATATTTCGATATTATACTGTTTCATTTTTATATAATTACGAAAACATTCAACAACACTAATCTATAAAGAACGATAAAATTATTATTCGGGTTAATTGTAGCCGGGACCGAAAAGCAGCGAAGGCGAGACCTGTAAAATATATAATTTCAGTATTGTTTTTTAAACCTTTCCCACTATTATTATAGTTATTAATATAAGTTAATAATATAATAATTGTATTCTCGAAAATCTGTTCAGTAGTTTTTTTGAGTCATAAACAACTTACAATTGCTACTTCGTTAAAATTAAACGTAATGATAAGAAACGCCATACCTCGGTTAGCCACAAAAGATGTTTACAGACCTAAAAAATAAATCAAAGATTAGAACACTGTTTAAAATTTCATAAAAAAGGGTTATTATGTTTTTATTCTCTGTAGGGTTTTTCAGCAAATGACAAGCTATTAATTTACGTCAGCAACGACTATATTTTGCCCCTGTGTGGCGCGACAATTGTATAAACAGCAATGATTGTATTACAAATTTTTAATCTTTACAAGTATCTATAAGCACACTTTACCAATTTTTCTACAGATTATTTTAGTTTAATGAGGTTTTCAGCTATGCATTTCTGGGTTATCGGAAAGCAGGCATATTGCTAACGGGGGCAAGCACTCAGAAGAATGAAGATTGGATCAATCGGTAATGCCCTAATTATCACGTCACGATGGTAGTAGTACATAAAGATAGATTATAGACATTTTACACAAGAAAACATGTTTTTAAAAGCAGCTGTGTGATTTAAATATAACAATTAAATATGTTTATTATAAACATAATATTAATTTTTGTCGTGTATGTAGTGTCAATTAACTTTAGTTTTTAGTATTTCTAATACTTTTAAAAGTGTAATAGTTAAATCACAGTTGTTCTATAAGAACGATTTTAGACACTCTTATCTGATAGACAAGAGACAGAACAGAGAAAGCCAACATGTAGACCAATACATACTCTGAATAATGTGGTTTGTCTATTTAATATGTGAAGTAGTACATCTGTGAAAGTCATACCATTTGAGTGTTTGTCTCGTTTATATAATGAAAATTCATTATGTACTTGTAAATGTATGTTTATACGTTTCAGGGTATGTAAGGTAAGTAACAACGACACAACGAGGCCCACTTACCAAACAGGCTTAATATCAAAATATTAATAAAAAACAACATACTGCATTATATCTATTCATAATATAACAAGTAACTTCTAAATTAAACTTCGGTTACCGAAACTTGTTCACACAAAGTTGGCTGAAAATTTAAGAAAAAATAATAGCATGATTAGTCTAAAAATTCGTTTGTTAACAACATAGAGCGACAATCTAGAGTGCAGTCGTGAAATTATTTTGTTACTTACCAATGATTAGAGCCAAAATTATTATTCCAATGACAGCTGCGATTATCATCATCTGAAATAATAAAATAACTTTTAATAAAGTCCTATTATAATTTCGTACTGTATTGAGCGAGATTTTTTAAAATTTTGTTAGGACGATAAATTAAAAATGACATTACTTTTAAGTTCTGCAACCAAAATTTGCTCTTCAGCTTGCCAGCTTGTTGTTCAAACTGTGAAGCGCCTTGTTGCAGTGCATCTGAAATTAAGAAGTTTTAGTAGTGAGTAATAATGTTAAACTTCCTCGAAGTTTGTAGTTTGAAGACATTGAAAATGTTGATGGCTGTACGGTGCAGTGTATATAAGTAAAGAACGCATTTAAAACTGAGTTCATTATGAAACCCAGTCTATTTGGCCTGAAAATTAATTTGAGTACATAACAGTGTTCTTTATAAAAGTAATTCTTCTATAAACTATAGAACTTGGTACCCATTTCGAAAACAAGTCTTGTCTTTTATATTTTGCAAATGTATGAGACGATGACAACTACTTGTAAATTACAGTAGAGTTTCTGTTTTAGAAAGACTCAATTTTTTTTATGTTGTCATTTTTTTATGCTTGGCCTATTGGTGTGTTTTCGTATTGGTATTATAGTGTACCTGCTCGGTCATCAAGTTCTGAAAGCTTCTGATCTCTCTCCAGCACCTTTTCGACGTTTGTTTTCATAATATCCACCACCTGAACAAAATAAATAAGTACAATAACATACATTTTGTATATATTATATTATTATTGTAGTCAATAAAATAATGAAGTCTGAAGAAAATCTAATATTAACTAAAGAATCTAGTCTAGTAGAAATAGTCTAGTTTATTCTTTTGTGTAACTAAAACGTTGACATTTTTCAACATTTAAAGTGAAGATCGATATTAAAAATGCTGGATTTAAAAGGGAAAATGAAGAAATGTTCATAACATGGTATTGAAGCAATATATACGGCTCAAAACAATTACTGAAAGTCACTAAAGACGAATATTCAAACGATATAAGAATATTTCTTTGATGGACCTTTTTTATCACCAATTAGTTTTTCGTCTACAATGCACATTTTAATTTTTTTTTAATAAAAAAAAATACAAATTGAATTTTTTTATTAATTGTAGTAATTAACAAATTAACAAGGTAAAAAATAGCGTACAAGTTAATTTAAATCTAATTTTAGTTTAAGCAATAGAAAGGAGAAAAATCTTGTTCCGCTAATTGTTTTGAGCAGTATATTATATACCTCATCGACTTGCGCCTGTGTCTGTAATTTAAATCTAATTTTAGTTTAAGCAATAGAAAGGAGAAAAATCTTGTTCCGCTAATTGTTTTGAGCAGTATATTATATACCTCATCGACTTGCGCCTGTGTCTGTTGAAGACGGCGCTGGGCAGCAATCTGTTGGGGCGTCTTGGGTCCGCCCACTGGCATGTCATCGCTGCTTGGAGCTAAACCACCCTCCGTCGTTGCCCTATAACGAAGATTATTCGTAATTACGAATTAAATTAAAATAATTAAGTATTCTGCGGGGATTTTGTTCACAACGGAGAAGTGTTTTATTACAATGCCTGTGATTAAATATTTAGTTATACATTTATTAGAAATGACATCTTCAACTTATAATAAAAATAATTTATTTATAAAAAATATATAAAAATAAATGTATGATACGTAGCTCGCTTGCTATCATTAACTTCTAACTAGAACTAATTTACTATCTTAGTACAAAGTGCATTTTACCTTCGTCACTTTAGATGTATTAGAGTAAATATTTCATAAAGCACAAAGACTGTGTAAGTTATACATACATTTAAAAATGAAATCCCACTTTCGCACAAAATTGTGTCCTAACAATAAAATATTTTTCGGTTTTTATTATCTTTGTACTCAATTTGCACTGATAGTGTCCTTCGACCACAATTTGGTATGTTTATATTGTGTATATACAGTATATGTTATCAGCTTCGTCGCTATGTCGTCTGTGATTAGACCGTGGTGTTGATAGGATTAGCCCTAGTTTTAAAATTGAAACATATCAAAAGTAAACTAGTAAGTGACGCAAGTGGAAATAGATAAGCCATACACTCCAAAGAAATTCCAATCATATCCTTAAGCAGGCGCTTGATTGGAAACCGCAAGGAAAGCGGAAGCGTGGCCGTCCCAGGCAAACCTGGCGCCGTACAGATGAGGCAAAGTGAGCCGGAAAGACTTGAAGTGAGGTGAAATACGAGACTCAAGACCGAACACGATGAAGACATATTGTAGACGCCCCGCCCCATCTAGGGCGCTCAATCTTATAGGATTATTTTTTCATTAAATTAAGTGAGTCAAAAGTAAGCTAAGGCATTTATAAAATTAAAATACTAAGTAATGTAAATTAATATTAAGAGGACTACTGACTCGAGACAATGAATCCGTGGGCGAACACATAATTAGAAAATTTGTATTATCTTACTGCCCACGTAAGACATGTTAAGGTTAATAAGGTGAAATAGGTAAATATCAGCCTTAAAGGTCGCTGAGTAGAGGTGAAGGGTAACTAATGATTTGGTCACACAAATAGGGTCGGTTTTGTGAGTGATAGAATGTGTGAGTGATACAATTGATGGGTAAAATAAAGCTGGGCTGGGTGTCGCCCAGTGTGGTACGCAAAAAGTGTTACTTGTGATGTGTAAAAGATAGAAAATAGTTCAGAATCTTTTTGCTTTTTATTGTCGTTTTAAGACTATAGATAAGATATGTAGTATGGCAATAGAAACACGAAATTCAGAAGCAAATATTTTTATGTATTTAAATAAATGTGAAGCTCACCATTTTATGACGGATATCAGGTTTAGTTTTCTACGTCATACGGTGAAAGGTCACGAGTAGCTAGAGAAATATTAATTTGCGTTCTAGATTTTCTTTTTACATGTTCATGAAGGTTTTAAATTCTTAAGAAATGCTTGCTTGGGTTTCAGTTTAGGTGTTATTTTTTTAATATGTATACTTTAACAACCTAGAATCATTAGATTCTCAAACAATTTTGATTGACATCTTCAAAATATGATTTCAGTAACCAAACGCTGTCACCAATCTCAAATTCAAATTCAAAAATCATTTATTCATATAGGTAACATAATGTACACTTATGAACGTCAAAAAATAAATATATATGAAGTGATTCTAAATTTACATTTACTGCCAGTTCTCAAATCAAGGGCGTAGAACGGAAGAGAAGAACTGGCAATAAACTCTCCGCCACTCTTTTATCTTCTTTTCAATCTCAAACCGCGAAACCTCTTTAATAATTGTTTTTATATAATATTAATAATTTTTTTCTGTAATATTTTAAACTTATATATTATATAAGAAAAAATCTACTATTCAGATAGTATGAGCGTATATATGTATCTATTTTGCATTTGTAGAATTTATATTTAATTGATTTCGTTCGAACTTACAGATCTATAGATTGATTGTGTTAATCACCCGTTAAGCTTGATAATATCGAATTCTACCCCTATGTCCCCATTACTTTTCTCCGATAAAACAGTTTTTGTATGTAGCCTGAATAAACTAATATATTAACAGTTTAATGTTAGAAATTTTATATGAAAAACTTGTTAATATAGGTTTCATCATTATCGACAGCCTTTTATTATTGTAGTAGATTTTCAAGGTGTCAGAAGCCTCTGAGTTAGGGAGTGTGATAAGCACCCGAGGTGTTTTGAGTATCACACCTTCAGTTAGTCAAACGCCAATTCTACCCAGGATATGAAAAATACTAATAAAAGGTTGGACAGTGCAGCGGATGACACACGCCGTTATTCTAAGAAAGGCCGGTTTCCCAATCGTGTTTTCCTTAAGGGCGAGCTGGAGTTACGAACGAATTACCTAAAGGGTTAAAAATATAACTCGTTCTGCTTTGTCACTTGATATTATGTCGTAATAATAAAGGTTTAGATTATTTTCTTTGGTCGGTATTCAAATTCGGGAACGCGATATTTAATTATGAAAACATTGACCCATCCCGATATCTAAAAATACAATGAGTAGGCCTCTATAAGGTTATAAATATATTGTATAGTTATATATAATATATGATGTCGAGTGACACGATTAAAACGTGTCTGTAATTCTGAAACTGAAGCAGATTGCTAGAAGAGTACATAGAAATCATTGTATCGAAGTATGAAATAGTACTTATAAGAGTTATAGGTACCATTTGGCAGAAAATGGGCCTAGGAAGCTTTATAATTGAGAATTAAATTTAATACTGCGATAGAAAATGCTTTTTCTAGTTGATTCCGATATACAATTTAGCTACATTATAGTTATTTAGTCAAACGTAAATGATAATAAGTCAATAAAACAGATCATGGTGTCGTCATTCCTTTTCGGATGGAACGCCATTTGATGACAACCAAGCTAAAACGCAGAGCTTCTCTGTAAAGTATGTCACTAACGTATATAATCCAGCCAAAGTATGATAAGTATAATAAGTAGTGACTACAGATAGGTCAGTAGTGAATTATCAATAAGTATACTAGTAGTACATAAATAGTATACGTACATTTTCTTTAAATTACTGCTTTCTCGTCGATAAGAAAATCCTTACTTCAAGAAGTCTTGTAACCGGATTCCACGAGTATTGATTAAAAATCCATTCACTGCAACTTGAAAATTTTCCCCTCTCTGACCGTGTCTTCCCAAATGAATGTACTTTATGAATGGGGCACTCGATTCTCACAAGGAAATTGTCTCAGGCTATTTATAGCAACTCAAAATAAAACCTACCCCTTAATATCTGCTTTTACACTATTTCACATATATATATTATTTTTAATCTGAGTTAACGCTGATGAATGATAAAACGTGCGATTTTCAGAAAATTTAGACTAAAGAGAAAACCTTCCGCGACAGGGTTTACTGATTTGTATGGGAGAGGGCGCGTCTGTACTTTCCTTAATAGGTACGAATGGACTAAAAATACCACTTCTGAATTCATTCCAAAATAATCCTTACTATGGTATAAATAAATGCCATTTTCGCTTAATTGCTTACATAGCGAAAGCGCATGTGTGAATGTATTTTTGTGTATGTATTGGTCGGGCTATTAACGCATGCGCTGTAGGCTTTTCCGAGGGTAACAAAAATCAATTCTGTGAGTATGTGGGTGTTACGTAATGGCGTAGACATGCTTGCGTTGGCAACTTTCTTTCTTCTCATTAGGGTTAATCCCATTCTATAGTCATCTTATTAACATCGATATAAAATTCCTTGTGAATTACACCTACAATAGTATTGGACACATTAGGGTACTCTAATTATATATATATATATATATAAGAAAACGAAAGGAGGTTCGTAAAGCAACAACTTAAGCCAAATGGTAGAGGTTTTCATTAAAAGTCACAGTGCAATGCGCACGAAACAAGAACTTTATAAGTACCATTGATGTCTTGATTTTAGTGATTTTATGCGATTAACTAAAGGGTAAATGACACTCAAATGGCGTAAAAAAAAAATGAAGCACTTAAGTTTACCTCTTAAATGGTGGAGTTCTCAAAAAACCTATATAGTTTTAATCATAAAACTTGCTAAAAATCAAGTATCTTACCCTAGTTCTTAAAACCAAAAATAAATATTTATTAGGTATACACTAACTAAATATTCAATTGTATCTGAATTTTTCTTGTCCGTTATATCAACTTCTTAATTACGAAAAGATTACAAATAAGAACGTATCGTATTTCTAAATTCTTTGAAGAAGTTTGTGCGTCATTCCCTTACTTGGTGAGTAATTTTCCACAATACAAATCTTTTAATATTGATGAAGACAAATTGTCTTTTTTTTAGTTTTGTTTTTCAAGGGAATTTTATAAGCCAAATACAGCTATATTCGATCGATGACAAGTCATACAACTCTAATTTGAACAAATAGCTCACGCACGTCATAAATATTCAGGAACAAACAATCGATCGATCGATACAATAAATATGTACAAAATGTTACAACGTTTCTGAATAGGTAGTTATTTCTCATTTCCTTTCAAATTCTTTATCTATTCAATCAAAATAAGTAATATGAGTTAAATTAAATTTATCTTATTATAGAGAATAATATGAGACTTTTAAAACTTATTAAAGATCATAAAAATGCTTTCTTTTCAAGTGTAGAAATGGTGAAATTTTAATTAGACGAAAATGAAAGATGACCTAGGACTTATTTGTAATTCAATAGAATTACTCGGGTCCATTAACGCCTTAACATTATAAATGTGTTTTACTTGAAGGTGCTAGAATCGATTTTGAGTAAAATAATAATTGTTTTGTATAAGAATTATCACTTGCGTTTAAAATAAATTATCCAACTCCACTCACATGACATTCGCACATGCATCTTAAATTCATTGATACTATTACGAGTAATTCAAATAGACGTGTCAATATGTAGTTATCTCTCTTTGTAATTTTCCTTTTGATTTTATTTTGTTCTGCTCTAAAGAATTTTAATATATGGCATTTTTTTCTTAAAGATCGGATCTTCCTCGTTTCTTAATTTAAATATTACAAAAACAACTGTATAAATAATTCGTTCAAACGTTGTCGCGTGAAGCTGACTGCTTTTATATTTGAGTTTTATAAAGATCATGGACACAATTTCATTCTGAAAAACGCTTTATGAAAAACAAATAATATTAGTAATTTCTATATTAAACGTACATAAATAACGAGTACTAATAATTTAAGTAAGTGTATGTATTGCATATGACATTATTTAATGTTTAAATTTGGGTCTGTTACATCATTTAAAACAAATATTTTTCTTGAATGGTCAATATTTTTACAACCGTGTCTTAAGTTCAAACAACCTTGACAAAGCCTTCGACGAAAAACCTCATAACACTTATGATTATAGGCTCTTATGCAATTATGCATATATTTATAATACGTACACATATATATTAAAACTCTTTTAATTCTAAGTGGCTCTTCAACCTTGTGTATTTTATCTTCCTACTAAATTAACAGTATGTCGTGATGGCGTGAAAATAAGTTATAATTATTTAAATCGCACACAACCACAAACAAGATTGAACGTTATGTAGACATAAAATAATTAGAGTACGAAGAATTAGTTTCCACTATTTTGCATCACAAACATTTAAGAAGTGTTTAATAATGTTTTCCATGCGCTATTTCGCTATGCTTTCTATTTTCGATTTCAACCGAACAAAGCGGCAGTCGCCTTTGATTTTATACTAGAAAGATATTATTATTGATAAAAACCGTCCTCTTATTTCGTCCGTTGATGAAACATGAACATTTGTTGTATAGTTTTAAAGATGTGAAAGTGTAAAAACAGCGATAAACAACTTTATTTTATACTACAAATATAAAATCATTTGTATTTTATCAACACGCGGATTTATTGCGTATCTGGTTGTAGTACGAGTATGTAGCACAACCAGGGCATTGTATGGTTTCAGTTAACTAGTTAATGCATATGCAACTAGAATACATACCACTTGAGAAATTCTAGGTTCGAATTAAGCACATATAAATATGTTTCAATATGTATTTTAATACACAAACAGCTTATCTTTAGTTTTTTACAATATACTTAGATATAGATAAATGATAAAATGATAAATATAATATGAATACTTTTTAATACTTCGTATTAATATTAATACTTTTTATAACTAATATATAAGGGTTGTTGTAAGGGGTAAATATAAAGACCTTTTCAATAGGAATTGAATTTTATTAGGTTTTTACTAACTTCAACTATAACGCCACGCCACTTTACCACAGCCAGGTCCAAGGTAGTAGGTGTGTGAAAGTTAATTGACAGGAAACCTATAATTTTACTAAGTAAATTTGGTTAGTTTCACTATTTTGTAACTGAAGTTTATGATTTTATTTTATGTAAAATATAACTATTTATGAGTGTATAACAGTTTTAAGATTACTAAGTTAATTTAATAGTTATGTGATAAATATTAAGAACTCTATAAGGGTAGTTGTAACAAAACCTGGGGTTTGTTGTAATGTAAATGCCCCAGATTGCTGTAAGTTATGAGATATTTTCGGTTAAATACTCACAAATTTCATTCGGGTGGACCTGAAGATTGATTGACTGAATTCTTAGGGTGGAGGAATGATAAAGAATTTTGATTTTGTAGATCACTTATAAAACCGAAACCTACCAAGAAAAGCCATTAGCTATAATATGTAAGAATGTTGTTTAGTTGTGAGTAGTGTAGATTGAAAAAGCCAAAAAAACAATGTTATAGTTATAGTTTTCCTCCCATTGTCCCACAATTTTCAACCTATTAGAGGATAGGGTTAAAAACTAGTAACAGAGAAGATGCATGAAAATAATCCAGAAAAAATACAATTTATGACATCCAAAGAAGAGTTTATAGTGACTTAAAGTTTGGATAAAAAATATGGCTTTATGTTAATATAGACAAACAATCAGAAAATTTTAAATGAAAGTGAGAATTTCTTATGTTGATCTTAAACATCAGAACTATTAGATTCTGCTCTGAAGTGGATATCAGACAACAGAAATAAGCACATGAAACGAACAAACTAACTAAGTTGTTGGTCAAAATCAATTTTTCCCATAAAAGTTAGACCATTACAAAGCCCACCAGAAAAAAAATATAAATTGCAGACAAAAGGAAGTCTGCTGTACATACGCTAAAATAAGTTTGAGAGTAGAATATGAAGAAAAATAAGAAAATGCAAAAAAAGATATAAAGAAAAGTAAGAAGGAAAATTAACAAATTAAAAAAAAACTAAGAGATAAAATATAAGATTGGAAAAATTAAACATTAAGTGTATTTTGTTGTTACAACTAGCCCAACCACGGGTAGTTGTAACTTCTCTTTTAGAAAAAAAAAAAAGTATGAATTTGATAATATTTCATTCACTTATAAAAATATAATATCATCAAAGTTTATAATAATTACAATATTCTTCAAATAACTAATATAGACGATCCTAAATTACTAATAATTTTATAATCATAATTTTATTCTAAAAATCTTGAAATTTATTTAGGTTCGTAAATAGTATGCGACAATAAACATGCAATTTCATACAACTCTACATTTATTGCTATGTACGTCTACCTAATAAAACTAAAATATACATTATACACCTCGTAACGTGTGACGGCGTAGAGAAATGGATATATTTTAAATATATTAATTGACTGATTATTTATATAATTGCTATAATTGAGGTTTACATACAAAAAACTACGAATTGTTCAACATTTGTTAGTGTGTTAAATTACAGTGATATTAACTCAATTAAACATAAGTATATATTTCATTTGTTTTCAGTTTGTCTTTTAATACCATATCCATCTAAACAGCACTTTGTTTGGGTAAGTAATTTAATTTTTTTTTAAATTTTATTGGTATCAATAGTACCTACAATATAATTATCGACAATACATGAAAATATCTTTGAATAAAATTGTACGGAATTGTCTTAGTAGGTTTTATAATAATTTATCAATAACCCATAAAGTAAAATCAAAGCCTGAAACTATAATGATTAAATTCTTTACGTTATATTTAGTAATAAATCGTTGAACTCGGCAATTGTATTATATTTTCAGCCATTACATTGGTGTTTGCTAGCTGATATTTGTAATCACACCTGGATCCCAGAGTGCGGGGCTGAAGATGAGATACCAACTAACAGGAAATTGTTCATAGATGAATGCGATATGTACGAATACAACTGTGACTATGAGAGAGGTACAAAATAGATTTTCATAATTAAAAATAGGTATTAACTGTATTTTATCCTCTATTGCTAACTATATATATTCACTATATCTATTATCCATCCAAGTTGCAAGTTATTATGACATCTAAAACAAACACCTTCATAAACCCGCACATTATTTTGAATAATACTTAAGGTAGTTCAGCTGTGGCAGTCTGATTCTCATGTTCGAGTGATTCTCTAGTCAGAGACACGAACAGTTGTGGAAAATACTCGTGTGTAAGTCCAGTGCCTACAATAACTCTTTCATGATTACAGATTTTGAGCCTATAAACTATTCGGATTGCTTCAATTTACCAATAAAAGAGTGTCCTGTTGTCCAACCATGTCCATCAATACCCCCGTGTCCTGATCACAGATTGCATAAGAAAGGAAATAGGTACAAATTCGTGAAAACTCCCCCGACGGATTCTTTTAGGCGATGGGGTTTTAAAAGAACTACTCTTACGTCATTACCGAGACATATGCTTAGAGGAAAGCGACGTTATACACCATGGCATACTCGGAATATTAGAAGAAGTGCATCGAAAACAAAAGCCACATTCACAACAGTTGTTTTAAAAAGAGAAGAGGTGATCAAGAATGGAAAACGTATGATGAAAGTAATAAGAAGAATATTTAGAACTGTTACGAAAAAGAAGGTTACGGAAGATCAAGATTTTCTTGAATAAATATTTATTGTCTATTCTTACAGTAACTCAATATTAATACAATAGAAAACGTATTTATACAAAATATAACTAACATATAAACAAAACAAGAAAAAATAAAATCTAAAAGAAATTATAAATAATGCGATCCTTGTGAATTCAGACAGTGTGCAATTAAATATCAGCCTTGCGATTCTGTAACTCACTTTTCGACCTCACACAGCGGTTTACGCAGCGGCGGTCGCGCTCAAATCAGTCGTGAAGCAGTCATTTTACGATTTGGCATTCTGATGAGGAGGGAGCTTGTAGTTTATTGTTTAGAGAGTTCGAAAAGTGAGTTACAGAATCGCAAGGCTGATTTCAAATGTCACACTATGAGGGTGCACAAGACACACGGAAATAGTGTTTCCCTAAGTAAATTTGTACGCGCTTGCAGCACTGCTAGTAACTCCGACCGTTTACCACGACGAGTGTGATTATTTTGCACTCGCAGCTTCAATCTTTTCAACATTTCCGAATTATATGCCCTACGGACCTTAAAATAATATAGTGAGATAGCAAGGTTCTTTATCTCTAACTGGTTGTATTCTAACATACCTAAGACAAACAAAAATGGATACATAACCGTTTAAAATGGGTACACTTCATATAACCTAATGTAAATATAATAGTAAATTTATTTTGAATTCGCTCCACCATTAAAGAGTTATTCTTTTATTTATAGAAAGGGAATATTGTATTTTTTAAGAAAGTTTATTGCAACGTGTCATAAAAATAAATGTATGCTATCAAAAGTATAATTTTTTTACCACACGTCTCGTGTTTTATAATGATTTTTATTTTTTGGCGTAGTTAAGCCATATGCAATGACACTAATACTATATAGTTACTTATATATAGTAGCTCTAACTGTATTTACTCAGCATACATTACAACACTTCATACCTGTGAGTATTTTATTATAACAAGTTTAACAATACATACATGAAACATATAGAATTAAATAAGAATCTTTTCAGCCCCCCTCGCCGTGTCTATTGGCAAAATTCTGTAATCACACTGGTATTCCACTCTGTGGCAAACAAAAAGAAGAAAAGCGGAAATTCATAGACGATTGTGACATGTTCGAATTTAATTGTGATTATCATAAAGGTGAGGTTGGATTTTAAATAAAAGGTACCCAAATAAATAAATAAAAAATGTTGGGATTCCTGTCATGTATACATTAAATAAATCGTTTCTATAGGGAACTTTAGTAGCGTCATTCAGAATACTCGCGGAAGCTTCTAGTCCCAAAATGTATATAAATAAGAAATTTCATCCGTTCTGTTATATTATACCTATTTCTTGAGTCATTTTCTAATAGGCAAGTAGGTGACCATATTTCTCTGACAGACGCCGTCTTATTTCTTCTCACACCTGTTATCTTTCACCGTATGAGTGAGTATTTAATACGCATAAAGAAGTAATAGTCCATACTGGTGCACAATCAGTATGACATAATTTTTTTTCTAATATATACCGTGCTAAATATAAGTGTCAAACTTAATTTAAATAGCAGATGTATCTCAAAAGCACTTTAAGGATGTGTTAAGTATCATGTTCATATATCAGTCTTATGGTTATATATAGGTGGTCGTAAACGTACATATTTCAGAATTCAAAAAAGTTGCTGACGAAGACTGTGAAATAATACCTAAAACCAGCCCAACGCCGACCACTATTCCCAGTACAACAGAAAACACAACGCCGACCAGCATTCCCAGTACAACAGAAAGTATGTCTAGTTCAACAGAAAGCGCAACGCCGACCACTATTCCCAGTACAACAGAAAGCACAATGCCGACCAGCATTTCCAGTACAACAGAAATTATGTCTAGTTCAACAGAAAGCACAACACCGACCAGCATTTCCAGTACGACAGAAAGTATGTCTAGTTCAACAGAAAGCACAACCCCGACCACTATATCCAGTACGACAGAAAGTATGTCTAGTTCAACAGAAAGCACAACGCCGACCACTATATCCAGTACGACAGAAAGTATGTCTAGTTCAACAGAAAGCACAACGCCGACCACTATTTCCAGTACAACAGAAAGTACAACTTCTAGCAGCTATGGAAGTACTACAGTTCAAGGCAATACTGAAGCCATATCTGCCACTGCAATTACAGAAAATGCACAAGGTGATAAGCAAGAGACGGAAAATTATACATGTACATCGGGTGTGACTACATTAGCTACAGTAAAATCTTCTGTAATTACTTCATCAATACCAGCACCTATTAACACTGAAACATCATCTGCCCAAGCAAAAACGAATTCAACAACTATGATCACATATTCTACATTTCCTGTTACATGTAATATGTATCCTAAAGACTGCGAGAGACCAGTAACATGGGAAACAACATCTAAAGGAGAGACTAGAGATTTCTATCAAATACTCAGAGCTAAATACGGAAATCGCGTTAAACTTTTAAGAGCTACTACACACTGGCCAACCCCTGGTGTAGTTTACAGATTTAATGAGGAAAATTTTCGATTCGGTCGACATAATGAGAGTTAAGGCTTTGTTAAGACGTAATAGGCTCTTGGACCATAATGTAGGTTAATAGACTAAAGTGCACTACGCATGGTTTGAGCCAAGTTTACAATTGGGCTTGGCTAACGGCCAGGTTTTAGTGGAACAGACTTTAGGGTTATTCATCTGTTTGTGTATCAAGCGTTCAGACAAAGACGTACTTAGGGGCTGTGACTTTTTTATCGCGTCTGGCTTCTATTCAGTTTACGACATCGTATCACATTATGGCTTTATTAGATCTTGAACTAGAGATGATTTGAAGAACGTAAGTTCATTTAACAACTGCACCATTTTGATAAATCATTATATGGAATTTATCAACACCAAAACACGTGATATGGTGCAGAATAATGGTTTAATTTTAAATGCTGAGAAATGTGTACAAGGTTCACCCAAGGATAGCACATTGTTTATTTATCTGATGGTGTTTAACAAAAGCGTAATTATAGACCGGTACATTTTTGTGATTTACGATAAGATGGGTAAAATATTATTAAATAATAATTTAAATATTTAATATAAACTTCAAAGAATTAAGTCGTAGCTTAGTTAATAGTACCACACGTTTGACGTTCGTTGACCTCGACGTTAATCGAATATTGCAATGAACTTGGCCCCGAGCGAACGCAATCGTTAAAGTCTATACGTCTCGGAAACTATTGATTTTGTCTTTTCGAGTCGCTCTTGGTTTTTGATAGTTTATTTGTGTTAAGTTACTAGCATTTTAACCTGAAAATAAATTTTAAAGGGTAGAATAGCTAATTTCACACGATATAATTTTTATATGTCATCTTAACGTTATCATTTCCGATTAATATATTTTACAAAAAGGCTGTATAGGTACAAACTTACGAAACAAATAGAATGCTCAAGCTTGTATTATAATTTTAGTAAATCAATTATAACTGAGCAAATCCACAATTGTTTTGTCAAATCGTCTTCGAGTTTTTCAAAGAAAATTTAAACCATTTTTGTTTTAGTACAGATGTCCATTTAATATTGTGCAGAAAAGGCAAATTTAAATTTTTATTAATTAAGGATTGCGTTTAAAAAATTAATTGACTTTTGACTTAAATATAATATCAAAAGGAATCAGTAAAGGTAGCCTTAATTAAAACTTGTCAGAGTAATAAAATATTAATTTGTGTAATGTAATACAATTACTTTGTGTACCCTACATCAGTTTAAGGTTAATATTTTTAATTACACTCACTGGATTGCGACATGTATGTTGGCAATTTTTGTAACGTCAATTTTCATGTCAAGTTTTTTAGTCAAATAAATATTTACTCTTTCTTCCCGAAGTTTAAAAGATAAATTGATCTTGACTTGCTAATATTAAGAGATAATGGTAAATATAATTAATAATTAATGGCACATATAATTCGGTGTATAACTTTAGTTTACGAATTACATTGGTTAACGGTAAACTGACAAAAGTTCTATTATTTGTTAATAATAGAACTTTTCATCAGTAGTTACTTAATTTTTTGATTTATTTTATTACGTAATAATTTTGTTTATTCTAATTAATTTCTTATGCTTTTTTTGTTGGTTAATTTTTTTCGTTTTGTGTGTAATTTTTTTTACACACGAATTTTGTATTGTATTCTTGTCGATTTAAGGTCACCTTAGGACAGGGTTGTCTTTTTTCTAAATATAAAATTACAAAAAAAAATAATAATAATGTAATCAATGTGTAAAAAACAGCCTTGCTAATACTGGTCATGGTTTGTGCTTTTTCTTTACCATGCATTGTTTCATAACGTGTATGATGAAACAGGCAGATAATATTGCATCAAGTGAGCTTTGACAATTTATTTAAATATTACGTGTCTTCTTTCTTTAATGAGATGTATAGTACTGTTTTGAAATTTGTAGTACGCCAAAGTTACGAAATGTAACCATTTACAGTAAATGATGATATACAGAGATGAGTTGAATCATTAAGTACTTGTATTACCGTTTACTAAGTAGAGTGCAAAACTACCGAAATTAAAACTTCAGATATAAAATATATAAATTGGCCAAATATATCTACGTCCTTTGCTACACTGTGTATCATTACGTAATCCACGAAGATGGTATGTTAAGTCCACCATTATATTATAAATGTCATCCTGGAAGGATTTTGTGAGCAGTGCGTACCACTATTGATTTTGAAAACCGGCATGTCTGGGACAAAAGTCGACGTCAGTCAGGCACAATAGGTCACCTCTATGTCTAAAAATAAGCAATCAGATCTAGCATGTCCTAGCATTCCCTATTAGACGGGGCTTCAAACGCATTGCATGATAAAAGTTGAATTGATTGATCAACGGAAGTAGGAAGCGACAGTTCTGAAGTATACAAGGCAAACTTGTAAACTTATATTACGGTACTAAATCATGTTAATCACATGGTGATTAATATATGTAATGACAACTTGTTGTTCCTATTTTCATTTAATTGTAAAATGCGTAACATATTTCTATATAGTGTGTAATTATGTGTGATAGTGTTTTTGTGTAATTATAATACTGAATGATATCTCGTGATTTCTTTACATAAGACGTATTAGTTTTTAAAGATAAAGTATAAATAGTGTCTTCACCATGTTTGCTAAGACAAAGGGCTCTCGAATTTCGATGCCTTTTTAAATTACGTAATATTAAAAAAAAAGTAAAGTAAAGTAAGGAACAAGTTACAAATCGGAACTCGGAAGTCACCGGAAGGTTACTGCAGAGCAAGCTATATATTATGAACATTACCTGCGCCCGCGCAGTGCTCGTTATAACGTGACCGTGACTTTTGTGAACGTAAGTGCTGTTTTTCTACTGTGCTTAATATAGAAGATTGTTTTAATTAGTGTGTTTGTTGCATGGTTTTGGCTCATTTTATTTGGATAGAATGAAGCCTGTGTCTCTTTAGTGTTGACTGCTTACATTCTACGTACCCAATACCTTTAATACAAGCAATTGTCTTGATACAGTAATGTAGTATAGTTTGATACTATTAAAGTATTAAAGTACTAATAATTAGAAGTAAACAAACTTATGTAAGCTAACTCCTTAACTTATTAGCTTAGATAGCTAAAAGTTAATTAAGTTTAACTCTTTTCACTTTCGGTAAGTCTGTCTTTAACTTTCAGGTGAATCGAAAACATGCACCGAATACTTTTGCTTGCCGTCCTAGGGGTAGCGAACGCTTACCCAGTATTATTCGATGAACCTTTACATGCAGGGATCGAATATGCACCCCTGGCTCCAGCAGTACACTCCCACCCTTCTGTAGAACTTAACGCAGCGAGCGAAGCACAACTTCCAAGGGAACTTCTTAAATCAAATGCCTTTTATGATAACCCCGCAATTGCTGCTGGCTTGGCGAAAGAATCATGGTTTACTAATAAGGAAATGCAGGTAGTTGAGCGTGAGGCTGAAAAGATACCGAGACAGAGGATCTATGACATGGTGAAAGGTGCTGGCTTCCTTGATCAGCACTAAACATTGATTACCTACCTTACATATTCTTTTGACAACTACAATTAATTTGTGTATCATGGATTTTTATCTACAGCTGCAAAGACTTTTCTTCACACATTATTATTTAGATAGATAAATTAGAGTTAAAATATTATATTTATTTAAGTAGATAATGTGATGTAATCTTAGTTAATTAAAAATTTGTTGCGTGAATTCCGTTGATTATAAGTATTTTTAAGTCGTATATTTTAAAAAAATTTTAGTTCGTAAGCCTTGTATATGCACGTAATTTTAATTAAGGGCGTCACCTAGTTTGATTTAATTTTAACTTAATTGTGTGAATGTGTAAAATTAATACCTGTGATCTCGAACAATAAGTACTAACGTAAGTTATTGTTTCGTATACTATTTATTGAATAAAACAATTGTTTGGTATTTCAGTGTTTTCTAGTTTTTTTTATTTATTATGCTACTCTCGTTGAATTTCAGAATTTGAATTTAAGTAATATGTATATCATTTATTTTTGTAAAGTATTATTTAACATTAAGTTTCTTTATGAAACAATGTCAATACCATCCGCTTTTGATAGATAAATTATAGAAGTAATTGATACATTTTTATATTTTATTATATTGAGGGAAATTAATACATATTTTTAAATTAAAACCTAATTTTTTTTAATGAAATACTGTCTATATTTCCATTGTTGTTTTGCCACAAGTTTGTACCATAAAACTAGATTACAGAATTTTCTAATTCACAACCATCTCCATAGGCTGGTTTCTTGAAGCTTCTTCCCCGTTTGCAGGTCACCCAGCATTCGTGAACAGGTTTTTGAACAAAATCTGTAAGAAGAAAAGTCAAAGCAATCTCGGCTGTATTTATCAGACAAGAAAGATATATTATCAATTTATACTTCATCCCTCTGATATAAAAACAAAGTATATAGTAGTTTTTTTTAAATATTCAGGATTGTTACAGATGCCGTCGACAGTACAACATCGAGAGTTTTACATTGCGGGATTACCAATATGCTGTGACGATGTTATTACACAATAAAAGCATTGTACGGAGGATATTATACTTTCATAGATATTAACAATACCCTAGTTATAACATGTTCCTATTGCAAACGGTAGATCAATAGTTCAGGTGACCTAATTTTAGGTCAGAAACCGATCTATTTTTTTATATAACGTTTTAATAAAAATAAATTGTTTCTTTATTAGAATAATTATTAATAGCTTTGAAAAGTAGCAGCTTTGAATTTATAGAGTATTAGGAAGATAAAAATTTAACTACTTATTAAAAATACACGTCGATTAACGTCTGTGGAGTATTTTATTAAAAAGCAAAATTCGGAAGGAGCACAACAAAAATGAATTAAATTACCAATAAATTATTAAAACTCCCGAAAGAGATAAACTCCTTTTTCGAAACCAACTATAAAAATACAGTTCAGAGGAAAACTAGTTTGTAGATCAAGCGAAGAGTTTTTAATATACATTATATATTGAATGTTATTTAATTAAAAGTAAGTCAATTTGACATAATAATATGCAAAGGATATCATTATAGTTATATTTATGAGAACTATTGGGCTTGTAAAAGTATAGGATATATAATATATATTTTTTTATGTTTGTAATGTATCCAAATTTTGAGATTAACATAATATGGGGTACCCGTTTAACTGGTTAGTGTTATAAAGTTTCAAATAAGCGAATTCTATTTAGTTTGTAACTTACTTAAATTAACGATACAATTATTTGTATAATAATAATAAAATAATGGTTTTAGTTAAGTTAAATAGATCAGGTTCCAGAGTTAAGCGTAGGCGGATTATATTGAATCGATTTCTGAGAATTCATCCGAGTCACTGGTCTTAACGATCTCGTTAAGGTTTTCTATTCAGATAATCTACATTTTTGTTGGCAAGTATTTTTCGTAAAGAAAATGTATCACTCTTGAGCTAATTATCCTGTATTCAAAGCATTTTCGGCGTTAATGTTTCTCTGAAAAGAGCTTAAAAATGGTTCCTTTTAAGTAGACTAGTTTTCTGAATGAAATTACCTTTTCTGGTATCGCAATTAAACTCATGCATGTCGCACGTGTCAATAAAAGTGCGCATTTCACCGCACGAGTCGATTCCGCAAATTGGGACTTGATCGTGTCGGCAAATGTCTGCTATTTGGCACTCTTCTTTAAGCTTAAAACAAGTAATGCACATGGTTTACGAACATTATTTTTTACTGGAACATGCTTGTTAGAATAATTTCAAGTTAGAACCTTTATGACTGACTTCATTTACGATTTGGGTGATAAATCGAAAAGTATATATTATTTTCTTAAAATACCTATATTATTTATATAGTAAAAATACAATAATACATAATCAGTGCAATTATTATTTTATAAATTAGCCTTTTCAAATGTTACCTTAGCACCGTCGACATGAGCTAAGCAGTTTTTTACATTTATTGCCAACACTGTAATACAAACAAGTAACATATTTCGAACATGTTTTATTATCGTATTTTAAATGGATTGTATTGTGTGTAAAGTCACAATAAAATATTTAACAATTATTATAAACATCTATTTTTAATGGAAAAGTGAATTTGTTTCTTTCGCATTAGGTATTAACTAAGACCATTTCTTTAAATTATTATATTTATTACCGTTTTTGGTACTAAAAAGCCGAATGAAAGTGTGGCGGCTTAAAACCTTCACGTACTGGTACTTTGCTCCTTTGCCGTTTTATAAGAAAGTTTCGATAAACAATGGTTGCCTAGCAACACTAAACCATATATAACTTAAAGACACTGCATACAGTATTTAGCCTAGACAAAGTAAAACCTAGTATTTAGTTAGTATATGGCGTAAGATTCTGATGCTTTAGGGGCAGCAAAAACAACTGAAATAGAAGACTATTGATAGAAAAAAATATATTCATAAACTTCACACACACGCACACATTCCAGAAACAATTGAATGCGGGTAGTTAAACAAAACACGGCATAATAGTGTCCTATGCTAACGCAAGAATCGAATTAAAGGTCTTGAATGATTTTGCGTTATGTCCTTCATACGACGAAATATGTGCGCTGGAACACAATCAGTGTGGCAAATAATAATGATCAGTTATCGGTTTAATAATTTATTTATATTTTGATTTCATATTTAAGTTACAGTCGGTTCGATATTCTGGCTTCTTAAAGGATCGTCCTCTTTTACACGTCACCCAACATTCGTGAATTGGCCTCTGTTTGAAATCTAGAAAATGCAAAGATAAAGTATAAGACTTCAGTGATGAACCGCAACCATTTCCCCGTTCCATACTGTAAGCGATTGTTTGATGTCGGATTAAAACGATTCTTTGTTTAACGCTGATGGGTTCGTAATTAAAGTTCTGTAGATGTCATTATGGAAAATTTTACAATTATTTTTTTAATAAAATACGTTGATAAATCATGGGATGTCACTCGCATCAATAAGCGCAGCATTGATTAAGATTTATTGACAAGTTATACGTTTCCCAATCGTATAAATTTAGAACCTAAAGTTGTAAGAAATTTGCAGTAGTCGTATAAACTAAGGTAATGTGGTGGGCGTACTCGTGTTGTACCTCGATCTTCAGTCTCTATATCCAAAAGCTAATCGTAATTTCTACGAGTCGTAAAGCTTTGTATTAGATATTTGTATTTGTAGAAAGAATGCGGAAAAAATACTACGATTAGTATGAATTACAACTGGTCCCTTAATTATAGAAGGTTCGTTGATAGCTTAGTACTTTAATATACCTTATATACCTGATATAGTACTAAGTTATCAAGGAGGATCATCAGTCACCCGAAAACGCCACTAATGAGTTTAACCTTGGTGGCTGAAGGCTACACATAAAAATTTCTTTAAATACCTTATAAACTAGAGTTAAAAAAAATACAATCAAAAAATGAAACGAAAACTTTAAAACAAACAGAGAGAAAAAGAAACATTTTTATAGCTTATACATAATATAACATCAATTTTAAAGTCAAGCAATCACATCTCAGGTTGGCCAAAAAATAACATAATGGGACCGTTGCAATTTTCGAGTGTTATTTTGAAATTTGAGAGTAAACAATTAACGTATACATACGTATACATTATTTGCGTAGTATGTAAAGCTATTTTCTAAACTATCGGCAAATCAATATCACAATATGATGTATTTTAAATAAAGTTCAAATAAGTAAGTACAAAGAATAAAAAAATCATCTGCAAGTAAACCTAGTTATGTATTAGTAATAACCTATGAAAAAGAATGCGACTCTATTCAATGAAGTTCCAAACCTTTTTTGCTGTCACAGTTGAACTCATGCATGTCACAAGTGTCTATGAATGTTCTCATCTCCCCGCACGAGTCTATTCCACACATTGGTACTTTGTCGTGGACGCATAAGTCTGCTATTTTACATTCTTCTTCATTCTGAAATAGGTATATCATAATACGAGAATGTAAGTGCGTCCTATTTCACCATGCGTACTGTTGATAGAGGACAAATCTTTGTTTTTTATTATTATTAATTAACTATTAATTACTTTAAGATTTTAATGGTGTAATGGTTGCAGCTCCTTACAAACATTTTGTAAAACAAAAAACTTGGCGATTAAAGAGAGTGGCGGAGAGTTTATTGCCAGTTCTTCTCGTCCGTTTTACGCCCTTGATTTGAGAACTGGCAGTAAATGTAAAATTAGAAGCATTTAATATGTATTACTTTATTGACGAGTGTACATTGTGTTACCTAAATGAATAAATGATTTTGAATTTGAATAATGCGAGAAATAATTGTAATTAGTATAAAGACAAAACAGTTATGTTAGTTTTCTGTCAGTCAGAACCATAATTCAGCAACCGACGAACTATATTGGTTTAAGAATTTAGGTTAACATAGTTCTGAAGTATTCTATGGTGTATAAACCCGTGTACATACTTTTAGAGCTCGCGAAACGTAAAATATATTTTTTTATATTAGGTATGACAAATGCGAAAAGGCTTTTCTTAGTTTGTATTTACTAAAATATATCTATTTTAATACACATCGTACCTTTATGGTTTCACTGTGTGCCGTCACAAGACTTATGTAGGCCAGTAGACTTGGTATAGCTAGAATACAATAAAATTGATTATATTTTAATTGTAAATGGTCACGTTGACCATTAAAACTAGATCGGTGGCCAGATACATGAATTTTTATGAAGTATTTTTAAGAACTTTGAAAGTCGTCGACGATACAAACCACTCTACATTGAATACGGTCAAGTGGAAAGACCTGGTACTGGGGTGCTCCCGCCCAGAGCCGAGAATAGTACTGCCGAATTTGCGCTTTATAGAATTGCAAACGGTGACTCGGAGTGAAGTACCGTCTCGCCTTGCTGAGCACACCAAGCTTCCCTTCCCTTTCAAATGACTCCGAAACTTAACGTCATTTGATATGTATGTTTTTTTAGGTTTTGTATCTTCTTAGGGTTAAATTGTCCTAGATTAAGTCACCAGCTAAGCAACCACGACGAAATCCGTATTGACGATCGCTAATCGGTAATAATAAGTAATAATTGGTGGCCTTTTAGATATCTCCGTAGCTTAGTTAATAATAGAATCCATTATTTTGGAGAACTAGGTGGTTAAGGAGTCGATTGTTGGACGGATCAGAGCGATCGCCTTTTTAGGGATCGAATGTATTGAAGGGGTCTTCCAGCACACTGCAGCACAGTGCAGCAGCACAGGACAATTTTCAGTCCGGTACCAGTACCTACCGGAAAATGTGCCTTATGACACAAGCCAACTAAGGAGAATAATTGGGGGGATGCCATCAGGGCCGCTCGACTTATGAATGTCCCAGGAAGAAAGAGATTTGCGTATAGCACGTTGCCGGGATATAGTTTCAGGCATCAAAGTAAAACACCGCAATAATGTAAAAGTTGCCTTCCCGTGGTCATCTAAAGTCGAGTTCGAGGAAGAGAGACAGCCTAGAAGATCGGCCTTCTCCTTCGCGGTGTGAGCTTCGCCCCTGTGCAGTGGAGGAATGTAGGGCTGTATGTATATAAAGGAAAATATTTTCCTGTATTTTAAATTGTAAGTTGTAAACTACTTACCTATAAAAATAATCATAACGGAGCATTGTGGTTAAAAACGTTTGCACAATAGTAACATGCTATAAAATTTTATCTTTTGCCGACTTTAAATGGCTTACTGGAAATCAAATATGTTCAAAGCGAAAAGGTATATATATTAAAATAATAAATTTATCGGACAATGTCGCTGTCTTTTAAACATTGTTATGTAGTCTATGTAACGTATCAAAATACATGTTTTATCATGGAATATATAGTTAATGTTCGAGTGTCACCTTTTCGAGTGCGACTTTCACATTTTTTTTCCTTATATATGATTGTTTATTCAGCATACTTGCCGTGCTGATATCCTTCAATGTTTCCATCTATTCCGTGTTTTAATTGTATGGCGTCATAACCTTATGTAATGTAGGTTATATTTATTTACTCGCATTTTAATTAGTACGGAAGAGCATGTGACATCGCTATTAGCTATGTGAGAACCGCATCAATGTTTCTAATTTAATCACAACTCGCTTAATACCTATAAATCACATACAAGTTAGGTTATGGACTAAAACGTTTTAATATTTGCAGAATATGAAAAATTTGAATGTGTATATTAAAGCTGTTATAGAAACCGAAACTTGAAATTTTAGTCGACTGATATTAGTTTGTATAGTAATTTTCATTATTTTACAAACGACCATTCCAAGAAATAAATTTTTAAACGGTTCCACTTTTATTAAATACATATTATGCTTACATAAAACGAAAAGAACAAAGGTCAAATAAATGAAGGCTATTACGTTAGAATTAACAAAGTGCCGCCCACGCGAGCTCTTTGATGAAAATAAAAATAGGTAAAAAACTTTTTAAGTTAAACGGTTTTATGTTAAACATACATTGCAATGTTTAAGATAAATGTACTAAAAACAAAAAAAATAATAAAATAGATACAGTCGTGGGAATTATAAACATATGCATAGACTAGACTAAAATAAAACCGTGGGGCACGTCAATTGTCTACAAATTATCGACTTAATGTGCGATAGAAGAATCGTTTAATTCGTCGTTAAAATAGGCAGTTGGCCCGCAGACGGTCAGGAAATTACTTACTATTTTCTTGCTCATGAAAATTCCAATAGTTATACACTCCATGTAAATAAAAGAGATGTTTCAACTAGTTTATCGTTGGACATTCACACTGCTGGCTGGCGAGGAATCGTTTCAACAGACAATTGACATGCCCCACGGTTTTATTTTAGTCTAGTCTATGCATATGTTTATAATTCCCACGACTGTATCTATTTTATTATTTTTTTTTTTAGGGTATATTTATTTTAAACATTGCAATGTATGTTTAACATAAAACCGTTTAACTTAAAAAGTTTTTTTACCTATTTTTATTTTCTAGTTTTTAGTTTTTATTTCGCATTCTGTTTAATTCATTTAGTGCTTCATTATTGCAAGGTTCCTTGCCCGTTAGTTTATATAAATAAATCAATTCTTTAATACAAATATAATATATATTTAATTAATAAAATAGATACAGTTTTTAATATAATGTTATATATTATATAATATTTATTTATTTATTTATTTAGTTTATTGTATTGTCACCAAAATCCAAAAGTGTATACAAAGTTTCAGATTAATCGGTTGACAGGAAGAGGGTGAAATTTGAATTACTAAATTTGACCCAAGAATAAAACAAACGGGGTGAGCTAAATAAAACCATTTAATAAAGAGAATTAATATTAAACAATGTAATAAAGCAACAGTTACAAGCTGTCTTTGTTTTAAAATGGCTCATTTTGGAGTTTAAAAAAGTAATTATGATCTGGAATTTGCGAAATACGATAGTATGAAACTTTTTATTTAAAGGGTAAAATATGTTAACATATTAAAATTAATATGTACTTCAAGTATTAAGATCCTTCGTATCATACTTCCAATTACCGACACTATAAGTGGATTTCTTCGCCTCCCTTTCTAAGTGTGTTGCTTCAAAAGTCCAACATGAAGTTCATATTTATTGGTAATTCTTTTTTAATAAGGGCTTTCCATTAAGAACGTTAATTTAAATCTTATCTACCTAATATTGTTTTAGTTGCGGTGATGTCCTGTTTATATATGTATACGAATCAAGAACATATAGAAAGATTAGAAGACGTGCTAGCTTATAGAACAGAAAGTCCAAAGGTGAGCAATAAATATATTTTTTCTTTTATTACTATCAACAGTCCCAATAAAGACGCTTGTTCCACCAGAAAACTCAACGCGAAGTTGAGGAGACAAATGCGAGCAAGCAGTCACAATTCCTCCACTTCGTCGAAGAAACGTTAATACAGCACACTGAAGCATTAGAAAGTATTTTTAAAACAGCAGCAAACAACGAGGAATTGTTAAGGGAACTGATAGAAAATTTTTCAAACAACATGGATCAGTCTAAAATGCCTGAAAAGATCGAGGAACATCAACCAACGAGGAGGAGCTCCAATGTAGATTCAGAGAACTCCCTGGTAAAATTTGGAAAAGGGTTTCCAACTTATGGAAGCATGTTAAAAGACATAATAATGCGGAGGTTTGAACCAGATGAAACGCCAAAAGCACTTGTTGAACATTCCATAGAGGTATGTGCGTCGTAAATCTTTTGAAGCTTGTGGGTGGTCTTCAGAAGATTTTACTACACACTTACGCCTGTTTTTCAAACTAATCAAAATAAATAAATATGACGCTGTTGGTAAATATCTATTTTGATTTAACAATATGCTCCAAGCAATCCTTAATTTCCTTTATTTTGACAGTTTTGGCACTCTCGAGAGGTTCGATTAATTCATAACCGTGTTGTTGACACACATGTTATCTTATAATTTAACGGACTAAGACCCCAATGATCTTAATCCTAGTATTTGATCATAACATAATTACTTTCAGACCCGTCGAGATAATGGAAGAAACCCGCTAATAACTCAAAGTAAAAATTATCGCAGTCCGAGTCCGTGGTGTTCCATCGCAGTACTATGCCACAGGAAATTTAACCCTATTTGTGGATACGATGACAATTTTGGATATGGAAAATTTGACGATCTTTGTCATATGTTACAAGTTAACTGCTATTGGAAATACAGTAAGTTATTAATAGTAGTAGTATCTTAACGAATTTTGCACGGTCTGTCAGACAATCATCCCATCATTCCAAAATAATTTAGCTTTTCGCTTCCCCAGCATAATCACTGTTAAGCCACATTTTGAGCAATTAACATTCAGATATTTTTCTACTAGAGGCCTACGATGTTTTAACCGTTGCGGACGAGTTGCAGGTATAAAAAATAATAATAATACCTACCTTGTTTCAGATTTTGCGCTCGTGCCGTCTTGCAGACCAATAATGAAAAAGTAAAATGTATGACTTCAAATATTTATTTAATAAATTATGCTAATAATTAGTTTTCATCCAACTCCTTGCCCCAACTCTCTTGGATTTGGGCAAATCCCTTCCTCTTCTTTGACATGTCTGAAAACTATAAGAAATAATTGTAACGTCTAAAATAATTCCTTTGATGCAAAATTGCATATTATGCGGTGCTCCGTTTGGTATGGGGCTACTCTTTCTACGTGATTAATCTGGCACTCGTTAAGTAAACCACATATTAATATTTTGTCTAATTGTATATACTACGCGCAATTCAAATGCACTCGAGTTTGTACTATAGATGCGCGCGGAGGGAGACGCGCGGGTAAAATCATAAATTTTCCTAGCTTTAGGCCTAATCTTAAGTAAATAATCGATTCGAACCAACTATTTACGTAGTACCGATCGACATATTGGGTTTACGTAGCGTATTTGAACAGTATTCGATGTTTGGCACCGCTAGCTACTAATCCAACTATTAAATACTAGGAATAACCTAGTTAAGCAGTTTCGTCCTCTGAACTCTCTCTTTTTAACATATACAATATACATTTATATTTTAAGCACAGACAGAGAGAGACAAAGAAGCTTATAAGAAAGGTTCCTATATTAAAACAATAAATAAAGTCTTTCAGAACAATTCAGCTACGGCGGTTAACAAATATGTAGTTTAAAAAAACAGATAATATTTTTTTAAAATGCATTCGTCATCTGGAATTTGAAACTAAGACTTCTTGATCTAAAGTGGAACACGCTAAACATTACTTTTTATTAAGCTTGTAAAATACGTACCCATGTTGTATTCACAAGAATACTCATATAAATCGCAAAGATCAAGAAAAGTCCTCGCCTCATTCACTGATTTCCCGCAGGTGATTACAGTGTCGTGGAAACAGGTGTAGGCGTGCTCACATAGTTTCTTTAACTCACTCTGAAATATTACAAAGTTCAAATAAGTAAGGCTTAGTACAATCATATTTTATAGTTACATACACAATCTAAGACTACGTGACAGATATATTATTTGACAGACCTTAAATAGTAGCTTTTTGTATCTATACCGTAATGCATGATTGTGTTATAAGTTTTTTTATTGTTGAAGATAGTTCTTACCAAATGCGCTTTATCCCCAACTAAATGTAAATACGAGTCTTGAAAAACAAGCATCAATGTTAGTAAGAAAGTAAGATATTTTCCTAACATTTTTACAGACACTTTGGTTCTATCTTTGAATAGATAATCAAGAAAGTCAGGGTATCTATCGAAGCACAATTGGTTGTCTAGTTAACAGGTGCGTATTAAGGTTTAAGAAAGCCATTAAATAATTTGATTATTCTGAGTAACAAATTTTTCAAAATGCTACATTATGCGCTTATTTCAAAATGCTATAATAGTGTGTGACAGCGATCGTGATATTCTGGGAGCTTTTCTGGTTTCAGCAAGTGCAATGTGTATACAATTATAAGCATTACCAACCAGGCTGAAAGGCGCCAACAAACTGGAGTTCCTTTCTTTTCAATAATGAACCTTTGATTGAGGTTTATACATAGCTGTCTGTATACAGCCTCCCAAAAGATTAAAGAATTTCAAGAATTCTAGTATTCCTTGGGTCGGCATTAAACATAACACAACAGGGAAAGGCAGTCGTTATACTTTTAAATTTACTGAACTTTAATGAATTAGGGTAAATCGTGGGGATCTTTCTAATAAGATTAGACAAAATCATGATCATCCCTAAACAAGTATTTATGTCATAGCAGTTTAGTATAATAATTCGTATTCGTACATTTCAGTTCGTCTCTGTTCCATATTAACTTGAAGAATACAGGCAGGATGTTGTAAAGGTTGTATAGTACATTGTAAGCTGTTCTGAAAACTATGTTTGAGTATCATGTCAATGTTTCTATGAAAATTTTCTGATGTTTAGGATCATCTGCAAATGTGCTCTGTAATATGTATATAGTATGATGATGTATTTGCAGTATATACATAGTACTCGGTATTATCACTTTTTTAGAAACTGTAGCAAATGTTTTTCACCAAGACCTAATGGATCAGTAAAATAAAAGTATCGTCAGGTAAAAAAAACAAATTTGTTTAAGTTTTCAAATAATAAAAAAATATTAATATACAGAATAATATACAGAGAAATAACGTTATAAATGTCTTAAGACAACTTCATATATTTAATTTAAATTGTTGTAATTTTCTAATTAGTGCGTTTTGATATGAAATCATAGTGTCAAATATTCATATAATATAGATAATTTTTACTATTCCCGTTTCAATACAGGATCTGAGGTGGTGAGGGTTTTCGTGAGAATAATATTCATGAAATATAAAAAACTATGTCTGTCATCTTTAAATGAATTTTCCAGCCTCTGCAGAACCTATTGTTATAAAATCTGTACATTTTTCAAGCTCTGACGAGTTCTTTTGTCTAATTTTTGCCTCTACGTTCTATACCTCAGAAACTTTTTTAAATAAAATACTATGAATTGGATGGTGAAATGTTCGATGGGTTTTTTTACTGAACCGTCAGTTCCAACTATTCCATAGCTTGATGGAGTATTTAAGTGATGTATCGTATCGAACACGCACTTGGTAACATCAATAAATTATTTCCAAAACAATTTTATAAAAATACTATACCGAGTCATATTCGTGAGTCTATTTTGTACTTCGAAAATTTTTTCACAGAATTCAATGTTTCCAATCAAATATTTATTGTTTTATTAAATAAACAATTCGATGTACGTATTTTTCTCACAAAGATTTCTGTTCCTAATAGACTTTTAACAATCATCACTATGGCATCACACTCTAGTTGGTGTAAGTAGGTATACGTTTTAAGTAGGCGCTATATAACTGTGACGTTTCTTCGGTGTACGATTCTCAAAGATTCTCCTCTATCTATATTAAATGATATTCAAACTACGTTCTAATTGCCAGCAAAGTTATTAATTGTATTTAAGAAAGTATGCGTTGTTGTTGCAAGCATTAAATATAAGGAATTCACATCGAATAAAGAAGTGAATGAGGATACAAAATAAGTACAACCCTATAAGGAAGGTTAATAAAAATAGGGATTACTTTATTTACTTTTCTTATACATGTTTATTTAAACTTTGTAGCCGGTGAATATTTAATTTTTAATCATCATAATAGCTGTTGGTTGGTCGACGAGATGCAGTCAGAATAGATTTGTCTTGAGGACATCCAGTCTGTTTATAATCTGAAATAAGTTGAATAAGTATTAAGCAGATGAAGGTTTCTTTACACTCTTAAGGCGCACGTATTTCTGGCTATAATGCTTTACTGTTTAGTTTTCGGCCTTGTTCGACTACAGATAATGAAATCTCGGGTTCATACCATAGGTCGAAATAATAAAAAAAGATCTTTTAAAATAAATTAAAATGGCAGTCCTTAGAAAGTTGACAGCGCTACGCCTTTCCCGATGTTTGAGATGAGCTCGTAAAGCTGAGGCTCTGGACGTGTCGGACACCTGTCCGATCGGTGTTTGCGAGTTATGGAGCATTTGTTTACTAAGATAAATTGGCTAGATTCATTATAAAAACTCCGTATCAGCCTGGATAAAATTTCATAATTTTCAGGAGTATTGCCCTAAGGCAAAGGGTCGTTCTGAGCGTCGTCTTAACAAGCTTTTATCGGTCAATAATCAAACCAAACTCACTTCGCCGCCTTATACAGTTATAGTCGAACATGTCACACAGATCGCGGAATCCCATGACGTCACCAGCATGGCTGACACCACAGATTGGTATACGGTCGTGGTTGCATACTTTGGCCATGCTGCACCATTTGGCACCCATCTACGAGAAAACAAGAAAAGAAATGGGGCTGTAAGAGTACTGAATTCTACTCAAGTGTATTAAGAATCTTATAATAAAAAATTTGTCCTGCCCAGTTACTGGTATTCTACTAGTAGTTGCAACGTATTTGATAGATAATAACTGTTGTAGCTTAAGGTTTTGTATAAAATAAACTACGAGTATCACGACTGTCTTTAGAACTTGGAGGGTTAACCTTGATGCAAGTCCGGTCAATGGCATTTTTATTTATACTTTATTACCTTATACAAAAAAATACATAAAAAAAATAAAAAAAGCAGGTTACAAAGTTATAAGGCAATGGGCGGCCTTATCGCTAACAAGCGATTTCTTCCAGGCAACCCTAATGTGGAACAACAAAAAAGAAACACATGCAGAGTAAAAGAAGTGCATAAATAATTAAGAAAATTTCTTAAGAAAAAATAAACAATAATAATAAATAAAAATATGTATAAACAAAAGTTTAAAAGCCAATCAAAAGGTTAACTGAGTCACAATAATTCATATATATAAGTAGAGATAATTACGAGGCAGAAAGAAAATGATCAAAAAGAAGCTTTTTAAATAAATTTAAACACTGCTTGTCTAATATCAATTGGTAGGGAATTCAAGTATATAAGTAAGTAAGTAAGGCATAACAAGTAATAGCACATCATCACTTAAATTATTTAAAAATAATTAAACCTTCCGCCCCATAGCGATATCTTCATTGTCTCTGTCTCGCGGTGGTCCGTGGGCAGCCACTGATACAACGTAGAAGATCATCAAAAGGACTGAAATCATTTTCAAAATAATTTTTATAGTTTAACATATTGTTGTTTGAATTGATTTGAAATTATGAGACGACACTTCGCATTCATGGCTTAGGGAAGGTTTTGTAGAAAAATTTACAAAGAGAATGCTTTGAAGAGATTGATAAGCCAGACATGTGTAGCTCCTGCCCTAGTGCATCTAGTATAAAAATAAAAGAGTGTAGATTATAGCAACTGGAGATCGATGGTTATCTTTTCCTTTGGTACAAGCTATCTAAATAAATATAAGAATATACTCACGAGTAATTTTCGTAAACATTTTCTTTGTGACTGCTGTGGTCGCGCGATTAGGTTTAAGTAACTTATTGTCCCAAACATTGTTGAAGTTAGCTTCTATTGTCTATGACTTCCTGTTTGCTTTGGATTTGTATATACTGAGTTGTGTGTACGCGGAATACGTATCAAATAATAATTAATACTACAGTAATTAAACTTATATTTTTTCCAAAGAACGTATACCAAAGAACTTTGGCACTGGCTCACATCACTCAGATAATTTTACAAAAGTTAACTTACATTTTATAGGCTCACTACGTGTTTTTAGAACCCTACTAAAGCTACTAGTAGCTTACCATTCACACATCATGGCCGAAATTACAAAAATCATGTTACTGAAATTCAATTTGCTTGTTTGGTTTCGGTTAACTTCTATTTATATTGTAACTAATGATGGATTTGAATTAATAAAGTTTAAGCTATTAATAAAAAACAAAAGAAATGTATAAATATGGTGAATTTTTAAATTTAATATTAGTAGGTTCTATAAAGGTGGTACTTGTTGGCACTGGGTCGACGAAACTCGGTTGAAACCTGAAGAAAGACATGTTTACTTGTAACTAGGAAAAGCTTTTGCTAAAATTTTGTTTTAGAACCAATAACACCGATTCAACTTATACTTCATTTAATTTGAAATTAAATATACATATATGAAAAATATCACGTGGTAAAATTTAATTAAATTACTAACTCTATTTCTAGTTTAAAATAATTTAATTCATCAAGAGTTCAAGTTCAAGGAACATTTAGTTTTGACCAGAGAGTACTATTTTATATTGCCCAAGGAAGGCAATAAAGAGATTAATAAATAGTATTTCCTCTTAGTTAATTAAATTGACTTACTGGCATTATATTGGCAGTTAAATTCCAGAATATCACATTGATCAAGGAACCACTTCACCTCATAGTTGTTCTTTTGGAAACCACATTTCCGTCTTCCATCGTGTACGCATAACGCAGCTTCCAGGCATGGTGACTGAAATATAAAGATATACTATGTAGAAACTTATGTACTTGTATCAAGTCTTCATCTGTTTCAATTAATTATTAGCTTGTAAGTTAGACGTCTACGTTTTAAAGTTTTGACACAGTTTCGCACTATAAACAGATACTAGCAGTTCTATTAACTGACGAAATATGTTTATTTGGACTAAACTGAATAATGAACAGTATTAGCGTAGATAGTGAGCAGAGTTGGCTCTCAACCTTTAGGTCGTGCGTTCGAATCGCGGTTGAGCACCAATGGACATTCTATGTGCGCACTTAGTCGTCGTACGGTGAAGAAAAACGTGAGGAAAATGGCATGCGTTAGACTTAATAAACGATGACATGACGTGAAGCACAGAAGGCTTGTCGCCTATTTCGCGATTCGACACAGACATCGTTCGTCCAAAGCTAGAAAACAAATATACCAGAAATATTCTTACTAATTGTCTCAATTCCTCTTTAAAGCGTCGACATCCATTAATACATATAACAATAGATAACAAAAGAAAACTCTTTGAGTATTTCATCACAAAATATATGAAAAATTAAAATCATAAAATTTTTATAGAAAGTTATTGCCGATAGAGATTGTTTCGTAAGACCTTGAATTGTACAATATTATCGATATGCGTCTCAAAGCCGTTTTAGGTAGGTCGTTCAATGTGCAATGTTTCATACAATTTTTATTTTAAATTTTGTTTTAATGTTTCATTGTAGTTTTGTTTATTTTTACATGTATCTGTGCGAGGACATACGGTAATAAAGTAAGATTTATTTTTTCGTTTTCTTTCTAAAATAAGTTGTATAAAGCGTAGCATTTATTTATTTGTACTACAATACGTTTTTAATATTTATTAAAATAATTGTGTTGTGTTAATTTCATGTTTTACCGTGGATTTTCAAGATAAGTGGGATACAGTTATTACAGAGTTATTGCAATTGATATTATTAAAAGTACTGTTTTCAGAAATGTTACTTTGCTAAGACATGTATTCATGACGCTAAAGAAAAATGCGGCGAAGATGAAAAAGGAAACGTGAGACGATTTTTAGATTCATGTGATATTAAAGAATATAACTGCTTGCATGGAACAGGTATTAAATACAATTTAATCATAATGATTGCAATACTTACCATGATAAAATATTGTAGATGATTCCACCTAAATCAACTAAAAAACGTGTAAATTGTAAAATAAATTCAATTACTTTTAGATTACAAGAAAACGTCTCTTGAAAATTGCCATTCACTTCCCTCCATCCAAGACATTCAAGTACAAACGACACTTTCTTCAACAAATAAGGAGAAGTTTAAAGAGACATCGGAAGAAAAGAGTTCCACACAAGCTCAATTACAACATGAAGTATCAGACAAGGAAAGCGTATCTCAACATCAAAGCTCTAGAGAAACAACAGAGGATGAGCAAACACCAAAAGATCAAATTGATCCCGACGTAGGGTCTAACGCAAAAGAATCTATTGAACAACAAGAAGAAAATGACTCAAACCTCAAAGGATCTAAAGAAGAGGAAGAGAAAAATTATGTAACCAATGCAAATGAAACTGAAGTAAATGCTGAAGCAACAGACGAAAGCAGTAATGATAATACAAAACAAATTTAAAAAAATATGCTTTTTACTTATAATATCCAAATATCTATGAGTACATATAGACTTAAGAGGTATATTTAAGAAAGGATGATGTTTTATTGGGCATATCGCTTTTGCAACATATAATTGATTGCTATTCATTACTAGTAGAGCTAGATAATGTCATGCAAAGGATATTTTTAGGTATTAAAGAATAAACTAAATAAAAACAATTTACACAAAACTCTTAAACAAAATACCTATTTATATATTACAATTGAGAATGAAATTAGAAGCTCATAAAAAATCTAAAAAGTACAGTTAGCCAAAGCTAATTATTATAATTAAAGCGTGCCAAATAAGACGAAAACGTTATATATGTTAAACGTTACCTTTACAAGTTCTAAAACTATGAAATATTAATTAAAAATAGTTTTTAATTGCGATTATGATATCAAAACCAAATTATACAGAGACCACCCCCAACACAAGACCCAGGTTTGGCAAAAGTAATCAATGAGTACTGGTGCTGGCGAGCAAGGTACTGTGAGAATGAGGGAGAGACAGTTTGCGCTAGAGAAATACGTCTCAACCTCTGGAGAAAATTCGAGAACGCCTGTAATATGTACAAAGCCAACTGTCGGCACGGATACGGTGGGTATTAGATATATTCAAAATAGATATAACTCACAATACTACTTACTATAGGGCTATTATTGAAATATATTTACCGATACATAATAAAAACGTGTTGATTATGTTTGACTAAGAGTGTGGCACTACCCTACGCCTCTCAGATGCTGGTACGTTTGTTTCAAACCAAGATAATTTCATATGTTTTTATATTTGTTCTCGTATGAACAATGGAAATACTACCTTAACTTATTTGCAATGTTATAATGATTATTGAGAGTACCACATAAAGAACAAGAAGAACAAGAACATAACATTTCATATTCTTTTCCAGGTTATAAAGCCACGGATAATAAGAAATGTTAGGTTATTAAATCGCCCATTAATACTGAAGTTTCAATTACTGAAAGCTTGTTATCTCACGGACTATTAATTAAAAATAATGCTTACTGTGTATACCGTAAAATATAAAGCAATGTAACAGAGAATTTTGACTTTTAATTCGTAAACATGCGTCGTTTAAATGTTGTTGCACACGGTAGGTTATACTATTAATTAAAGACCTTTCAAAATCCCGTCACTACGCAATGGAGTAGGAGGCAGTAGCAATTCTGCATCTGTTTTAGTAGACAAGGTCAAGACAAACAACATATTGTTAATTGTCCAGGAATCCAATTCGTCCTTAATTACATTAAGTGACATGGGCAGAAACTAATAATACTATTTTTATTTAATATGTTTTCAGTGTTTTTGTTAAGTTTAATACGCGCTGAAGATATATATAGAGTAAGTAATAAATAATAATACTAAAATAATCGCCTGGCTACTGACGTGAAATATTTTTTTGAAATAAATATTACTTCGCATAGACTAGGCATCAGCTAGTTCTATTGGTAAAACAAAGAGTAGGTAGCAATTTACTTCATTGTGTTTTGCATCTACTGTGAGCCTTGAGTCTTCTCTGAGCAAAAACCTTAAGAAAAATAAGAAAAAAATAGTGCGTGGAGTCACTCTCGCTCTGTCTTTTTCTATTCCCCTGGAGCGTTAAACGTTTAACGCAACCTTGTTTGAAGTCGCATTAGAAGTTTCACTTCAAAAAGGCACGCACGTCCCCATTTATTTTATAATTTCCTGTAGTTTTTGTGTAGTGGTCATGGGGTGTATCAGATTTATGTAGACATACTATATCTCCATCACTTTATTGTTTATGGTTGAGGTGTCAATGGTAGCTTGATTTTGGAGAATGGTGATGTCTTTAGAATTGTTGATTGTATTCAGTAATAATAATATTTATTTTTTTAGAGTTATATTGTTATTATATTGATTAGGCAATTGCTTTTACAGAATTTTATTAATTTTAATCAGAGGGGACATTGAAAGGAAAATAACTTATATAACATGTTGTTTTTGGTTTATCCGTGTTCTACACATTTATGTAACATGAATTTATTAGATTATTCACATGACTCAACGCTTAAAGTGGTTGCTGCAGTCTTGGTTAGCGAGTCTCACATAATGCAAAACTCTAATCTCGTTAATAATATAATAAACTCGGGTTTATTTCCACTAAATACATTTTATATAAATGACAGAACTTATCTAACGTGACATTTTTTAGGAGATAGATCCGCTAGCGTTACAACGATTCGCAGAGTTTAATTGCTTCAAGTTAAAAACTTGCACTCGGGGAGGTACACCTGTTTGCGGTTTTGACGACACCCGTAGAGTATTAGCTCAGTTTGAAGACATGTGCACACTCTATCAGGTTAACTGCGAAGGAAAAGGCGGTAATTATATATATATTATAATCAGCGGTAACATCTCGTTGCAGACAATAGTTAGTACAAACAAAAATATATAAATAATAACGAGAGCAACATGCGGTATTATCGTTTTCGAGCATTCTCTTCTAAGAAAACTTTTAAGAAAAAATCAAATTAAAAAAGGTGAGCGCAAAAAGTGCAAAAACTACATAAAATATATACTATAACGAAAACAAAACAGTATGATAGTGAAAAGTAGTGCTTGGTACAGTAGAAATTTAAAGGAAAATAGAGAAGGAGCTAAAAGAATTCCATAGCCTACTGAGTTTTAAAGGCTTCACTATTTATTTAGGAATAGTATAAAAACAAACATAAAATTTAGAGTCGAGACTTAGAGCGGGACTTTCGTACTATTGCTTTAACGTCTGAGAGTCTTTACTACCTACAGTAGAAGTTCTGTAACATACTTTTTAGCATAGAGTATATCAAAGTGGGACTTATCTACCGAAAAAGGAGGGATATAATAACCAATTGTAGGTATTATTATATGCTAATGTTTGCTTATTCCTTTCTCTATAGTAAACATAGTGAAAAACTATTCTAATCAACGCAAAAGCGCAAGAATTTTTAATAAGTTTTTATTTGTATTGAAATCACTCCAAGCTGTTGAGTGTATAAAAACCGCTAAATTATAATTGACTATCCCATGATCTAATATATTATTGTTTTTCAGTATTTATGTACGTGGAAGAAAATATTTGCGAAGGACAGAAACGATTTGAACTTGAATACAAGCCATTTGACGAAAATTCTAAGTATTTTATTGGTTAACATTACTTAATTTATTTATAATACTAATATTGTTATTATTATATAATATATGAAATAAATATGATTTAGAATTAAGCTAGATGATTTTAGTCACAGCGCCATCTCTGCCAAGATCTAAGAACTTTCTTAACGAACACACGCATTAAAACGTATTCGTGTTTTCACTCTGTCCGTGACGATGTTCGTGTTTGTGCATCTTGTAGTATGTGTAATAGAGAGCGCTTTAGTTAAACTTACTAATAGCTTATTGTATCATTCTCGGTAGGAATTTCGAATTCGTAGTATTTGAATTTTTCATAAATGCGATATTTTATTTATCTGAAAATTGCTTTGGAAACGAATTAAACACGAACTCGTAACCTTCTTAATTTTACTCTTCTTCTATGTCAAATTCAACTTTAAGTGCAAAATTAAATACGGTAATTTTGTATTTTCATAAGCTTCGAAAGTTATGAAAGCTTAACCAATAAAGTACCTTCTTTATATTTTGCTTCGTTATTTCAACGGATACAATTTTCAAATTCTAGTAAAAACTAAAAGATTCCTAATTTAGAATTGTGCACGTGCTGAGTGAAAATTATGGCGAAATTCGCAAACGATACCATTTACAGAGTAAATGGTGGTACAGATTAGATTAAACCACCTGTTCCCACGATCTCGTGACAATGGAGTCTTATTTACGTTTCACACTATATACGTATGTATATTACTATACACTGTACTACGAGTGAGCGAATGACTTTTTAAACTGCGATTTTATTATTCTTATCAATACTGTAGTCCAACACAGATGGCAGGTTTACTATGTATGCAGGCTGACAGAACATTACAGATCATGCGCATCCATGTATAGTGCACGTATCTCATGTACGTTGATTAAAACAATTTCATATAACAACCGGTAACCTTCGTTCTTTTTGTATAGTTTTAATAAGACGCACTTATACAAAAACTTATTTTCATTATAATTTATATAATAATAATAAAACTTTATTCATAGACAAAAGTGATCTAAGTCCCAACACTAGGGAGCCTCTGCGTTGTGGGTAACTAGATGACAAAAATTCCGTGACATTTTTTAATAAGAAATAGTTGTCAGTGTTATTGTAATTATATATATTGTTAGTGTAGTAAAATATAAATAAATAGATGTGTGTAGTTTTTAAAGATAATTCTTAACATTTCTAAAGTTCATTTTTAACTTTAAAAAATCCTGAAGCAGGGTAAGTGTCAAACCACACTTTGACGCCTGTTTGATATTTTTATACAATGATAAGATTTATATTATACTATAATGTTATACAGATTATTTTATATTTCTGTATACATAAAACGAATAAACTTAAATACTGGACCGATTTCAAAAATCTTTAACCATTTTAGTTAGGCCGTTAGTTCAAATTCGATTCGACATAATATTTATTTAAGAATCCGATTATATATGCTATATAGGAGTTTATTTTATGTCGACTTAATTATAAAGAACAAAGGCATGCCGCCGAGCACCGATTCATTTCCTATTTGTTTAATAATCCCGACGTACTATAGAGATAATCATTTTAAGAAATGCCGAAACAGTTATGCTTTTGTCGGTATTGATGTCGCAGGTGTTCGATTTATTTTAGAATAATATCTAAAGCATTCAAATATACAGTGTAGCAATTTGTATTATATAACCTCATTCCTTACAACCAACTGAGTTGATATTTATTAGAATATTTGGATGTGTGTTTATGACACACACATAGCAACATAGTGTCGCTTCGAAAAAAAATGTTTTGTGTTAAAAAAAATGTAAATATTAAATCCAGAATTAGTTACTTGATCACTAGACTTCAGAGTGCGCCTCTCAACCCTGCCGACATGCGTTCAGCTGTGCAACAATGCACTTTTCTTTCTCTTTGCGCATTTAATACTTGTACCCTGAAGGAATATATCGAGATGAAAACGGCATGCCTAAGACCCAAAACTGGACAGTGTGTGTCAGGCACAGAAGGCTGATCACCAACTTGTCTATTAATAGAACCAGTATCAAGAGACATAGAATGTGAGGGCACGGTCAAGGCTTTTAGCGCTGCTAGAAGTTAAACAAACAGAACGGAACCGTTGAGCAAAGGAAATATATTATTTCACTATTACCCGCGCTAAAAGAGCTCAAATAGAATCAATACTCCATATGCCATACGAGACTGGTAGAATACGCAAGGGACTCTGCGAGCCTCTCATATTCGGTCATGTTAAAACTACCCAAGGTTGTTAAAAAGAGGATCACTCGGCTCTGAGTTGCAAAGTGCCCCAAAATAAATATTTCGTCTACTTTACTCCACGATTTCCATTTTTAAAGAATGACTACAGATTTGTTTGAATTTTCTTATTTTATTTATTTACACTTCGTTACCATAATATACAAAATCATACATATATAAAAAACAAAAAAAGCAGGTTACACAAGTTATTAGGCAACTTATATCGCTAACAAGCAATTTCTTCCAGGCAACCCTAATCTGAAACAATAAAAAAAGAAACACCTTATTTGAATTTTACAATTAAATTTATTCGTTAAAATCGATTTATTCAAAATCATATTTAAACCGTGTTATTTTAATGTCAATTTAAATTCAACCGCCTCTCCTGGCACGTGTTTGAAAAGCGTGCGCATATAACAATTAGAAAGGGTAAAAACAAAGAATAATTTAATAAAACTTGTTATTAATTCTGGGTGAAGTCGGTTGTCGTGTATGTCCAGTAAACACGTGGCAAATGACATGAAAATCGTGAGTTTATGAAGAAAGTCGGAGAATATATCGATATTGATGTTATAGGTTGTTGAACTTTTTTCTTGGAATGCAATTATTATGCAAAATCCGGTGCTTAGATATGTATTATATTATCCCTTAATAGCTTATGAACAATTATTGACTGATTTTTTTAAATAGGCACTATGTAACTAAGAGAGCGATTGAGACCGATTGAGAGAGAGTGAAAAGGGTGAATTACCTTATAGAAATTCTATTTTTAAAATTAAAATTACGTAAAGAGACTTAATGAAATATTAGTATTTTATATTTTATGCAAAATAATTTATTGAAATCTCCAATGACGAATTGTAAATTAAAATTCCATGTGTTTTTATTATTGAAGAAATAAATTAAAATAATTAAATTTATTATTTAAATTAATTTTCGACACTTTTAATATTTTAATGACAATTAAATTCATTAATTTCCTAACATATCTTCCTTTTTCCTCTCTCTAAGTCTCCTAATCTAAAGATTAAAAATAAAATTAAATAAATCTTTTAGATTTATATAAATATGAACAAGAGATAAAAATTAGTTTGCCAAAGAAGTTTCAATTCTGAGATATTGTGTACTTTGTACGCATGCACTTTTTTTAAATATGTGGATTGTATTTTGAATTGAAAATATTAACCCAATTTTTTAGCATTTATAAAAACATTCTATATAATAATATACATTAATTACCCTGTTATTTAATTAATAACGTGTTATCGATAATCGTCTAAATTGTAACCTCACTAGTGAGCTCGTGCTACGATTGTTTTCAATATGGTTTTGATTAACACGATTTAAAGAGTCGGAGTACTTTGTTTGTATGCAAATTGATTTCAGAGGCGTATACGTTTAGACTACTGAAACCATTTTCATGAATATAGTAACGAATGAGTGATATAGGTAACCGGTTTGAACAGGTTTGAACTGGCAAATGTTTTACAGTGAGGCCCATATGAATAGATGTTTGTTGGTTTCTCGGTTGGTTTGGGTCTCTTTACATGGTGTTGTTGCTGCTTCTTACAAACATTTTGTAGAATAATAAAATCGGCCATTTAAAAGAGTCACTAAAACTTTCTTCCAGTTCTTCTCTTCATAGTGAAAATGTAAATTTCGAAGCATTACATTTTTTTATTGATGATTATAAATGTTAGCTATACAGATAAATTATTTTTACTTAAAAAATGTCAATCATGACTTTCAACGCTTAAAATTACTATAATATTCTTTATACCTACCAGGATTAGACGTTCTATGCATATTTAAAAACTATTATTTTTAAGGCCCAAAAGTTATGTCATATTCGTGGTCTCACATCACATCATATTATCGAATGTAAACTAACCTTTGTTGTACAACATACAAATGGCCGATGGAAACAAAAATCAACAGAGACAATATCATCGCGCATGCGCTCGAACAGTCGCTATCACAGAAAAGTAAATTATTATTTAACATCCCATAGAGATGGCGCTACCTTCCACGTGCTTCAGTTTTCGTTCTACCGGCAAAAAATAATTAAATTAACCTCAATTTTGACTAATAAAAACAATAAGGATACACTATTACTACTACGTACTGCTGCTTTAACGTTATAATATAAATAATGTTATATTGTAAGAAACCCAATATGAAAATTGAACAAAGATGAATCATATATTATCATTATTTAAAACGGAATTAGAATTCTTTGTATCAAAAAATATTCTGCTCATGATTCAATAATAGATAATTAATTGATAAATTCCACATAATTACGTATTATATTTAAATTAATTAGTTATTATATTCAAATGTATCGCGTGCGTACAAAGAAATGGAAATAATAATTTCCTTAAAGGAAATGAATTAATTTTGCACGATGGCCTTTGTCATAGGTACGTATTTTAAATATACTGGTACCAGCTAATTAAAAAGTAATTTAGATTTAGGATCTGAAATGGTCATATTCAACTCTTGTTCGTAATTATTTAATATAAAACATTGGTGTCAGATAAAACTTTAATCACAATAGGTTTAATAAACTACATACTTCGATTTTAGTAATTTAATTAAGATGTTTTTTTAATAGCCATGTGCCATTATTAACATAATATATCCTAATTTATTTAGGAAAGGTATAGTATTTAGTGATATAATACTATTATATTACTAACTACTACCCCTCGGATTCGGTAATCTTTTTTACGCAAATTCTTTTGTTTTTAGCAAAAAAAAAACATAAATACTCGTATATTAATCAGGTTAGGTACAAATTATATAGATACGTAAAAGCAATGTCAACTTTCATTCACTTGATGGTTGCGATCCCAAGTCATATCAAAAGTTAATCTAGCCGCGTTCTTATTTTCCTTTTTACAAGGAATCCAGGATGTATTTGCATGAATATTTATCATATATTGTCGGGTTTGTCGTAAAACGCATTTAAATGCATTTTTATCTGACACTTAGGTTATCTAAAACTTTGCACACGACAGAGTATTTTAGTGCGAGTATTTATTTTGTTGTTTATGGGCATTTAAATTTATTGCTTTGGCTATTATCTGTTTGTTATCTGTAGTTTTATTAAAAGTAAAGTAAAAAAGTAATTTTATATCTATAGGTAGAATTACTCTGTTTCAAAGATGCTTGTCATGTTAGCAGTGACCCTTTTTTTCAAGGTCATGTTTACTCTGATTCTAGGATCACGGTTTTAAAGAAGAAGTTGTATAATAATAATCACCCTAGTTTTTAGGGTATAGGACCAATATCTTTCAATATATATGATATATATATAAGCAAAAGATTCCTTATTTTCTGTCACGCCAGTAACTGTATACTCTTATAGTGTTATGATGTCAAGAATACATTCTTTCTACAGGTTAGCTTGCAAGCCTCTGAAGTAAAGATGCACCCCACTTTTTATTGGAACTACAATTTTTATTGAGAGGTTGGGAAGTTCACCGATACCTGACCCGGCGATCTTTGTACCGCATGACAGTCGTTGAATAAGTGAGCCCTTTAAGCTAAACTTCAAATTTAGAACTTACTGCTTTGATCACCTTTTCCGTACGAACACTCCGTGGACGGCAGATCTTTTCCTGTCACAAACAGAGGAGGTTTTATTGTACCTATTAATAGCCCGATACACAAATATTTTACTAATACCAAGCGTATGGAGAGTTTTAAAAATTGGCTACATACCTACTTTGTGTAATGCAATAACAGCGATTCGGTTCTCTTCATCACCGCACTCCATTTTAATATCGCAAAATATTTTACAATGAATTGGCGCCAAAATGAGAAAACCCAATCATATAAAAATTACAGATTCCAAATTCAAATGTAATATTTTATTTATTTTTAATTGTAACAGTATTTATGGCCAGACTAAGTATAGACTAAAAGTTTATCAAAGTGAATATACCAGTTTGAACCTGGAAGCAAAACAAACTTTCGCATTTAGTTAGGGTTATCCTATATATAATTAAAATTAGCACGCCTGGCCACGTATGCAGTGTTTACAACCCAGTTAAATAAATTAATCGTTCAGTTTTCCCACGAGCACGCTCCAAGTATAATTTATTAATTTGTTTTCTACTAACGATCCTGCTAATGCTTAAAGCTTTGCCTCTAAACAAATTGGATGGGTTATGCGAGAGGGAATCATCGATTGATACCAAGGTAAGGCAAAGGAGGAATAAATCGCTGTAAGGTAAGAAAGGTAAATAAATATTTATGTTTAATTTAGTGATATTTTGTAACATATCCAACTTAAAACTAGTCCTTATTACACAACAATACATTAAAACCTTTTAAATTAATTTATATGACTTGAAAATATTTTAGTTTGAAGAACGGAAAAGATGTTATTTTAGTAGTAAAGTTCTCATTTACCTTTATTAATTTTACTGTAATATGACTTAATAACTAAAATATTTCAATAAAACTTTTAGTTAGTCGCTAAAGCCTAAACACGTATAATAGACTTTTTATAATCGTATTAAAACTATATTTAATTATAATACTTGGTAATAAAAAGCCACGCAGTTGGAATTCCGCGAATGTGAGATTAGTGCTTGATTGCGTAATTGTATTGTTTTATCCAAATCGATTAGTTTTTGAACGTCACATCAGAAGGTAGTCCACATAATCCAGGGTTGCATATGGATCACGTAGTATTGTAGACATCAATAATTCATCATACTCGCAGTCATACAGACAGGCTTGCAATAACAATGCATCACTGTTTAGTAGGAGCTTTTGTGGTGCAAGGCACAAGAGTGTAAATTTTAACGTAAAAATCAGAAATTTTAGGTTTTAGATTATATTATGACAAGGATTCAGCAGTTCAATTCAATCATAATGCATTTTTGTGTTACGTTCGTGACATACGTATATCTCTGAGAAATATTAATCTTTGACTGAACATGGCGAGCTGTAATGGCAAAAATTATACAGTGAAAAAGTGTCTACTAATCGGTTGTCTATCGGCTAGTTTCCCTCCGTTTTTAGAAAATTTACCACAGATTAAAATAACATTTTAAAATTGGAACTCGCTTTGATACTTGGACTACGCGTAGCGGGGTAAGCTTTGTTCATTTGACTTTTGTAGCGCCACCATTATAAAGTGACCCATAGATACCTACGTCTAGTATAACTTAAAACAACCTTGGCGGTATTCTAAGAATGGTCCTTGACTATTTACATCCTATTAAAGAGTTTGATATCGGATTGCTAATGTAAATTATCGTATTTAAACTAATTCGTGTTACTTATGTAATTGCATAAGGGATAGTGTACTTAATACTAATTATAACAGGGATTTGTAAATAATGAAAATGTATGTGGGAAAAGGTAAGCGGAAACTGTTCAGCATGTATTTGCAATTTTGACGTATGGTATGTTGAATTTGTTTCCCGTACAATGTGAAACAGTGAATCAACTCATTTTGCCTGAATCACAATTGTACATTACTGTCGAGTGGAAAAGTGAGAGCCTGCTCTATACATTTTAGGTTGGCAATGATTTTACAATTGTTATTCTCTGGAAAATGGCCACAGACTGATTATTGTAATTTATATTTAGAATTTAAAACACCGTTTTATCAGTTAGGGCTCGTGCCGTGCCATTACTCTAATAGATCCTAGGGCTAATGTATTATTAAACTAGAATTCGTAAAACTTATGTTCGTTTGAATCTGGAAAAATATATTTCCATTTATAATATGTACGTATACGACGATATTTTCACGACGAGGTTTTCAAATGATTTGCTTATCTTTTGATATTGTTGACTGATACGGAAAAATAAGGTGGAAATTGTAACCCCTTTTAATAAGAAATTTGTATTAAATAAAAAAAATTATAATATTAAAAATATTTATTGCTCATAACTTAAAATATTTAAATGCAATATTTACATATAAACTATAATAATTTACAAATTGGACGGTACAACACATTATAAACTATTACTTTGGAATCAACTATAATTTGGACGGAATCAATTACAATTGACAATTAGCTACTTCAAAAACTTATAACTATACTGACAAATACTTTAACAATACTGAAAATATTAAAATAAATATATAACTTATTCTTTGTAACCTAATATACCCCTCTTGCTTGACCCTTATATTTTGACTTATTAAGTCACAAACGCAATACTACACATGTATTATCAACAAACACAATTAAACATACCAGTCATCGAAGAAAAGATTTGATATCAAAAACACACTAGTAATGAAACAATGAAAAAATTATTAATTGTATGAAAATTACAGTCCTTTATAGATAGATACTCTCTTAGTGTACTCGCAGTGGATCTAGCTGACTGTATAACTACAACTTCAATTTGTTTTGTATAAAGATGTCCAACAATGATTTAAGTTAATGTATGAAATGAAAGATTAAACTATAAGTAGTTAATATAAATTGTTCTAACGTCAAATGGGGCTAAAACTTACAAGACTCATAGTTAATACGACTGGTATTTATATAAAGAAACCGGGCAATTGAATATCTAATAAAAATCTAACAACACAATTTGGTTTATATCTGGCCCGGTTTGTTGATAGTACTTTGTATTTAAAATTTCATGACAGATCAACGGAATTGGTAATTCAAACATAAAATAGACTTAATTAAGTAACCATAGCTCTTTCTGTGGGCATTGGAAGTATATTATACGAGAACCTTTGTGTATAGTCTGTCATTTTCAGGTTATCTGACCATGGAGGACTTGGGTTCCACCGCTCCATGCCATCTGCGGGTTCCATCGAAACCCCAAGGTTTGTAAGACGCATTCTCTTTGGTGAGGGATATTCCGTACCTGAAATAGAAAAAAAGATGTTATTATAGGCAGATATTGTTTGTAAGATAATATTTTAACACGTATGAAAAATCGTATTTCTATAGTAGAACAGAAGCTGATCGAAGAGGCTATTTCATAGCGCGATTATATATATTACTAACCATCCATACAAATACTGGTACAGGGTTCCTGTGGGTAAGTTACAGTGGAGAACTGTTCATATTCTCTTTTCCCTGCATAGGTATACGGGTACATAGTCATTGCTTCAGGCGACATCTCGTAGTGATTCGGTGACCTAAAACAATATCACACGTCAAATTTTAATTACTAAAATATTATTTAGCCGGTTGTAAATGTAATTTAGGCATGTTTTGAAACTGTTCAATAAACAAATCTTATAGTTTACTAGTTAATAATATGAATATTCGGTCTTTGTGGTAGAAGGTAAAGATTAATATGTATTTTTAATGCCAATTAATATATGATTTTTTTGTGGTATGTGTGTGTGGAGTAGGTTACAAACACGATTTATAAATAGAATTTCATTACCATAAATGCAATTAAAAGAGAAACTTAATTTCGTAAACGAATAACAATTACTTAATTTGTAACGAGTAATGTGTAATTGGTATACCAAACGCAATCATTTATAAATTGTAAAACAATTTTTATTTGTACGAAAGCGTGAATGAGATTTATGACGTGCGGAGGGTTAAGCCAATAAATATGGTAATAAAGGTGTCAAAGTATGAAGTGCGACGGACGTACGGACACATGAATGTACTTTTAAGAGTAAGTAATATTCTAGTAATATCTGCTTATTATTTTTTTTATAAGAGACAAACGCTTACAAACTGATGTTACGTAATACCGCGCCCATGGACAATCACATCGGCTGAAGGCGTGCGAGTGCTTTGCCGGTTTTTTAAGAGCCTTCTTTTCCAGTAATGAACGTGTTTTTTCCTTAATACTTTATTTCAAAAAGTTTTTTTACAATTCTGTATCTATTGCTTATATTTTCTACCGGTAAGTAAAAGAGATTTTAGTAACTTATAAAGTTAGTAATATATGAATGCATCAAATACCATGGCCTTGCGTTTAAAACTATAAAAAGAATATGATTAATTGACCTAAATGGGCTTTTAACAGAACTTAAAAGGCTTAGCTCATACTCAGGTCTTACCTTTCTTCACTTATAGTTGATTGTGGTGAATGCGTAGAGTAATCCACGGGTCCTCTATCAGTAAACATCCGTTCGCACACATACTCTTCTGGTTTATGAACATATGGCATATAACCATATTCCAATTCCGTGTTTTCCACATATTGGTATTCTTGATAAGGTTCTTGGAATTGTTCCTGTCGGAAGAATTTTTGACAACGTGGGTCCAGCCCACACGGTTGGTGCTGGTAGCCGTAGTATTGGTATATCCAGGAGTTCGCGACCATTATTGCGGCTTCTTCTTCGCTGTAGAAGTAAAATTATTATAACGTGATAATGTATTTTCTAATATTATTATGTAATTCTAATATTCCTTATGTGTTAATCATGTGTTCAATTTTGTTTTAATGTTTTTTATTCCTGATAGGTCCAAATACACTTTCATTTGTTGAATTTGATCATTGTAGGATATTAGCTGGGCCCTCGTTTTCAGATGCGTTAATTCGGTCGTAACGCGACGTAATAGTTTTGCCTATAGATTTTCGTTGTATCGTATATTTTTGATATCTATCCTAAATTATTTCTTTTTTACCAAAAAAACTAAGGGAAGCTCTCAAAAAGAAATACATTTGACGAACAAGATTGTAATGTAGGCTATATATAGAGTTTATACATTACAAATAATAAATCAAGTCTTTACTTGTAAGTGTAGGTAACAATAGATAAATCAAAATCATAGTATAGTTTATAATATGATTGTCTACATCACTTAAATAACAGCATTACTCATAAAAACAAAACAAAATTTACATCGTTTATGCTTAGGTTTCACTTAACTACTGTGTTTTCTTAATAAAACAGACCTTTAGTTAAAATAGTGTAATTAGACAGATGTTATAAATAAGTGGAAAGGATGTATATTAAAAGACACAAGAAGTATATAGATATAATTATATAACATATATTTACATACAGTATAAGTTATATTACCTTAAAACTTGATTAGTAGCAACGATGAATTGTCTAGGTGCGTCCGTGGCTTCCTTGACTTGTAAAACCATATGTATCCATAGGAACTCGCCTGATCTCTGTTGCAGCCTCACTAGTAATATACAACATTTGTCTTGTTCCGATTGTGTAACTGCAACACATTTTATTATTTTATTATTGAGTGGAATTAAAAATGCTATGCAGATTTTTATTTATAATTCCCACAATATCGATAATTTTTTTATTTTCTAAATGAGGTCGAACAGTTAAAGGTTTAGGTGGTGGCTCGTTCACAGTATGTTTTGAGTTCGTTACTACTTAAGGCTTCTGTGAAGTTAGGAAATTTCGCACGAAACGCGTAAACAATACCGTCTTCACCATAAGGGCACACGGGGTCCGTGCCCAGGGCCCCCGTTCTCAGGGGGCCCCGAAGGACCAACAATTTGTCTCCCACATTTATTTTCAAAACATTTTTGTCGGGCACATTACACTTTTTTCACAAATCAGTAATCTTATCAAGGTATTTACAAGGCATATACTACGCCATTATATCGATTACTGCGCCTATTCCTACTGTACTAAGAATAAGGATTCATATTGTATTTGATGACCTATAAATGGTTAGACTTAGTAATTTTTTTTTATAATTAGCATTTTTTTACTTTCCAAAAGGGCCCCAAATTCTTGTGTGCCCAATGGCCCCAACCTAGTTTAAGACGGCCCTGCGCGTAAACAGTAGAACACATGTTCAACACACAAAACTAATACATTTAAAGAACTCGATACATTAATTGTAAAGAAACTTACTTAATTTATGTTTGGCTTGAGCTTCTCGTAAACTATCCCAATGTAGTATTTGGTACCACGATACATCTATTAGTTCCGATTTATTCCATCCTAAGTACCACTCGCCACTGAAAGAAAATACTCATTTAATAAAACATATAAAAATGTATCTATGTACTCATATTAACTTTCACCACTTACTATCATAGAAGGAACACAAGTTACTATTTTATATATTTTTTTTTGGGACATAAATAGCTAATTATCATATATAACACAATATATTAAAATTGTTATAATAATTTGACACGACACGACACAATTTATGACCGTATTTTTGGTAGGCATAGCTTACTTGGTATCGATATGCAGTATCTTCATGTCCATGGCGTGCACAGTGGTGAAGACGTTGGTGGCGCCGTGGACTACGCACTCGCGCGTCTCCGGCATGGCCAGAGGCGTGCACGACGCTAGGAACACGGGCTCGTTGCGACTGCATAGTGGTAGGTAAGACACGTAGTGGCCGCGAACTAGAACTACCTAAAATTTATTTTTATTAAAATATATTTGTATACGACGAAAGAAATCCGGCCTATGAATATACTCACTAAGCACAATAAGAGTTATTAGCCTCTTGAAGTTGAGCTGTTGTCGATAATATGTGAAGTAGTTAATTGTAAATGTTAATTTACACTTTGAAATGTTTCATTTAGGAGAAGTTAAATAAAGTTACAAAAAATAGTCGATGGAAAAAAATAAAAATAAGTTTTTTTTGAAACACATTATTTATGCTCATAACTTTGACTACTCACTTTTTGGTCACCAAATCTCATTTGTCTCCTAGCGTTTCTCGATACATTCATTCTACAGAAGAAATGTCTATTCTTTGGTACATTTTCAGTCTCTCCGTTACTTCCTCTATTCAGCTCTAATTGAACCATCTGATGGTCTTGTCTATCTATTATATCATATACGCTATCTCCATGTATTAGTAAGTCTTCCTAAAAGAAAATAAAAATCTTTTAGCAGTTGCTAATCAGAATCAGGAATTGTTGAACGCTCAAATAATCACGAGCCCTCTTAACCCAGGTTTTTTAACGTTGTCATTGTTTTGTATCATTAGTTGGTATTAAGATAAATCATATTCTTACTAATCAATCAATACACTGTATCAGTTTAATACACTATTTAACTAAAGCGCTTATTAGTTTTGAACAAATGTTTATGTTGTTATCAAAAGAAACATTTAAGAGAATAAGAGGGTAAAAACAAAAAACTACAAATAACAAACCATAGAATGTCCTAAGTATTCAGCTGCATTTTCCGATATGTACAACAATTTTCCGTTCTGTGTCATCATCATCATAAAACCGTTCATTGCCTGAAAGACATTGTAAGTATTAGTATTTTTCACGGACATTAGTAAACATGAAGCTAGGGATGACTTCCAATGCATCGTTGATATTAAAATTACTTATCATTTATTTCCAAGTTAATTGGATATTTTATTTTATGAATGTATATTCCTAAATTAGAGTTTGGGGCGCAAGCAATACGAGCCTTAGTTTCACACTTCATCTTAGAATAAGTAAACTTACCTGATTTTAAAAATAAATTACAAACTTAATTACATTTTAAATTTAAAAAGATACTTTCATAATAGTGTATGTTAGAATTTCAATAACATATATACTTATGAGTTACAATTATGAATTTCATCGTCATTCTATGTTAACTCCGATGGGCATATAACATACTCAATTGTGCACCCATTTATTGATTTGCTTTAAATCCAAGCAATTAAGACTATACTGTTAAACGTGAATATTGATAATATAAAATTACTAGTGGACCCCACAGACGTTGTCCTGCATGATATTTAAAGCGATTAGGATATTAAGCAAAGTATGAAAGTACCGACTGCAGTGCCATCTGCCGGGCTGATTTGTGAATCTAAACCATTCCCAGATCCCCTTGAACACACACAAAAAATTTCATCAAAATCGTTCCAGTCGTTTGAGAGAAGTTCAGTGACATACACACTCACAGAAGAATTATATATATAAAGATATTAATGCGACAAAACATCTTTGCTTCGCCCCTACTGAAACATACCTTTGAAAATCCAATATTGGGTGTGGGTGTACTTTGTTCTTGATACTGATAGGTAAAGTCGTGACTCTTGAACACTAAAACAGAAAGAAAGACGGAATTATGGGTGAAGTTATAGCAACCAGAGATAAGATAGTGAACTAAATGTTTTTTAAACGTCTTAATATGCCTTTTCGTGACTGAAGGTGAAACAAAAAGTTTTGGAGACGTTTTGAAAACATGAGACAAGATTTAGGATATGAACGTGATGAGTTTCGACAATCATGTGGGGCATGGGAAAATTTGGAAAAATTTATATGAAAGTTGTTACTATCGTAGTAGTATAAACATTCCTACTAACTATATTTTTTTGTACCCGTTTTTTGAGCATTTTTTAAATAAAGATGCTTTCGATTATTTTAGACAATAGTTTACGCGGAGGACTTGCCCTAGTAGTATCGTACAAAATTTTTACGAAACAAACATAGTAATGTGTATGCTTCATGGATGAAATAAATCTGTTTGAAAGGCACAGGTTAGTCCTTATCTGAATCTGTTCGCGTTCATTTGTTTTTTTTAATTATCTTTGTGATCAGCCTTCTGTTTCTGACAGTGGACTTTTTAGGTCTAAAGTACGCCGGTTTCCTCAGGATGTTTATCACCGTACCAGCGAGTGTTAAATGCGCACAAAGACAGAAAATCCATTGTTGCACAGCCGGGGTTCGATCTTACGACCTCAGGTCTGAGATTCGCACGCTAAAGCCATTTGGTTAAAGTAGGTTGATTTACCTTGTTGAAAATAATTCATTTTCCTTACATACACGCAGACCAGAGCCATAAGCTGTAATTGCGACAATCTCTGTCTGGTGGAGGGTGGAAGGGGTAGTAGATCTCGAAGGTTGGATATCTCTGCATTGATGAGATCACGACGCATTTTACTCGCACCCTTTGTGGATTTTGTAGGCTCGAATCTAAAACAAGATCCATACTAAATATTATAATACTTACCACCCACTAACCATTCACAGAACTAGGGCTACTAAAGAGGATCAAATGTAAGACCCTTAAATATATGTTTTAAAGTTTTACGTTGTACACTTTTTATATTAAGTTTTTACATGACTACTCGTACTTCTACATTTTATGTGGTACTAGAAAATTCTAAATTTGAATGTGGATTTAAAAAGTGAATTGTAAACTTTGCGTGTAACTTTGTAAACGCAAAATTACGTGAATAATAAAAAAATAATTTATTGGTTTATATTTAATATTTATTCATTAATTTACCCCTCGTTGAAAGAAATATAGTAAAATTAAAATAATTAAATAAAAAGGAAACTTATGGTCAAAATTAAAGAAACATCTCGGTCCTTGACGCTGTACAATAAAGATCAATCGAAATGTCATTTGTCAAGTTTCGTACTACGTGACTTGAGATACGAAAGGGAATTGAGAATACAGGAATAAAATTAGATACCGACGGAAGTCATGAAAAACTTTAAGAAATTAATGTTTAGGAATCGTTTTAATTCTTAAGGAAATCCCATTGATAAAAAAGATTTATTTGTAAACAATGTGCGGATATTCCGGTCGGACAGGTGTCCGTTTGTCGGCTCGTTCTATAGAAATGTATTAACATACTTGCAAACATTACAACCATTTTAATAACACAGTTTATACAACTTACAGTAGTAAAAGAGGTTTACGTATTCAAGAAAATTAACCGAACACTATTAAATTAACATAATTTCATCGTTTTAGCTACAAAAGCCGTATTTTCAACGAACATCAATAATTGTATACTTTAATACTTGTACCGCATACCTCAGATGCAATCCGATATTCAAAAGACTCTCAGTCATTGCTATCTATACAAAAAATTTTAATAACTCTTCCCTTAGTTTTTCGAAATCGGATGTAACTAACAGTCGAAAACTATCAATTTTAACTAACGCTTAACTTGAACCACTTTCTATATTGTAAACTGTGGCAGGTCGACGGAAACCATGTGTAAATTTATTGCTTTACGCCTATATTATAATATCCATATTGTTATGCAAATTCTTCCGAGAGCTCATTCTGAATGCGTTCAATTTCTTTTCCTATATCATGATATTGAATACAAATTATGAGGTTTATTTCATTGCAAATCAATGTATAATTTAATTAATATTAATAGGTTGTGAGATGAAAGTAATTATATCGTGATTGGAATATTTGATCAAACACTATATTTTTTTACGAACTGGTTGATATTAGCGTATATTAACAAAATACAAACGTCAAAATAATTATTGAATTGTATTTTTTCCTTGTAGTTAAGCTACCACCTAGAATCCCGAATCACATTAGGTTTTTGTTTCTTTAATTTTGTATATATATTTACCTACAGAAGGCTAATCACTAATTGCGTATAAAGAAAAATGATTCATAAAATTACGGCGACGCGATCCTTCATAAAAGCTTTGGTGGTAGAATCTACATAGAATAGTTAATCTTAAATAATGACAAATTTTTAATGATTGAAAACAATATAAATATAACAGTTGTATTTTTAATATTCCGTAGGTACACACAAGTCACTTTAAATAATATCATATACAAATTAGAATACAATAACTCTTCGAAAAAACTTTATAAATTACGGATGTCCCTAACACGAGCCGCTGTTTGATCTCACTTGGGGTTCCTTTTTACAGCTTTAACGATTACCTTTTTTTGATGTGATTGTGGGAAGTGGTAAGCCGTTAAGTTTATTTGATTGTTATTGTAGTGTTTGATGGTTATAGACTGTTAAGTTTAGATTCATTACAAATTAATTAAGGTCTTCTTTTTCTTCTAGGAGTCTTCGCTGGAGTATCTTACCTCTACTAGGAGTTCAAATTCGTCAAATATTTATTTATGCTTTATTACCTTATTCACAAACATACACATAACAAAAATAAAAATAAAAATAAAAATATGTAAATATGTATTTGTTAAAAAGTTTCCAGCGCCTCTAGCGGTGATTTGCCAAACTAAAACCTTTCATAGTAATTTTTGATATATTAACGATTATTAAAGTCAAGATAAAGTTTTGCTAAGGAGTTTTTGGTACTTTAAACACGACACTATATTTTAATATAAATATTACAAAAATAAATTATTTATCTACAGTACAATAACTATAATATACACAGCTACTATTAACAGTCTCGAAGCGAGAAATTCAAAAATATTCAAGTAAAATGTAAATCATTTACCGGCGATCAGTGTTGGGGCAAAAAGCTGGCATTCCTAGCATAGTTGTAACCATGACAACGTGATGCTTTCACGGGCCACATTACACCGTGTAAATTCTTACGATACAGTTTCCCCTTTTTTATTGGGCACGTGTTGAAATTTTATGTAAAAACTGACCTTTCTCAGGAAAGTATTAGGCATTTATCGGAAAGTATTAGGCTTTTAGTATTAAATTTATACTGGTTTTTATCAAAACACTTTTCACAGGTATATAACTATTTATACAAGATGTAAATATGAATCAAGTCAATAAGTATAAACGGAATAAAGTAAACTTAACCAGCTATTGTAATCTACAATTCATAACTTGGTATCATATTGTTTTACGGTGTGAGACTACTTCTCATTTCTCAATCTTGTATCTGCAAGACGTTTTGAATATCTGTTTTAAGTATTAAAGAATTAGTTATTTATGATATTTCATGTTTACTAATATCAGCATCGCTTTTACCGGCGGCGGGACGAATGACCCTATCAACTGTTAAACTGTTGAAATAACCAGTGACAGAGGTTATTTCATAAGTGTTTTGTCACGGAGGCCTAATGTTATTGAACGACTTAATGCTCATTTAATTTCTCGTGTAGGTAAATATGAATAGAAATTGTATGAAATATTTATACAGTATTAAAAATAAATAAAAAACATTTTATATTTCTAAATTATGTTAAATGTTTTGTTGTTGTTTTTCATCTGCTTCTGACTTGGAAAAAATTGAAGTTTTGGATTATTTTGAAAGTGCTAATGGATACTAATGTATAAGCGACCTTTGTATTTCATACTATAAAATATGTGTGGTTGGCTAAAATGTGAATAACGTCAATAACAAGTTAAATCTGCGATTGCTAAAGATAATTTTACAATGGAAAATGCCGTCGGGATCCCTATGTGTTTTGGTACTATGACGAGTTAATAGAGAAAATAGTAAACGATTGTACGGTCCGTTCCATTGTGTTTTGTCAGCAGAATCGTTGACAGTCGCGTTGACGCGCAACAAAAATTAGAAAAATTAAACACTACATTGAAGGATATCAAAATCACTTTAGCCTGTCTGTTGACATTAAAATTTCCAGTTTACAATTTAAATATTCTTTGAAAAGTATATTAAAATATACTATGAGTGTTAATTTACTGCGTAGTTATATAGGTACAGTAAACATGACGTCACAAAACTAAACTTCAACTGATAATGGAAATAAGTGACAATTTAGCATACATGTAGCAATTTTATGTACGGTACATTATGTAACTTTCAACCTTGTACGAAAATATCTACGAACTAATTTTTCAACAAATAATTTTACATAAGAGTTTCCGCCCACGGTTTTACCTAATAGAATTCACGTTGATCAAAATCAATTTAAAAACTACTTAATAAAGGCTTAATTTAGAAAACTAAATCTCTCTATTCCACTGTTTTTATGTGATGAAAAATTATAATATTAGCACTTTAGTTATGGCTGATTTAGATTCAATAACTTTGGATTAACACTATTTAAATGGCAATAATAATTAATCGCAAATATTATAAGTATGTAATCGGTATATAATACATAACACATTTCAAGATTTCAGTGTGTAAGTTTGAGCGCATGTCAGGACATTTTAAAACCTTCATTTATTTGAATTTATTTATAATACTGCTTTGTGCTGTCTTTTTATACAAGCGTTCATCAAAGATTTGTAGCAATGACTAGCAGTTATGCTCAATTATCTATTAAATACTAATATTGCATTTTTCTAAGACAGTCTCCGTCGCTTAGTCCTGGAATCGATTTTGGGCGAAACAATACTTGTTTCGGGTACTGAAAATATTGATTCTCTACTTGCAATCAAATAATCTATGAAACAATAAAAAATATTATAGATTTGTAGCAGAATGCAAATGAAAATTTATACCTATCCATGAAGCACGTTTTAGTCGAAAAATGTGATGTGATACGCAGGAATAACAGCATATCTTATTAGTCATCGCTTACTAGGATTAATAGGAAATTTCTTGTAATAATGGTACTATACAAATAGGTTTTCGTTTCCGTAGACAGTAGAAAAACCCTGATATTTTAACTTAATCAGTAACAAGTATAGACCTTAGCAATCTTAACTATTCAATTCAAATCGAATCGGACAAACTATAGATCTGATATCATTTTGTCTGTCTGTCGATCGAGTGCGGATAAAATACTCGAGTCGTCATTATGTCAAACTGCGCGTACCTTTGACAGGAATTATCGTGTTATCGAGTAATCATGGGTCATTGTCGAGAGAAATCATTATTTCTTAGTACGTATAGAAATATTACGAAATTGGTATGACTGTTTGAAATTGGTAGATATATATCTATTGGCAGATTTCAATTGCTTTTGTATGTTTCTGGTAAACGTAGTAAATTTGGACTATTCCACTATTAGATAATAATTCATTTTTTAGTTGTATTCTCGTTGTAATATTGTCTTAATTGGTCTTCGTTAAGGTTAAAAAATAATGTAAATGTACGACGCCCATAGAGTAGGAGATACATCTTATATATATTTCAGGTAATATACCTATGCCACTTATAAATGTTCAATTAAATATAATTCTTGGTATGCCGACTGCACAATATTTTAAATCTTGAATACAGAAGTTTAAAATTAATGTCAAAAAGTGTTGTCTTTATAAGCAATTTAATGGCCGAAGACTGCAAATAATATTAATTAAAATTTGCATAAAATGTTAGCTATGCCTAAGTTATGAGAACTGTATCTTACGTCGCTGTAATTATAATATGCTTTGAATTATTAATTGCACGTTGCTTTAGATTCAGCGCTACAATATTATTTCTAAGAGAATGCGAGACCTGGCCATAATTTTAATTTAAATAAATATTGAAAACTTAATTTTTGTGTATGCTTGGTTTAATTATTACTTAAATAGTTATATTACAAAAGCTATATAAGGTAATTTTTACTTATACCTCTATTTATTAGTAATAATAACAATCAAAGATACGGTATTTACAATTTTCTTTACCTACCTAGTAATAATAAAAAAGCTAATTTAAGCTATAGAATAAATTTAATTCACAATAAAATCTACCACCATAGTTATTGCAAATTTTGTGGTTATTCTTTAAATATATATAATATATATAAATATATTTTTTTTTTAAAGACAACACCAATTGAACTAGTCCCATGCTAAGCTGGTGAAGCTTGTGTTATGGGTACTAGGCAACGGATATACATACATATTATAGATATAGACATATAAATACACATTTAAACACCCAAGACCTAAGCACAACACCAAATGCTCATCACATCGATGTTCGTCTCAGCCGGGGTTCGAACCCGGGACCCATGGATTCGCAGTCAGGGGTACTAACCACTAGACCAGCGAGTCGTCGTACATAATAGTGCAGTATTAAGCATATAGAAAACTGAAATTGTTGAACAGTAGTGTAGCAGTTTTTATATTCAACCATGGTTTGTCAATTTTGACAAATGTAAATTTGTGAATAAATATCTAAATTTGGTCAAATGTTTTTAATTAGACATAATGCTTTATTCCTTAAGGATGTAACGCAATATTACTATTTAA